GCATCTCTCAAACAAACGGGAGGCAGCTGTGTCCGTAATGAATATAACACGGCAAGCATTGGGTTAGCTTGTCGTGATACTAGCAACAAAGTTCAGCCAGTCAATGTTAATAATATTTTTCCTTACATCTTAACTTACCAAATCTCCCTAAAAGCTAAATCAAGTATTAAGTAAGGGGAACTACGGTGGGAGTTTGGATGTTTACCGACAGGCCTAGCATGATTTAGCATTTCAAGCTAATGCACAGAAATATCAGGTTTGGCTAATATGAGATCAGCCAAAATACATATTTAAAATAGTTTCAACACTCTTACAAATCTTGAGATATGCATCATAACGTTGTGACTGAAATGGAGCAGTCAAGGAATTTCAAAATGTCACAGACAAACACAAGGATAGAAATAGTTACGATGAGCACTTGCAGCAAGCTAATGCTAGCCGCTGACAAACAGATGAGGAATGGCCACCTTCTGTTTGGAAATTTCAGCAGCAAACATTCTTCACTTTTTAGAGACTTTGCACACTATGTGGCTGAACATCTTGAGTCTGCAATCTTGAAACTCTCTCAGCTCAAATATCCATCAGAAGGACTTCAAATGTGCCATCAAACACTTTCTCTGGCAGTAATAAACTATTAATTTTATGTCTCGATGAATATGAGTTTTCGAAGAATCTTGGCACAATCCACTTACATGGACCATTTGATACAATGAAGTTACATTTAGTCATAGTTCCAAAGTTCAGTTAATGAAACTTTCTCTTTTTTCCAGGTTAAATAAATCACATTTAAAGCCTGACACATCCTCTAAAATGTATACTCTCATACATCCCCATTGTCTGGTGGTGAGCTTATTATGGATGAATTTAGGACGTTAAGATGATGCACAACACTCTTTTCTTTCTCCCAAGGCAGTGTTGGTCGATTCTGTCGGCCCCAAGCCATTATTTGGGATTTCCCCAATTATTCAGTTCAGAGAGCTTCAATGGCCTTTTTTTTTTACCCCAGCCAGAAACTCTGACACTCTGCCAACATGCAGCACTGAGCTTCTTGGCATCTGCCTTCATCGTGGACCATTTTCATGGACGTTTTTAGCTGCACTAACCAGCATGAATCACTGTGTTGGTTGGTCAGAAAGGTCATTGTGAGCTGTTTGTCCTAATGTTCTGTTCACATGGAAGGTCAGCAGACTTTTAAGTCCTGTTTTAGATCTCAGGGTTGGCAGAAGTGTCTCTTTGATGTCAGGGACAAAATGTACGAGCTCTTAAAACTATATCTCTAAAGTCTATGAGCATCAGTTTTTGGTTAAGAATTTGTGTGAAATATATTATATTCTAACAGTATAGGTCAAACTAGTGCAATCATACTGATCCATGTTGCAGAATAAACGAACATCAACATGCCTGTTTGCTCTGCGGGAAACAATCAACGTCATGATTCTGTTGGCAGCTGTTGATCTAACCTGCCATGAAATTGTCTGTCAATATTTCATTTTCTCCTTGGTTGGGGAAATATGATGAATTGGTCATATCACTCGTGTCACAAAAACTCAAAGCGTTCTTTAATGTACCATTTTTACTTTTTGTAATTTCTCCATTTTCTGGCCATCAAGCTACCTGACACTACAACATTTGTAATTCAGAACACAGTGTTTGGCATCAGAGATATTCTTCTGCCGCAAGTAAAACACAACGAAAAGAGATTTTTCTTCAGTGTTTACCTCTCAGTTTGATGTAGCACCTGTCACTAGGAAGTAAAGAATACATATTTTCAGAAATGAAAAGAGATTATTCACTGATTTAGACAAAGGTGGCCACACAGTTATCGCTCAGTGCACATTTGTTTGGACCATCAATAAACTAGCATAAGATTTACATTAGTGCTTTCTATGACTGTTGCCAGATCTGAATTTACATTGCTATTGGACTTTCATTTATTCAGTAATTTATGTTAATCCCTTGATATAGGTACATATAATGTTTTGTATTATGTTGTGCACTAGGGCTGCATTATCATATTTATTGCAATATAAGCATCCGCAATAAACACATTGCAAGATTCCAAATTAATCGCAATAGATAATAAATGTATGTAAAAAATCAATGCTCCCTTATGCAGATATTTTACCTATTGGATGAAGGCCTTGTAATGGATATGCTTTCACATGTTGGTTTCAGTTCAGTTCATTCAGTTGGTAGAGTTGGTCTTCTCTCAACCTGAAGGTTGGGGGTTTTGACCCCCAGCTACTGTAGCAACATGTCCGATGTGTCCTTGGGCAAGAAACTAAACCCTGAATTGCTCCTACTACTTTATCAGCGGCATATGCATGTGGATGATTGGGATTAGTTACTTCTGATGGTCTCACTACATAGCAGCCTCTACCATCAGTGTGTGAATGGGTAGGTGTGACATGTGTTGTAATAGTGTGTTGTAAAAGAAAAGAGCTATACAAGATCAAGTCCATTTACCATTTAGATGTCATATTCATTATATGCTAAACATAATTAATATTTTTCATGATTGAATATCCAGGTCAATGATTGCTCTAAACACAATTAACTCCCAACAATCATGTACAGCAGGTTTGTCATTGTGGACACACCCATGTCACCATGTTTGTTCATTACCCTTGGTTTGACTCTGAACACTGATGACGTATTGGGTTTGACTCAGTGTTACTGTCAATGCCATTACCTCAAAGACTACAGACACTCTGACGTCTTTTATGACCGCAGTGTCACTATATCTCAGGAGTTGACAGCAGTCTTACCGTCGCCGACTTGAGCACTAAGATATTTAACACCAGTGTTAATGAGTTGCTAAATACTGCTAAATGAGTTGGTATTTGTAAATGCTCTGAAATTCCCCTGTCAGCAGAGTGCACTCCCAAAAGTTCATTCACGCAGACCTTGATTATTTGCTGCTGTGGGGGAAATGATGGATTAATTAAAAAGATGATGTGCATACAGTACAGGGAGTTTCTTGGCCAGGTTCTGACTTTAGATAGCCGAGCTGGTGCATCCTCAGGGTGATGCCAGGTGACGAAGATTGTCAGATCAAGGACTTAAAGTAGTATACAAGTTGTTCACTGGTTATAATTTTGTAGTTTCTTGTGCAAACTTTTTTCTAAATGCATCTGTTTAATGCTTGTATGTGCAAACAAACTACCCATGTGAGACATGTTGATGTTTTTTAAGAGTGTATCAATGACATATTTCTAATGCAGTGCTTGTACTGTACTGCTCCATATCGTGTAGATTGTGTGCCTATGCCTTCTGCATGTATAGATGAAGCTATTTATGGAAATTAAATGATTTCCTTTCATAACAACTTTTTTTGGGGGTGGGGGGCAGTCAAATATCTGTGCATATAATTTTTTTTATTATGTTGTATTTTTCATTTATGTAAAAAAATGTATATTTTCCTGAGGTAGAGTGGAAAAAAGAGATAAAGTGTATTGTCAAAACAGTGCAGTAAAAGATAAAACCACTACACTGAGAAGGTAAATTATTGCAATTTATCTTTTAAAACCAGAGGATAGGCATAATATGCACCTATAATGAATTCCATCTTGCTAGGAGAGGTGTATCCATCGTCATGTCCCTCAGGGTTGCATGTTTACTTTTTTTGAAATATTCACTTGTGTCGGTGTGAAACAATCAGTAGTCCAGCCACTTCTCAGCTCTCTTGGTGAATTCATTACTTGTCACTGGCAACGGGGTCGTGACATTGAATCTCGGTCGGAGCTGAAGGAAGATAACCAAACTGGAACAGCTCTGCTGGCTGTAATTTAGACAAATATGTTGTGTCTCTGATGTCAAGGTTTGGAGCCAACCGTGTCACTGGTTCAGTTCAGGAGGACCTCGATAAAAGTGCTACATAACGTCCTCTTGCTGCAATTTCTTCTTGTTTTCACATGAGGCTATAAACTGCCTCTGTGGGCTCTCACTTTCTAGCTGTCAGTCATTAGTGTGCACGAGATGGATTGTCATTACTTGTCCACTCATGGGCAGGCATGCAAATTAAAGGTGGTGTTTTCTCAACCACATAGTTTAATTTTAATTTGTTTGTGAGTCATTTGTTGAGGCCTTCTGTATAATACCACACTCGATTAAATAATAGTCCTCACAGGCTTTTAATTTGATGGCAATAATAAAAAGAGACAGACATAATATGTCGACATTCGGACATTGACTTGTTTTCCTCAACATGTTTTTTTGTGTAAATCCAGTAAGCATTGTTGCATTTTATGTTCATGTCCTTCAGCCTACAGCTCCTTTAATTGCCCTTCTCGTTTATCTAACCATACGTGACCACTGAGCCGGCATCGAGCGTTCTCGTATATATTCGAGGATCTACATCAAAAAGAAACCACCGAGCGTCTGTGCCTTTGATGTGCAACTGCTCTTTTTAGCACTTCAAACAGAATACTGTGATGCAGGGTGAGGACAGGAGCCAAATGGCGATGTTCATGGATTATTTACACAAAAAGTTGTTGTTAATTATAAACACGTGAACGTGCCCGCTGCCTTCTGTCAGAGACAATTGCGTCACGGTGGTTTTAACAGGTGTTGGCCCTGAAGGTGTTTGTTAATTCACATCTGTAGTAAATAAGACAGGCCAGGTAACTTTGTCACTTTTTCATCACTTGAAGTTAAATGTAACTCTGAAATGTTATGATATACATCTTTATTTTCACTATGGGGTCCTTCAATCTATTTACTTCATTAACCTCATGCAGTTTATGAAAATACTTCTGCACTGGTGTTGATTTGTACTTTACAAAATGAATCTTTTATGTGTACATATATATGCATAAATGACTCACCCTGTCTCTCTCCATGGTGCACAGTCTCCATCTCACTCCCTGGTACTGAAATATCAAAATGCTGTGTTTAAACACATTAGGACATTATGTCTCAAAATCAATGGATGTGTCCTTCTATCAAATTAAGGTAAAGTAAACTTCGGATAACTACTTCCTTCTTCCTTCTTCAAACAGAGATCCGTGAGGCTTTCAAAGTGTTTGACCGGGATGGAAACGGCTTTATCTCGAAGCAGGAGTTGGGGATGGCCATGCGCTCACTGGGCTACATGCCCAACGAGGTGGAGCTGGAGGTGATCATCCAAAGACTGGATATAGATGGTACATCCCCGCCTTTCTCTATATGGATGTTTCGCTGATATTTTGAGAAATAAAGCCACCGTATCACTGACATGTTTGTAACTATGTGTCATCAGGGGATGGTCAGGTTGGCTTTGAAGAATTTGTCACACTGCTCGGGCCTAAACTCTCTTCTGCTGGAATGCCTGACAAGTTTCATGGAGCGGATTTCGATTCAGTGTTTTGGAAGGTATTTGTTTATCAGTTAGATTATTAGAATGGATAAGAGCAATCTGTTTCAGTCAAAATAACAATACCAAAACAATGGGTATAGAAAACCAGAGTATTTAAAAATATATATTTCTAGCAGCATGTCATTATATATCGTATTCCAATAAAAAAGTAAAGGTCTTGATTTTAAAGTGGCCCTGACAACACTCTGGTAATTACTGACACATCAGCAGTATCTACATTCCTTACATTTAGTTGCATCACTGAATAGATTTGTTCAATTAAAATGTTTGCAGTCTTGAAGCTTTGAACTAACCCGTACTTTTACTTCTTATTGCTGACCTAAAGCTTATTAGCGTCACTGAGGGACATTTAAAAAAAAAAAAAACGTCTCGCCTACACTAATTACAGCTTTCTTTGTGTTTTCTTGTCTTCCCAGTGTGACATGCAGAAGCTGACCGTGGATGAACTCAAGAGACTGCTTTACGATACTTTCCGAGACCACCTCACTATGAAAGACATCGAGAACATCATCATGACCGAGGAGAGCCACCTGAACAGTCCAGAGTGCCACGTGGACATTGACAGTAAGTCACATACAGATTTGATCTTACAGATTATTCAGACAGGTTTTTAAACTTATGTTAAGAATCTCAAATGTGTTGGATTTGTCTCCAAATTTCTCCACAGCAAGCCCAACACAACAGGAGAAACACACGTGTGTGCGTAAAAGCCTGATTTGTGCCTTCGCTATTGCATTCATCATCAGCGTTATGCTCATTGCGGCCAATCAAATGCTCCGCAGAGGAATGAAGTAAAGGTCTGTTTATGTAAAGATGGACAATGAGCAGCAAACATCTACCAAAAATCCTAAGTGTGTTTTAGTTTTGTCACTGTTTTCATGACCAACAATGACGCCATCATTATCAGCTTCTCATCATTCATGGATGAAATGATGTCATGCAACATTTTGTATGGTCACTTCTCACCGCACACCAAGGTTTAAAACAGGGAAAGGAAGAAAGAGAGAAAGAAATCTCAAGGGCTGATTCGTATCCTAAAACTGTAGTGTCACAATAATTCAAATTCTGGAAGTTTTGTAAAAGAAAAAATTGCTAAACAGGCAGATTAATGTGAGTACTTCAGTGTCCCATATGTTCTGTAGTTATAGCTGTGCCGTGTCTTATATATCAAAACAACTAATGTTGTTGACGAGAGCTCTGCCTTTCGGAATGTGCTCCAGTAATGGAAGTATCGAGGATCGTAATCAAGCAATACAAAAGTGTTGACGTGCTACGTTTTATGTTGCTTTAAGTCACTCACTAAAACACGAGGATACATGACTGGGTAATTCTTTATGGGCCTATTAAGAAGTTAAATGTTCATCCTTTTGTTCAACAAGATTTTTCTGATCTAAATCTTAACATGACAGAAGTAATACTGATTTAAAACAAAACATTTTTTTCATTTTCATAAGTAACAAGCATTTAAATGTTATATGAAAGCATTTTCACAACTTTTTAGTCATGATAGCGTGGCACTAGTATTCTCGTTTTTGTTCACGGCTTTGATCGGGCATGAAACTTTTCAACATCTGGAGAAAACTAATCCTAATCCTTTTAATGAGCCAATGAAACCTAGTGCAGTCTCAACATCTAAAGGATGGATTGCCTAAAAAAAAAGACTGTCATGACAGATTCTGTTGTTACTTACATGCTACTTATATTATTGATAAAGCCTCTTCTTTAATTTATGATCAAATATTTTAAAAACTAAACTAAACCTCAGTCAATGTTATAAGTGATAATTAGCTAATGTTAGCATGCTAACACATATAGCCTAGATGGTAAACATGATAGACCACAGCATTGTCATATTAGAGCATTATGCCAAGCTAGCATTAGCATTTAGCGCCGAGCACTTCTTTCCTCCAGTCCAGGCTCACAGAGTAGCTGACACAGCTGCAGACTTTTGGGTTTGTTAAAATATTTTAAAACCACTTACAGCTAAAGGAAAATGTGCTTATTGTTTCATTTAATCATACAAATCTATCAGGTGCTTCGCTTCTTTAAATGAATTTGATGCTGGAAACATTACAATGTATTTTGAAAAGCATCACGTTCAAATTCAGCAACACTTGGCTCAGCTTACGCAGAAGAAGTAGAGGCTTATGACACTTTAAAAATAAATTACTAAAAATAAAATGAATCCAATTATCTACCATGACAGCTATGAGTGCGGAGAACCCAATAACTGAGATCAAATAGCGCAGGGACACATTAGACTAGCCTGCTGAAAAGAAGGATTCAGTTACATGGGGACAGAGGCAGTGACCCGAAACCAAATGCTGCTCAACCAGGTCAGCCGATCTGCAAGAGAGGAAAAAAACACAATCCATTTGTAAAGATGTCAGGCTTACAAAGATTAATTGGTTTACCTTAAGGTTCAGAATGAACCTTCTTGGTTGAGCAGCTTGGTATTGATTTGTAATCGAAGCTGTGCCCTCCACATAAAATAATTATCAATAAATGTACTTACAGTCCGTCATGCACAATGTTGCATATTTGTGACCTTGTAACTTGGCATCCAAACGAGTCAAACAGAATGGGAACAACAACAGACAAAAAGACAAAAGAGTGTCTGTGTGATCTGACTGAGCTTCAACCATGTTTCACACTTTAACCATGACAAGTTTAGAGTTCCAACAAAATTAGAAATGTAATAAATAAAATAGTTCTGTTCAGTGAGAATGAAGGATAATCATTTCACATGCCTGCATGCACATTCAACTAGAAATAAATGTGTGTTATCTGTGTGTGAGGTCAAATTTGAATTCTGATGTGTGTATAATAAATAATTATGCAATTTGTAAAGTGATCGTTGCAAAAACAAAAAACTCAGTATTTGACATTTTTTCTGTAAATGTCGATTCTCTGGATGGTGTGAAGACAATAACAAAATACTAAATACCTTGAAGAAGTATGCTGTGATGAATAATTTAACATATCATGAAGAATGTTGTTTTCTGACTTTTACATGGACCCACTAAAACAACATATTATTTAAAATATAACATGGTTATATTTTCTTACTTGAAAGTTCAATCGATGTGAATTTATTATGAATGTAGGCATAATGATTTGTACAAAACAAAAACAATACAAAAAAAAAAATCAGGTGTCTGATGTTTGATTTCCAGTTTACTGGACATTCACATTCAAGTATATTCAAGTGTATTTATGCCATGCACTTAAAGGCAGGGTTGGTAATTTTCTCCAGATACACTTTTAAGATTTTGGTTGAAATTGTCTTTAGATCCTGACAGACATTAATAATTCATGTGCTCTGAGAAAGCCTGTAAAAACTTTGACCACTGTCTGCCACGAGGTACCAATCTGATGAACCAATCACGGCTCCCTGTCTCCCTGCTCGTTATCTACCCCATGCATGCACAAGCCCACACTCAAAGCATGAGCTGAGGTCCGCTTCGGGACCAATGGCGCTTGTGCATGTAAGTGAGGGGTGTGGCTTTTTAGGGAGCACAGAGGGGAGGGGTTTGGTGCAGACGTAGCACTGAGGGAATGCTACTTTCACAAACATGCTAGTTTTTCGAAAATTACCAACCTTGCCTTTAACATTAACTTTCCTTTATTTGTTTAAGTTGATCTTTTGGATGTTTTTTCTTCAACAAATATTTGTCAGATACGACATATTTTACCAAATGCTATATATTTTTTTCGTGCTCTTTTTATCTTAAAAGTTTATCAAAGCTCTATCAGATACGGTTGGAAACTGTGCGGATCATTCTGGCAATAAGACTATAAAGAGTAGCTGTTAATGTATGAACTACTTCTATGACATCACATTACCTCTTCATGTGAACATATCATTTCAGGTATGAATGTTAAATATATATATGGTGTCAAATCTTGTCCGAAGACATATTAGCAAATATTGTGTAATATTCTGAATGTTAGTGTTTAATGAGAAGATTTGTGTACATTTTGTTGTCTTACTTGTTCTTTAGAATCTGATTTTGAATGTAGGTTCCTTTTTTTTGCGTGCCTTCTGTGTCATTTGGAGTGAAAACACGACTCCTGTGCCCTAACTTTTAGTATCTTCAGAAAGGTGGGACTTCCATTTAACTGAATCATCCCTTTGAACTCAAATTCATTGGATGCTACATGTATAATTGAACTTAAAGTAGTGCAAAAGGGTAATCATGTTTTATCTTCCCCTAGTTTATCTGACAACTTCACATTGATTGTACTTGTAGCATCCTGCTGTGTGACTTGATTAGCACTTCTAATGTCTTAACTGAGAATACCCAGCACTGTTTTATTTCTGTAAATGATGCTGCACATGTAGAGGTCACTGCATCATTTCTACACTAATGTAAGTGTTGTCTACATGCATGTAGTCCAATAAAAACAGAGGCATTCAAAATGAGCCAGCTGCTTGAGTTCTTTTTTTCCCTTGCAGATGTGACATTTGTCGAACATTAAAGCAGAATATTCCTTATCTCAGAAAAAGAGCATGTACATTTGCACAGCACAGAGAGGATAGTAAAAATGTTTATTGGGTATTAAAATACAATTAATTTCCTGAAAGATTGCATCTAAACCATACTGCACAAGACCTGGACATTGGCTTCCATGCTGAAATGTTCAGTCTACTAAGGTGGGCCCAAAAAATGCCAACTGAATGACTGCAAGGGTTCAGTCTAATGAAACTCCCTACTACTGAATAGTCTGCACTCCATACTAACTGTGGCTTTTTGGAAAGGGCCATTGGCTTTTGAAATCAAGAACTTTAGCAATAACTCACATGCATTCTTCATAACAGTTGCATGGAAATCAGGAAGAGAGCTAGCACAGCTGCACAGGACCTGAAGTAGTTTAGACATGAGACAATTAGCCCTTTAAGGAGTTTTTCTAATTTAATCTAATGCATAACATATACTGCTCAGATTCAGGCTGTAAATATGTTGTCAACATTATTAAAGTTCCATTTGAGTAAGGTCCAGTGCATATAAAAATCAAACATTTGTTTAAGGTGGACTGTTAATTGCCTACAAGCAGACTAATGTTTACTAGATACAAATATACTTTTACAGAAGGATGAAGTGTTTGTGACATGATGCATACAGAGAGAATCCAGCTGTATATGAAGCCTCAAGTTCGGAACTAAATATGCTGAATTTTCTATTTTAATGCTATATCTTTCTTAAAGGTCCCTGATATAATTTGCTTTAAAAAAAAGTTATGCAAGGTCAAATTTAACAACCTTGAGGTCCGAGAAACGAGTCGCCTGAATTCTCTTCCTCATTAAAACTAATCATGCATTGTTTACCTCCATGTTTGCGTTCCATCAGTCTTCTTCTCTGCTGTCTTTATTGGCGCTTTGCAAAGTTTGTTGCCAAGAGAAGGCAGAGCCAGGAACAAAGACAGGTTGTGCAAATGTCCTGACATACATCAGTACAACAAAAAATGTATCCACTCGCAACAACATGGCTTTTGTGTCATCAGTGGTCAGAGGCATCACATGTTTGGTGTGAAAAGGTAAGAAGGAAGTTTAAATCATCTTAGGTGAAATGAGCAAAAGGCTGCACCAAGAAGAAGTAAAAAAAAAAAGACAATTTAATGAGCATTCTGCTGCAAATAGTACAAAACAAGTGTGAAAACAGTTTAAAGTATATACATCTCAGCAAAACCTCAGTCAAGAGAAGTTACGTAATCTAGCAATATAAAGGTCAGAGACAAATATAAATACTTTAGTAACAAATGAAGGGAACTGCAGGAGCTTAAAGATGGAGAAGTATTACCAAACTTTCTAACCAAACTTTCATTACTAAATGTAATATAGAATCACAAGTTTGACAACTTTACAATTAGGTTGGAACATGGTGTTTTTCCAGTGACTTGGAGATAAATTAAATTGAGTCAGCACAGTGATTCTCTAGGTGACACAGCACAGGATTAAAATAAAACTAAATAATTATTTCCATTGGCTCTGCAATCCTCCATTTCTTCAACATGACATTAAATGACACTACTTTGAGGAGTCTCACTGCGAAGTCTACTGTCTACAACACACCGCCAAAATGTCAATTATACGGGTTACTTTGCGTTCTCTGTATTGAATTGCTCATCTCGGATTAACTGTACCTTGCTGTCTGAGGAGTGGGTGTTTAAATTTGATTTAGTTTCGTTTATCTTAAGTCTAATGCAGGAAACTTGAATCTTTTGTGAAATGTTACTAGGAATGTGAATGTATTAGAAATTCCTCTACATAAAAAAGATCACCTCTCCCATCTTGCACACAGTTTCATTCCTGTTTTTAAAAAAGAGAAACAACCTCAAACTGCTTCATGTACCAGCTGAAAACCTTGTTTTAAAGCAGACATGTCTAGTTACTTTATATATGAAAGTCAAACTATCTCCTGATTAACTAAGTATTCTGTACCCTTCCTCCTACTCTGAATGTCAAACATCCACTTAACAGAGATTTGAACCACAAAGTGAATATCTCTCAGCCCCACTCTGTGTTCACTTTGACTCTCCATCCACCCGGAGGAGGGGGACGCAGGGAGGGCGGGAGGTCAGGGATGGAGAGGAGCTGTGGAGGTACGTCAAGCTCTTCTAGACCGTCGTCACTGTCTTCTTTATGTTTTCGATCTCTGCGGAGATAAATTATTAAAAAGTTGAATTCTAAATCATCTGGAATAACCATTAGCAATGCTAATCGTGAAATGAATGGGGGGGGATACCCTTTGACGCCGAGGGCAGTTTGCTTCTTTTCCCTTCTAGAGAGCCATTCTTCTATACAACGCCCAGGCTTAAAAGTGTCCTCGGCGTCCTCTCTCAGCTGCCGTTCATCTGAGAGAAATCAAACGTCTTACTCATTTCAACATTTATACAATTCACACCGTCGTCCAGATAAAATGCACTTCAACATGTATACATGTACACTATCAACCAGTCGGAATATTGCATTTTTTGAGGAGTTGCATGAGCAGACAAACTTAAACTTCCCATTAAAGAGACATCTGAGATGTGTTGATTACTTCCTGTCTATGAATGTAATGTTGGATGATAAGCTCTTATTAAAGAATTGCTTATAAGGTAATGTTAATATTTAAATATGCTCTGTGCATTAAATCTCTTTTGGGGTCTGTCATTTTCACGTCAATAAATGTTATCAAATGTAACACAGCACTGCTCTTTAGTCCCAGCTTACCCTCCACTTGTCTTTGTAAGTTAGCCATATCTTCTTCAGACATGTGAGAAAACCTGCAGTTGGGGCCAAAATCACAAATTCCTGGTAAAAAAAAAAGAAAAGATTATTACAAAAAGGCATTCAATACAGTTGACGGGCTATTGGGTTATTTTTTTTTACCTTTCTGGAGAAACTTTCTGCAGGCTTTCTTTGCTTGCTCATCATACAGAATGGCTGACGAGTCTGTAAAAAAAGGGACGGTGTTTCAGTGGTTGTTCATATAATCTTCCATCATAAAGTAAACCGATTTGCAGCCAAGGCAGTACAATGAATTTCAAGCCTGATTAATCCTACAATAAAAAAAAAAAAATCTCACACATAGTTTTAAAGATCCCATATTATGGCCTTTTTGGGGTTCGTATATTTAATCTATGTACTTACTTTTGTACGTTCACAATAGCTAAAGTCCGAAAAAAGTGTCTGTTTTCATGTACTGCTCCTCCTTGCTCCCTCTACACTCTGAGTCCGTCAGCTACGCTCTGTTGAGCCCACACTGTTAGACCCCACGTGGGCCAAGTCTGCTCTGATTGGTCTGCCGATTCGCTCTGTCGTTATTGGTCAGTTGCTCAGCACGCGTCTCGGAAATTTCAACATGAGCTGCAGGGCTTGCCACAACGAGCCAGTGGACTTAAATCAGTGATGTCACACTGACAATGACGCCGCACTGACAAATTTTTATCAAGGGGGCTAGAACCGAGCGTTACATGCGGCTAATGCTACAGCTAACAGGAGGACGTAGGAGAAGCTGCGTTTCCACGGACTTTGAGTTTTTGCACATAGATGTGCCTAAACATACACAGGACACTTGGAAAACACACTAATGGCATATAAAACCAGAAAAAGCTTAATACGGGACCTTTAAGACTTAGCATTTTAAGAAGAAAATTCTCATGCATAGGATGACTCACTAGTTTAAAAAACACACAATTGCACTTAAACATTGTAAGTCATAAAAATATAAGTGTGTAATTGGATTTTTACTGCAACCACATCTCAGAGGTCGCTGAGCAAAACTGCAAGTCTCACCTCTGAAGTAGTCAAACCAGGCCTTTTTAGATCTGTGGTGCTGGACACCGTTAAGATGTTTCTTCCTGTTGTGCATGTTGTCCTGAAAGGAGCGGTCACAGTAGTCGCAGTAGTATCTCTTCCCCATGCTGAGGGTTATGTCTATAAACCAGCAGGAGCTCACTTTTTAAATCTCTGAAAGTCCGGGGGAAAATTAAAAACCAAATAGTGAATAGCTGAAATTATTTGTGTATTCAGATAAGTCTCCATGAAAAGCTTTTAACATTTACATTTCAGTGAAATAAAACATAGAAGAGCCCCAGAATGTATGAATCAATCTCCATCAATTAAGATGGGGATTTATGGGTTGTTGTTCTTTTTTTTTTTCCCCAACACAAAAGGACCAATCGATACAAATGGTAGAACAAAGATGGAAAGATTAAAACTTTGGTCTTCCTCTGCTCAGATTATATATTTCAGAAACGTTTGTATATATGCAAACGTGACTGTTAACCATTTGTTACCTCATGCGTGTTACCTTTGAGTATTACCCAGAATATCAAGATTTTTAAACACAGTCTTTAAAACTCATTTATTCAGTCTGGCTTTTATATCATAACTGTATTGTCTTTTTTATCCTACTACAATTTTAAATATTTTCCTCTTATGTATTTATTTTAATATCTTGCTGCTTTTATGTGTCATATTTTATTTTTATACATATATTTTATTTTTAATTCTTATTGGTGTGCATTAGTCTCTCAATGATTTTACAAACTACTTGTTCGTCAACAACTTTTCTGCACTCTTCCTAAGCACTTTGAACTGCAATTTAATTTGTCTGAAAGGTGCTACATAAATAAAGTTTGACTGATTGATCGATTAAGTGTATGGAAAAGTAACCCACTACGAATCAGCCAACTATGATCAATAATTACGTCACAATCAGATCCGTATCTACTTTAAGGAGCATCACAAACGATACTGCTGCCATCTACTGGTTTCACAATGAAGGTGCGCTCTTAAGAAACAAGTATTATTTTGAGTGTGCTTGTTTAGAACACTTACTGTAAATAAAGGTTTAAAAGCAGCTTAGCAAATCTGTAAGGGGTCAGATAGATGATGCTCGAACAATTACTAGTTAACCCAGCAATATGTTACACAAATAGTTGTACTTCGAAGTCAATACGTTTGGATAGTTAGCTTACATGCTAACTGTTATGGTAAACATCCCTCAGTGTATGTTGAACTAAAACAGCGAAGAGCACGAACCATTGATGAAACAGTGTTGTCCTCCTCTGTAATACTGTAAAACGCACTGTATGTACCAAAACTGGTGAGGAAAAACACGAAATTAACCTTATATTTTGGTCCGACTTGCAGCCCCCCACCCACCTCCTAGCTCAAATACGGAATCTTCGCAGGGTCATTCGTGCGAACAACGCGTGCAATCGGAAGTGACTTAACTGTAATCATCCGCTCATGCGCAGTAGCATTAATCCATCAACAACATGGCGCTGGCGAAGTCTGTCTACAATCTGCTCTTCAGGAGGACGTCAACCTTCGCGATAACCATCATGGTTGGCGCGGTCTTCTTCGAGCGACTGTTCGACCAAGGTGGCGACGCGATTTTCGAGCAGATGAATCGAGGGGTAAGCATGTCGTTTCGTGTTTTAATACTTCGTTTTATCCTGACCTTGTAGGCAGAGGGCGAAGCGGCGCTAATGATAGCTAACCTGTGAGCTACGCTGTCCCCACATACTAAGAAGATGCACACTTTAAGCTGGCTGGTAACTAATTTATCTGTGTAATTATCTCACATGAGCTCATTTGTGATTTTCTTGTAGAAACTGTGGAAACACATCGAACACAATTACGAGAGCAAAGAGGAGGAATAAGACGCGGTTCCGGGGTCACCTAAGGCTGAAGTGCATCTGTTATAACACTTCCTCTACCCATTCTCCCTGGACTTCATACCTGAATCAAACATCAGTAAACAATGGACAATGTGCTCAAAGTCATGCCCCCAAACTGGCAGCGGCTACCAGAGGACCTGTGGGGGAGCTGACTGACCGTCCAGACCACCATCAAGACGGAGCAGTGCGTCCTGTCACCTCGCCCCTCTCTCCCTCTTGTTGTTGGTGTTGTTGTTTGTAATGCATCACAGATTGTAAAATTGTTAAATTAAACGTGGTAATGTGGAAACAGATGTCGCACTGTTTTTGATTGATCATATTGAATGCCACTGTGAATGTGTGTCGGGTGTAAGAACAAACTAAATGGGTCACTTTCAAAGTCTATGTAAGTAGAGTTTCTGTGTTTCTGAGTGCATCAAAAAAAGAGATGCATATTAGTTAAGAGAAACGTAGTGTATGATTTGCATATTCAAGAATCACACCAGACATTAGTTTTGCGTTATCATTGATGCTTACGCCTCGTTTAGTTAAATTATTTTCATTCAAAAGCCACTGCATATTGGGAATAACACCTTCAACCTCTCTTTCATTCTGTGCCACAACTACTTCACTGTACATTGAAATAAACTCAACTTTTCTGTTTATAGCAAATATAGCTCTAATCCAGATTTACCTGATCATCAGTAAAGTGGATTGGTGGATGTCACACTGGTGATTATACTTATGTCTGCAGACGTGGAAAATTCTGCACTCCAAAATTTAGCGAGATCGTTTCCTCGAGCAGCATTAAAAGTGAATATGTTCTGTTTTTAAAACATAATGAATTACCCAGAGGCGTTCAGCTGAGGCAAGGCAGCAGATGCTACCCTTCTACAATAACTGGGAATGTTACGGCATTTCTCTTTTGTGTTAGCTTAAATAAATGTATCAACAAAGAAAATATGTAAAAAAAAGAAAAATTAAAAGCTCCTGCTGCCGTACTGTCAATTTACCATAAGAAAATGTGTATTACAGGGTTAGGTAAGGCCACTGCCGTTTAAATGAACTGCACATCAGCCTCAGACCTGTAGGGTGCACACTAACACTGCTCCAATGAGAAATAAGACCTGAACTTACCAAAACTTCACAGCTATCACTGAGTGCTAATGTTTAATCTCTTAACGCTGAATTTAAAAAAACAATGTAATTATTTGTTCTCCCAAACCAGAAATACAACTTTGATCACATGTATCTGTGCTTCAGTGGACTCTATTGTTGGGACGATGAGAGGTGATTGTTGACTGCAACATTTTACAAGTTAAGGTAGGATGACATACCACTACGACTTTTAAAGCTTGTTTGCCCAAATCACAGTTTTTCCTCTTCATTATACAAGATTCAAGTACAAACTTAAAGGTAATGTTTTAATAATCAAACCATGAAAAATGTGTCTGCAATGAACTTTAAAAAAAAATAGATAGCTTCAATAAATTAATACATAACATCTTCAACATAGAAATGTTATCTGTAATTAAGTTTGTGATGTTATCTCAGTCAAATAGTCAAAACAGCATCTTTAAACCAACCCCACAGTCTTGTTAGCCACAAGCTAACACCCAGGTCTGATAAGTATTGTATTTCAGGGGTGAGCATTTTCTCACAGATTGTCCTGAAGTTTGGATCAAGATTTTTCTTCATGTTGTACCCCAGGATGGAAGCCTCTCCAACCGGCTGCCAGGGAAGGAAACGCCTGTCCTGAATCTTTTGTGCTTCAACCGCACCTCCTTCTTCGATACAGGTGGCCTTCATCTCAGCATTTCTTCTCCTGAGCTCCTTTACTTCCTGGCTCATTCTTTCTTTCCCATAATCCTCCACTCTGGCCCAGAATGTAGCATTGAAGTGAAGGTAGAGTTTCCAATCAGCCCCGTTCCACCTCAATGCTTTGGCTCTCAACTCAGGGGTGAGTCGGGATACAGATGATGTCTTGCGGGCGTTAAGTTTAAAATACAGGATGTCCTCCATGCTCCAACAGAGTTTGTCCTTAAGCAAGATAAGAGACTCTTCGAAATATTCTGCCAAGAGAACCAGATCAAACTGACTCAATAGGTTACGAATATTCCTCATTACTCGAGGATCATCAGCTTCCACGTTGTTATCAAAGCCAAAGTCAAAAAATAGCAGATTTCTAAGATAGAAAGAGTTAAAAGCATCTGGGCTGTAGTAGGTCTGAGGACTGTTCAGAAACTCAGCCAGTTTGTTCTGTCCACTGATCATCCATGTGAGAGGAACCGCTCTGTGGTAATAATGGAAGGACGACTCAAAGAGATCCACGGGGTCACGTAGGATGGTGATGTACACAGCGTCTCGGGGCAGGAGTTTGGCTACTTCCTGAGGGTCAAACCGCATGTGGTTACAAACTATGTTGAAACAGTCCCCAGGTGTGTAGTCCTTCACCTGTGAGCACAGGAAAGGTGACGGGTAGAAGAAGTCATTGCGTCCGTCAGGGAAGGCGAATTGAAGCTTGTGCTTTTCTCCAAACCTGAAGAGGATGTTGAGCACGGTGCTGCTAGCTGTTTTATGAGTCTTCATAAACATGATGTTCACTTTGGGGGAGCACTTCTTTGATCTGGATTTGGTGCCAAGAGAAGTCACATTTCTCTTGGATAATTTTGCCATTCTGAGAGGACACGTGTCTTCTTTGGAGTCCCTATACAGAAAACACACGGATAAGCACACGGATAAAGCTCAGTGAATCACTGCTTTCCTTTGTAATGCTTACCTGATATTCACTTTTGTTTGGTTTGTCCAGTAGTACAGCACCAGAATGAAGTTGGTCAGTAAAACCCAAAGAATCAGCCGTCGAGTCACAAGCGGGTACTTTTTTCCTATGATACCAGACATCATTTCATACGGAAGCTGAAAAGCAAATTAGAGAGCACGCATGTATTGACCATTTTCCTCTGAGGTCTAATTCATCATAGAAGTCTAAAAAATATGTCATACTGTTGTTTTCCAGTACACCCTTAATTTATGATTTTGTGATATCATAGTAAGCTCCTAAACCCGTTACTCACTGTAGCATCTCTTACACACAAGCCAAATGTTACCAGTTTACATGATCTCCTTTTAAATCAATTAAGAGTCATTTTAAGCATCTAACTCCTAACCCTGACCCTTTTAAACCAGTGGTAACCTGGTAACTAATGCTGGTATGACAAACTAGAGAAAAGGAAAACGGCACAAAGAGAAGGGATACGAAAGATACACTAGAAACATGCGACATCATTCTTTCTGTCAAATTAAACACAGGGCCCCCATGTTTACACTATCATCATGTTTATAGTTCTTCAACACACACACACACACACAAACACGTTCTTTAACACACACAATGTAAAGGAGGAAAAGATCCACTGGCATTAAAACAAATGTTGGTATAATCATTCAGTATTTTAGAAAAATGACAAAATATCAAATGTCAGATGCTTCCTCCCCCCAAAAAAAACAATCCTTATTGTTGGACGTCTTGTATTTGTTATTGATAATTTCATGAAAATACACCTGATATTTACAGTATGTCTCATAGCTCAGATACATGATCAATTAAATTTGATTTGAAACAAACAAGTGTCTTAACCAACAATATCAATTCAGTAGATCCATTTGCCTAAACACATTATAACTCCTTTTGTTTATCAAAACATCCGGACTCTGAAGAAAGAGTAGGATAAAAAAAAAGACATATATGTGGAATCAATCAAAGAAAATAGCTTTATTTACCTGCAGATGATTGTATTAGTGGTATCAGGCTGAAGATGCTCTACAAGGAGTAAGAAAACTCCCCTGTTGCTCAGCATGCTGTGCACAATCCTCCTCCCACAGGGACTGAATTGTGTATGCGGGCTACTATTGGATGACAAACCTCAGCATAACTGTTCTCACGGCTTAGAATTACATGTATGAATTGTCACGAACTGGCTCGAAGTAAATGACAAAGGAAGGGCATCACACATGAAACAAGGTTTAAAGGAAGTTAATTTATTATCAAACTAAATTTAAAACAATCATAATTAGATAAATCAGTCATGAATGCAATATATGGATGAGTGTAGTGTTGTAGAGTGCAAACAAAAGCAAACCAGTTGGTGGAGGCCTGAGAGAAAGAGAGGAGAGACACAAGTTAGAGTGGAAGCCACTTATAAGCAGAGTCCTGATGGACTCAGGTGTACCCAGTTCGACTAATGGCCTTCCTGAAGCCAAACAAATGCAGACAGAGGGCAGGACGTCACAGTATCGAAATGTATTCAGAACATATACTTTTAGATGTGTTCAATTTATCCCACTATAATAACATAATAAAATATAAGCTAAACACTTTGATGCATAAAAGGTGCATACCAGAGAGTGAGTACAACACAAACAAGGATCTAGAAAGTAGGAAACAACGTCAATAAATGCAAATGAACAGCTTTAAGTCAGATCAGACACACAGGTGCTGACAGACAGTGCACAGAGGCAAAACACAACATCGACAGCAGTTCTTCAGAGTTCTAATCAGCATCAAAACCATCCTAAAATCACCAACATCATCATCATCACTATCGAATGGAGATTGGAAGTTCGTTCCACCACCGGGGTGCGACAGACGAGAAGAGTCTAGTTAGAGCCTTAGGACCCTGTTGTGAAGGTTGGATCAGACGCCTTGGTTTGGCAGAGTGTAGCAGGTGGGAGGGAGTGTAGACCTGGATCAGAGAGTTTAAGTAAGGAGGAGCCGTATTTGTTGCGGTTTTGTAAGCAAAGAAGCAGAGTTTTAACCGTTTAACCACAATAGTATTATCCCTGATATACTGAATCATTTCTCCACAACAGCACCAATGCTTATTTACTATGACTTTATTTCCCAAACTTCAAGGGCGTGGTTCTGTTTCGAAACATATGACCATCTAAATCCCAGGAGCAGACATGAAAACACACGCAGATATAAAAAAAAAAGACAGATTTCACAGGTTACATTGTTCTTTAACAGCAAGATGAAAGGATGGCTGCATGTAGGCAGTGTTTTGAAAGAGAAACAACACAGAACGCTCAGTGTGAAGACATGTGCAAACACGCATCTATGATGCATGTTTGCACTAGAAAATGTCAGAGTCAAATGTTCCATTCTATAGTGGGGGTTGTATGGCTACACCAAGCCATAAGTTGTAAATTACACTTAGCCTAGTTTTCCCACACAGAATGAGAAAGTAGCTGTGGCTCAGATGGTGGACTGGGAATATATTTGAAAATACAAATTAGCTGCAGGGGGAAAAACAAGTCAAAAATAGGGTTGAATTCAACAGTAGAGGTCGCACCACAATCGTTTATAGACATGAAAGCAAACCAAGTCTCTATCTCTCTGTGTTTCCCTCCAGAGCATGTGAATGTCAGGAGACCATTCTTGAAACAAAAATAATAAACAGGTGCTTGAAAGAAAGAGCAAGGGCATAGTTCCCCTGATGGTTGATGGTGTTGTTCTCACACAGATATAAAAATAACAATAAACCACATGTCATAAAACTCCTGCCATGCCTTGCTGAGAAATCATATTCACAAAACTGGTGCAACTCTGTAAACATTCTGAATGTATTCCCTACAAGCATGACTGCGAGATCATCTTCGCCCAAATGTGTCAGGATCAGGAATAATGGCAAACAATGTGTTATGATGTCATACATATTGATGTCTCTGTGAAGTTAACCTTCAGAGTAAGAATATCATCACATTATGAGTGTATAATGAGTTTTTTGGTATCTGTGTGGAATTGTGGCATAATTATTACCTGATGAATTCTTGGTTGAAATAGCCTTCATATAATCAAAACAGGTGAGTTCATTTAAAAAATGGCCGCCTGTGTAGTTTTTACCAATAAAAGAATGATCTTAAGAGGCTAAACCCATTTTTGTACCAGGCTGGAAACATGTTTATTTTTGCTGATGAAATTGGCCTTTTATCATGGGATCAAATGGGTAGTCCTTGGCTTTTGCAGTCAGCCTCAAGTGGACACCCGGAGAACTGCAGTTCTTTTGGACTACCACATTGGCTTCATTTTACAACACAGACTGTTGCCATTAGTTATTATGGGGCTTAAATATTATTTGAAACATCACATTGACCTTTTACCACCAAAATCTTCTCAGGTCACTCCCAGGTCTCAGTGTATATTTGTGAAAAAATTCAAAATATTAACTTGAGGCAGTCATGAGATATTCTGTTAACAGGACAGAATAACAGGAAGTTCTTATTTAAAGTGTAAACCACAAAGGTAGTTTCATTGCAATAGAAGTAGTACAACTAGCAGGCTCTCGATCAGCTGTTATTTGTGAGGGCTGATAGTTTTATTTGGATGCAGGCCCTTTCAGCTGCTGTTGACTTGATTCATAGGTCATATTGATTTTGCACAGGTGACCCACTAGCTTTCATGAAGCGTAGTAGTTGATGTCAGTGACATCAGAGAACATCAGGGATGTTAACAACATCTACGTCACTTTGAGATAAGATCAGGGGTTGTATCATTGTGGACAGCTAGAGTATAGTAAAATATTAGAAGTCCTGATGTAAAGACTTTCCAAACGCCACAGTTCAGCCCTTTTATATATAAGAAACATTGTATATTTATAATTTAGTGTTAGTGTCCACTTCAAACATCAACAGCTGCAATAAGAGTCAACACAATTCTGATTTATATGAACCTTTATTGCAATTTATTGTCTTAATAATTACATATTCCTTACAGCTGTACAAAATGTGGTTTACACTGATACAATAACAACCCAATCACAGAAGAATTGTTCATATAAAAGGAAGTCCACTCAGAAAAAACTTAACTAAAAGTCTACTCAAATATCCTAAATGTGCCAGTTAACAACTTCACAGTACACTAACTCATTACGGTTTAAATAAAATCAATGTTAAGCCTTATCAGCCGTATCAGACTGTTACAAAAAGAAACATAAATAACGTTGTGTTTTAATGACAGTACCCAACTCTCATGGCTTTAATAAAAGCATTGACATGAAACCAAAATGCAGACAGATATAACTTAATCTTTCTTTTTCCTGAACTCCACAAAAAGGTTTGAGTTTGATTCATAGTTCCCTGTTCATGTCAGGTGCCAAAGACCCTTTCACTTGGATATAATCCCTCATCTATGAGCAGCATCAAAACCCGGGCCTCAGACACCGACTCAGAGTGTATTGAAATCTCCTCTACAATAACACATTGAACTTGCAGACTCTCTCTCCTCTGCAGCAGACTATGCAGCAGAGCAGGTATTCTCTGGATACTGGAGCGCAATCTTCCTCAAAAGTCACAGCGGTAACCCTCAACGTTGGAACGCTGGGATGAACTATTGGTGGCTTTGTGCGTTGAACATCTGTTGCTTTTCTTGTCTTTATTTAATTAACAGAAATATGAAATCCGGAACATGACTACGAATCGGATCTTTGGTTATTTTATATTTTATCATCTCTTTGCCTTCGGGATATAATCCGCTAAGGCACCATTAGAGATAAAAAGCAAGGATCCTCTGGTTTGAGATGCTGCATGTTCTGTTTGTAGATTAAGACTAAAATACAAGAAAATGCAAATACAGCAGATCTTCACTATCTTTACTATAATTAAAATCCATGAGCTGAATTATTACCAGCGAGCTATGTATTCCAGTAAACTAACAAATAAAACACAATATCAACAATAAACATGTGACAGTAATTTACAATCCTCTAGGAGTGAGTAGAATTTGCACAGTAGCTAATGAAGAGAAATAATCATCAGGCACTTTTTAAGTGACAGCTACCCCTCAGTTGGTAGAGTCGTCATCTCTCGGGTTTCATCCCTGGCTCCTGCAGCAACAGGTCCAATGTGTCCTTGGGCAAGACACTTAACCCAGCATTGCTCCCGCTGCTTCGTCGGTGTATGAATGCATATTAATGTGTATGAATGGGATTATTAACTTCTGATGAACTCACTACATAAAAACATCTGCCATCACTATGTGAATGGGTAGGTGTGGTATGCAGTGTAAAAGTGCATTGAGTAGTCAGAAGACTAGAGGAGCGCTATATAAGCTCAAGTCCATTTACCAATTTACAAACTTGACTCTAAAAAAGTACAGGACAGCTTTTATATACAAGTTAGGCACCTTCGGTAACCAAAAATATCCCATTGAGTCTCCACTGAATATTACCATGCTTTATTATGATAATAATCTCTGAGGTAAATGAATTAATTCTGATTTTGAGACAAAAATCACTCATCACTTCTTAACGAAGTAACACTTGTATCTCCACAATGCATTATTATGGTAGTGTTTGAAAGACATCTTATTAAATATACTGCAAATAAAATAAATCTCTATCCCAACACATACCATTCTCAAAGTGTCCGTCTTTAAAATTCAGAAACTAACAAGCCCAGGAAGGACATCAATCGTGCTCCACAGGGAGCAGTCAGCAGGTAGTGGTACAGTCAACACTGTGGAATGCTTACACTGTGGTTTGCATGCGGCGGTGCTGTGACTCAGTAAACAGGCGTGTAGAAAATCTGACCTCCCAGCACTCTGCGTGTCAGCTCCTTCCATAGCAGACTGCGCTCTCTCTGCGAACCCTTCATGAAACCACGGTTCTCCTGAGCTCGGCGAGACAGATATGGAATGACCTCGTTGACCGGGCCGTATGGAACGTACTTGTAGACGGGGAAGCCTGCTTGACCTGTTTGCAACATAAGCAAGGAGACGCATTTTCAATCAATGTCTACGCACTCTGTGCCTGCACCTGACACTCATCATAAAATAAAATAAAAAAATAGACCAGAATAGAAAACATCAATCCCTGGTTGGCTAACATCAAGGGATTTACATATTGTTTTATTTTATGACATGTAAACTAAAACAGTGATCTTTTCTATTACTGCCAAACTGTCTGAGCAGAAACTTGTTTGATAGCAAGCATCAGTATTTTGTGATGAACAGTTAAGAACATCAAGAACCAGGAGTTGTTTGCTCTTAATTCATCTATAGATTGGATAGGCCCAGTCAGTGGTTGTGTGAGTGTTCATCACGTGTTTTGGGACTAGGTTTCAGTGGAAGGTCTGTGGTCACATGGCTCTGTGACGTAAGTCCTCCATGATTCCATAACTCACTGTTTACTTTTAGTACTCAAGCTGGGTGCAACATACCTAGCGGGAAGCTGATCTGGTCACACATTCCGAGCAGCTGTCCAAAGTAAACCTTATTCTCAGTGGGAGAGAGGCCCATCTCATTCATCCTGAAAAAAGAAAGAAAACAGCACGCACGTTAAAGAGCTGTTACATAATAAAGTACATAACAAGAGCTAGGCCGTGATGTTACACCACAGATGTGGCAATACCATTCAGATCAAATCCTTTAATTACTTGGATAAGCTGACAAAGAATGCATTTGATTAACAGACATATTTCCAAGCATTAGTTTACATTTTTTGGGAAAGACACTTTGTGAAAGAAATATTTAGTACATGCTAAATGTTCTTTAAAATACGTACTTTTTAGGGTATATTTCACTGTGTCCTCATTGTGAGTTGCAACCATGATATTTGCCTTCCTGTTGTGTTCGATCTCCTCCAGCACATACTCCAAGCACCTATGCAGACAAAAATGCAGATGGTCAGAATTGGACATCTTCGAGCATTATAAAAAGCCTTTTTAAAAATTCTATACTTACTTATGATACATTCTGTTAGTAGCCTCATAGTCTGGATTTATTGGGTCTTCGTAGCCAATCTCCTTGGCCCTGTCTCTCTCTTGGTACATGTAGGCTCCACGGACCAGTTTGGCACCAAAGTACCAGCCCTCCCGACGTGACAGCTCAATATCCACAGTTACATTACCATAGGCTTCCTAGACATGATGAAAAGACAGGGATTAGACTACATTCATATCATTGTTATGGGGGAAAACACACAAGTTGTGGCCTTACCTTGAGGTAACATTGGTAAGTGTTGAAAATGATCGGCTTCTCTCTGTTGAACTTCCTCTGCATCTCTAGCGCCAATCGACTGATAGCTGGCTGGAAGTATGTCTGCTCAGCATCCACCATCAGCCTGACCCCATTCTCCATGGCATGCTGGGGTGCACAGACACACAAAATGTACAGTTTATAAAGCTCTATAAGCATTAATGTTTCCTAATATGGACTTTGTCCAAATTGAATAGTTGTGGTATCCTCACCTTGGCCAGAATATCCACTCTCTGAAGCATCCTCTTCATCTGCCTCTCCTCCTCAGTTGTAAATTTGTTCAACAGGGGTTCCAGCTGGCCTGTCTGCACAACAAACACACAAAATTCCAGTTATTCAGCATTTGCCTTCAAATCAATTTGAAAGATCAGGATAAACCCTTCTATCAGTACACGACAGCAGGGCAAAGGTTGGGTGGGGGTTGAGTGACTGTGAGTGTCCTCAGCAATTTTGTCTTGTATTCAACTACCCTGAATAGCACCAGCAGCTACCTAATCAAGTCCACCAAAACTTGACTTTCACCAACGCTGCAGAAATGTAGAGATCACTGTCATATCTTGTCATGTTTTAACACTGTCCGAAAAACATTTCCCATTTACCTGTGGAAAGACGATAAGATATTCTGGCAGCAGGTTTAGTTTAGTTTAGTTTATTTGTTTATTGTTTTTCGTGGACAGTCTCCTTAATTTACTGTACAGTAAAAGAAGCAGCTTTAGCCTTTACGGCTAATTTCCAGCTGTAGTCCCCGGCCAGTTGTCAATAGGCAACCTAAAATGCAATAAAGGTCACTATCTTGTGGGCAGAAGATTAGTTTCTCTTACAAGACGTTTACTGTATCAGTATGCTCACACCATGTGATGAGGTTGTGCAACTTCTGAAGGGAAAGAAACTTGTCTAACCTGCATTCAATGTACTGATTTTTCATCTATATCACTATCAGTTTATGAGACGATCACCTGTACAAACACATTTATCTGTGCGTCTCAGGTACAAAGTTCATCTGTCTTGTGAAAAAGAGTGTATTGAAGATTTCATTGTTTGTTTTATCTCACTTATTGAACTAGCACAAACAGTTCAACACTGTCCCCTCTCCCACCATAAAATACTTTTGTGACAGTTACTCACCTCAAGGTTTGGTACCATTAGCAGGTTGGACATTTTTGTAGTATCGTTTATCAGATTGTTCCAGTCCAGCAGATCTATCGTCCTAGAAATGGGAACAATGTATATGTGGCATCCTTGAAAAACAAACTGAATTCAGTTTAAATTAAATTCATTTAAAATATTTTAGACCCAGATGAGTTACTATTGTGAGCTTAGAGCGCTGAACTACACAGCCTTGTTTTGCTAACAACTCTTAGCATTTTGAGCTAAACATTAAAGCTTAACACTCTTTTCCCTGTCGATTCAACGTCTGCAGTGATTTGTACAAAAGTGCTACTGTTTTTGATTGCATTGATCTGATTAGTGTCTATCTTACCCTGACAAGCCCAGCTTCTCTCCAGTAAACCAATTCTCAATATCGTCCTTGGCTCCAAGACCCATCTTAGACAGACTTTCCTGCAAAGATGAATTTCAGTTATGAAACTGCACACCCTACATGATTATTGTTTTAATAGATACAGGACATGGCGTTTCAAGTCTAGAGGCTTGAACACAACCTGAACATCTGTTACAGATGTGCATTTGTGAAGAAATTTACATTCACTGAATGAAATACATACCTTAAGTTGTTCCAGTTCCAGTTTCTGTTCCACAACCATCATATCAGAGATCCCCTGTTGTGCAGCAAGGAAGTTAAAGAAATGTCTCCATTTAACCAGGACTTCAGAAAACTCGAGCTGTTGAAACAGGAAAAAAGACAACACATAATTTCAGTGACATTCTAAAGAGTTGAGATAGACATATGTCTTGAATGTCAATATTTTTTTTGCATCATTCTTGACTGAGAAGTAAAGTGAGTGTGACACTGAGGTGTGAATGCAACATGTGAAACAGGAAATTAGGCTTTCTGAACAACTGACACAGTTTCTGTTCCATTTTCATGCCACTTTGTGGAAATCTCAAATATGCGTGATATTAGAAACTTAGAATTGAAGTGATGGCAGTGCAGGAAACTGTAGAGTGTACATTGTAATACGCATTGATTTATACTTCAGTTATTAATGAAGACATTAACTTACAAGAAACTGAGGGCGTCCAAGAGCAGTCATTTTGATGGCAGAAAAACCTTCTGCAGAGGCTCCCCCTGAAAGTCAAAGCACATAACTGTTTTAATTCATTACAATAATAAGTAACTTGTAATTATTTGACAGAAGGATGTAACTAGTAACTTTAATGTAAGCCACCACTTACCAGAGGCTTTGATGCAGTTAATGAATGTCTCCATTTGGTTGTCACATTTGGCCTCATCTGCATAGAAGTAGGTACGAGCGCTTATAACTCCTCCTCTCCTGTCCCCAAACTGACGATGGGCCTTGTACTTTTTCTCACGATGATCAGCACCTTGAAGGAACAGAAGGTAAAACTAGCTGCTTAAACAACAACAATATGTTGAACTTCTACTATTTGGACACACTCAACTAACTAAGAGTTGCACACAATTTCATCAACAAGATCTTTTAACCACACTACACAGAAATTATACTAAAAACCTTACACAAATTACTTTCCCTTGGTTTAACCTTGTGATAAAAACACATATTTCAATCCTGCATGCTTTTGTTCTGAGTACTTCATATTTGTTTATTTATGTCACAATACATAAAGGATAAGCATATCAACTTCTTGGGAACTTTAACAATTTATAAATGATTCTTCTCATCGGCAACACAACTGAGTTAACATCATTTGATTATACATTAGCACTTTGACTACCACTAATATTGTTGCCAAACATATAAATAGTATTTATTTAGAAGTAACTGTTTCTTAATATTAGCATTATATTAATTTTAAAAGGGGATTTTGAAATAACACTAGAGAAAGCAATAATAAGCCAATGATATACTTGAGAGCGAATCATCAACCCTCTACTGCACATGCTGTCTGTAACTGGAACAGAGTCACATTTCACTGTCTATACTGGACTGCAAGGACCCTCCTGAATCCAGATATAACCAGCGCTACAACCACATGACTTTTCATACCAGACCTGACATTTGTGTTGCGTCACACCAAGCTTAAGTAACTGAGCAAAATCATTTAAAAGCAAAAAGGTTGACGCACTAGCAGGTCCCCAGCCTCGCCCGCAGCAGCTCTACGGTTGATGAGGCATGCAGTAGCTTGTCATTTAAGAAAGATAATTTAAAATGAAAAACAAACCTGGACTCTCTTTTTCTGCTTCAGAAACACATGAGCTGAAAAACAAGGAGGGGTGGGCATCAGTTTAGAGAAGCATTTCTAGAAAACAAATAAAAATAGGTTACAGTGTCTTTTTTTGATTACTTCTTGGACCACTTACATTTTTTCAAATCAGTAATTTAACCTGGCATGGATTTAGGAAGATCTATCTATCTATCTCCTAAGTCCTTATAACTAAAGATAACTAAAGAGAACTTCTTGTGCAGTTTTGATGATGACCTCCCTTTTCTAAACATGTTTTGACATGACTAACAGAATACAGGGAGCATAAAGAACTGTGCTCTGCGACGTCTTCTATGTGCTTTGCTCTGTGTAAAAAAAAAAAAACGCTTCATAAAGGTAATCGGCTGTTGAATTCCATCCAGTCCAGCACATGTGTGTTTGTGCTTAATGAGATAATCTTCTGTTCAAAAATAAGATTATTTCCTGCACAGAACATTGCGTAACACTTCCATGGGTGCCCAGTGAAGGGTGCCAGGACATTACTCTAAAAGGCTGGCAGCTTTCTCAGAAGGTACTGCCCCTCACTGAAAAACCAGCTCTGCCAATCAGAGGACAGGGGTCTGTCCTGGCTGACCAACAGTGGAACGTCAGTTGTTTTACTGCAAGTAGTAAAGTAAAAACTAGGTTTCGTTTTGATATCAGTCTGTTTACAAGGAGGGAAAATACTGTGCCTAACTTGTGACACAGTCTTTATTTGATAACAGGCGTAATGGATGCCAGGTGATAAGAATAAACTGATAAGAAGTTAGAGCTCATTCATGTTTTTTTCTTGTGTAAATACAGGATTCAAAAGGTGGTGTGGCGAAGGACACATCATGCAAGAAAAAAACCCAAAAAGAATTTCATGTTCACAGACAGGGGATTAAAGTGGTTTAACCAGGTTTGGATAAACCTGTTTGTCAAGCATCAATGACGTGCATGTTTTGAACAGTGAAAGCCCAAAGGGCAAAATGGGCCCAATATATTCGTACTGTATACAATCTACAGGTAAAGAGACAATAATTTACAGGAGTTTGATAAACACATAATCCAATATGCCTCAGCATAAAGGCAAGAACTAACCTGAAGTCTATTCACCAAATTTAAAGTAATTTGGCTCTTCCAAGTTACTTCAAGTTCCCAAGGTTTACAAAGGTGTCTCATTGTCTTTAAGAGAACAAAGGGAAATAATACTGTTGTAGAGCACAGCTTCCGGGCTATACAAATACACTCAACTCAGTGAGGCTTTTCAGTTTAGTTTGTTGTGTAACTCATAAATCACTGGTCATGTGATTGATGTCATTTAGCAACATTAAATAGTTTGTGTAGCAAGTCGCCTGCATTGTAACATTTTGAATAGTCTTGCTCAGTCATGTGTTGATACTCACTCCATTTCTTTTATCTCTGCCTCCTCTTGTGTCAAGTCCTCTTCAACGCTATAGTCCAAAACTGCCCCCACTCCAAAGGCCTGGTTCTTCTGGATTAAAGGTTTGATGGAGTTATGGTCTTCTCCTGCCACAAACTGACCGTAGAAGGTCATCTTCATCATCTTCTCAAACATCCACTGACCAAACAACTTCTTGCTCAGCTCCATCAACTGGAACACAACACAAGGACAAGAGGTTAATCAAGTTCTGTGGTTTAGCCTATTTAGTAACAGCTTTTTCCATTATCAATAATTCAGTTATGACGCATTTATCCAACTTCATGCCACCTATTTCAAGGTGAAAAATACCATAATGAGAGGTTAATATGGCAACCTTTTGAGTTCCTCAATCAACTCACCTCTTTGTTCTTTTCAACGAGGACGTCAATAGTACAAAGTTTGAACACCAGCAGACTTCTAAGCAACTCAATGTTGCCCTTGCTTTTGTAGGCTTCTTGGGTGTTGTCGAAGTCAACGTGGATTTTTTTTAAGTGTGTATTAGTGGAGTTTTTGGTCTGGTTGATGAGGTCAGCCGGCGCAGCTTCTACCACGGTGCAGCCGTCCATCTGCTGCTCTTTCTCCTCCCGCTTCTTGGTGGAAGCGACGGTGGAGCGGCATCTTCCCGGTGAAATGCGCAGAGTCTTAACATTGCCTGAGTTTACCCTCACAAGAGCCGAAACAAATTTCGTGTACGACATGCTGTCCTTGTCTTTCGTTCCCTTCTTCCTCTCTGAACTCGGCAGCCTGTAAACCAGCTGCTTCGCCTTCCCGTGATGTTGCTTAGTGAGGTTATGGCAGTTATTTTAAAGTGATCTCGCGCAGGGGGCGTTTTCTCGCCTGTTTACATCAGTCTGTGGTTACGTCACGCTTCCCCCTGGGCATCACGCGTTTCCCCCTCGTGTAGGAGGCTACCTATGGAAAACACATGTTAAAAAAAAGGGGGTACGTCTATTTAAATGGCTAAAAGGCTGCCTAAAAAACCTTTTAAAATGTTAATATTAGTCTTTTTTTTAAGACTATTGAATTATTTGACACAAAATTCACTGTTTTATTATGGCTAGATTCTTGTGTGTGACTTCAAAGACCCTTGCAAATGAGTGATATAATTTGATATACAAGTTTCATTTCTGAGGGTAACTAAACCCCACATTTTCAGTTGTACTGCTCTACCCTGGAATAAAAAAAAGCCTTTTGAATGTCAATGTATCAACTTCCAAAGGGAGGGGGTAGGGGGGTAAGACATGCCCACTCACTCTTTCTGCAGCAACATGATACAATGTTTGCCCCTCTCTCACAAATAAACCCCTGTGTGCTGCAGGCTGTGTATGGGACATACATGCAGCTCTAAAGTGAAATGCAGACACCAGATCGCAATAGGTCCATTTTACAAAATCAATACAGATGAATAGTTTCTAAATATTTTTATTCATAACATGTATTTTACAAAGTCAGAAATGATTATCAGAAGTGTTGCGACACCTGTTTGATTCATTATCCTTGCTTTGGAGTATATCAAATTATTCTCATTTAGGACAAAGCACTGCAAAAAGGCTTACATTTATTTTGTTATATTCATTTTTCACAGTTCCTACAGACACCTGGCATACCCCAATTTTGTGCAGTGGTGCTGGGAATACCTGGGCCAGCACATCAGGGTGGTCGTCCCATCTTGTGTTGTCACCTGCATCAGACGAGACAAAAATACAACACTGTCAGAGATAGCTTTTTTTTTTTTTATCAGGGAGGGGGCTTAAATTAATATCCTTTTTAAGCTGTAAAGCATACTCCGCTCCGTTTCCCAGTTTAAATTATAAACTACAATTGATTTTGAACAGTCTGTGATTGATCAGGAGTATTTCATAAGAACCATCAAAAATAAAAACAGCAAAATGAATAAGCACATTAAAGAGAGACCAAACGCCTGGAGTTGGTGCTGTGCAGCTTGAAGGACAAATTGTTCATGTCTCAGATGCTATCGTCCAGGAACTTACTGCCTGCAAAAAAAAAAGTATGTCAATGTTGTCTTCAGTGTACAGATGAATTAGAGTGATAACACAATTTTCCATAGATTAATAATGATGTCAGTCATATTTCTAAAAACAAATTACCTGAAGTAGGATGACTCTTCTGTGGGCAGTGAAGTCCCCATGTATAAATTTAGGATACACAATAAGAGTATCTGAGTTGAGACTCTTTTGAAAGTGCCAGTCTCACATGACACACTTCTGTTGGAGCTGTGCACAGAGAGAGAGAGGTTCTAGATTAAACTTTTTACAAATGAGCAGCAAACTGATCACCTCCGGTCAGTTTAGGCTGAAACAGAACATATCGTATGATAGATCACCATTCTACTTTATCCCAGCTAGTGTTTGGATAATTCTCATGCTTATTAACAGGATTATTAACACTTAGAGTATTAACAGCAGCTCAGACCCACTTCAACCTTTTTTACACTTCAATAGACAACAAACATAAAGTTCACAAGTTGCCTACGACCACTTTATGGTTTTATAGTTTTTAATAAACAGAGCAGTGAGGGACCGGTGACGAGTGGATCTGCGGAGCTTGAAAAAAAGTACATTTCAAGAAAACCCTGATATACTGTTTAGTAAATACATTTTGTGGTGAGCAGTTTTAATTTGTGAGCAAAGGAGATGGGCAGCGCGTCTCTAGTTGAACTTTTTTGCCTGCAATAGTCTACAAACGGAAAGTGTTAAGCTTAAGTCTTAGTTTAAGTTCTTATGAACATATTTCCCTATTAATGGCTGGTTTAGTTTGTTGCTATAATCATCTGATTTCACTGACACTGACATCTTACATCAGCTTCTGTGAGGACATGTGTGTGCAGACCAGGACCTTCTGCACATACAACAACAACAACAACAACAACAACAACAACAACAACAAGCCCTGGTTTACACCTCAGCTCAGGAAGCAGCTTCAGGCCAAGGAGGAGGCGTGGGGACCGTGACCTGTTCAAGCAGGCCAGGAACAAGCTGACGACGGGGATCAGGGTAGCTAAGAGGAGCTACACTGAGAAGCTGAGGAAGAAGTTTTCAGCTTTGGTGGTTTGGAGAGGCCTGCGAGAGGTCACAAGCTACAGGAGACCCACTAACTAACAGACTAACTGCATTTTACTTATTATCATGTCACTTCAGCATCTTTTGCACGATTCACCACTGCACTCTTGTAAATATTAGTCTTTTCTTATTATGTTTATTGTAACATATTTAATGTTGTATCTGTACATACGGAGAGCACGGTTCACCGAAGTTAAATCCCTTGTGTGTGTAAGCATACCCGGCCAATAAATCTGATTCTGATTTATAAGCAGACAAGGAAGGATGTAAGTCTTTATTGAAGAAGAAAAAAAACACATTTCTAAAGCAAAATTCATCCCAGAATATGTATCAAACTTCTGTATCTGTGTTATCCTTCTTTTAAAAGGGTCCGGGGTTTACTGACTGAAATATTCACACCAGTTTTATATCTAGGTGTATGGCTCTTTCTTACAGATTTATATGAAATTGGAAACTCATGAGTCTGTACTTTGATGCGCCCCAGTGCAGACAACTGTGTCTGAAGTGACACATTCCTGCATAAAGCAATTATTGCAATAACTTATGTGATTTATATTAACTGCACTAGATACCCTCTTTTTATGTGGATGTTTTTTTATAAAGGTTGCTAATCCAAACGAGGTGCTCCCCCTTTCAGTTCACATGGAATTATCCCAGAGTGGCACTGGCTTCAAGAAAGTGTTATATAATTGGTTGTGTAACTAGAGATCTCATCCTCAAAAGGTCCATGGGGTTAAGGTTAGGGGTCAAATCTTCTGTTCTGGGTCTATTCTACAACTCTTTTGTAAATGGCTAACCTCCATGTCTTATAAGTGTTTCAAGCATTTTTTTAGAAGACAATATTCGGTATACCGCCTCTTGGGGTGCGTTCGATTCCTCCCCAAGTAGGTGGCAACAACGCAGCAACCTTCAGTACCTTGTCTACCGAGATTGGGGAGTAGAAGAAGAAGACACAAAGCTACTTGCTAATGTAGCCAACCAATGCGGAAGCATCACAGTGTGCAGTACTACTGTCATTAAATCGTCAAAGAAGGCGCTTTCACTCGCTTAGAAAGGTAACCGGCGATTTTTTTTTCTAATTATTCCGGCGTTTGTGTTTTAATTAATGTGCACTACATGTTTTCTTTTAATGTTTGGTTTGTGATAAATATTGGTGCAGTTTAGCGGAAACATTAGCCCGACTAGCTAAATTTACATTATCAACAAAGAGAACTGTCTTAACGCTGTCTTCCGCTTTCAAGACAGTTTTTAAAGTGGAGTCCTGTTTCATGTTCAAAATAACTGAAAGCATGAACTGTGTGTTATTCATGCAACTATGGGTTGTAATGTAAACCACGGTGAGCTGTGTCTATTGGTCAGTATAAAGCAGGAGCTGTCATTATTAGTAAACTCACAAATAAACCACCTCAACCAAGTTTTCTAAGTTAAATTATGTTGTGTTTCCGAAAGATAGTAAACTGTGGGTGAAGCTACAACATGATACACATTAATAATTAACCAGTCGTGGTGTCAGCGTAATGTGTGTAAAGAGATATAAAACAGCCCTTTTGTCTTAAACCTCTCTTTGTTACAGACTTTATGAGAGGTGGGTTTATTACACATCTGTGGTAATACAATTTGTATCGTCTAAGTCTTTTATTCTTACTCTGCACTGAATTGCACTGATTCAATAGTTGATGACTTGATTCAATAGTTGATGACTTGTATTGAATCGGTCACTCCTTTAATTTACAAAAGCAAATATCTACATCAGAGGTCTCCAACCTTTTTTCATCTGAGAGCTACTTTCAAAAACAATGAAAGTGGCCAAGAGCTACTTTGCATCAAATCGCTTGCATTTATTTACATAGCTCAGCTGAATTAAGCCGCTGTTTGTACATGTGTGAAATTGCAATAAGCCAATTCTTATCAATAATCTTAAATTCACATCAATGTCCAAGAAAACATTAGTACTTCATACTTGTTTTTAAGGGCCAAATATATGAATAGTGGGGAAGAGGTGCATTTTATTTTTATTTTTAACTAGGTCGGTCAACCTGTAGGCGAGCTACTGAACACCTGCCCGCGGGCGACCAGTAGATCCCGAGCTACCTGTTGGAGACCCCTGATCTATATCAATACACAAATATACAAATATGAAGCAAACCCCTGAATACACAAATACACACATTTGAAGCAAACCCCTGAATTAATGGCTGGAGTACCACCAATGATGCTTTGAAAACAGTATCTATTCAATTCAATTTTAAGATGAATGATGCTGGTTTTCCATATATTTGACACCCAAATGTACACATAAATGTTCACACTATAAGAAAGGAGCTATTTGTATTTTAATCGCGTTTATTATTAGTTAGCTTTTCTCTACTGGATTATCACGATTTCAGACAGTAATGCTCTGCAGCAGTTGTTGGAACTCTATTACGTTGTGTTTTTAAGCTTTCAGATGTGGATCCTGGGTCTCTGAGTCGTTTTTTTCTTGACTGTCGTTTACTTCAATCGTGACTACCGGGTTCTATTTTGTCTGAATTCAGGAAATTGGAGGAGGTTGGACTAAGTATTGGACTGGGACTAGAAAAAGGAAAAGGACCTCATCCAGAGCTTTTTTTTTTTTTTTTAAATAAGCACGCAGTCACCTTAAAGTCAGCAGTTTCCCCCCATTCTGTGTCAGCAGAGCCACTCACTCAACCACCATGTCTGACGGACGGATCTATGTGGGGAATCTTCCCATGGATATCCAGGAGAGAGACATTGAGGATCTCTTCTACAAATATGGAAAAATCCGTGATATCGAATTGAAGAACAATAGAGGCACTATACCTTTTGCCTTTGTCCGGTTTGAAGACCCACGGTGAGTTTTAGGGATTGCAGGATGAAACACATTCCCCATGTCCAACACCTAAAGCTGACGGCAGGGAATGGATGGAAGTGGCCTGTCCAGGTCCATTTCCGCCACTGAAAGAGGCGTACATTGGTAAGGAGTTCTTTGCTCTCTTCTCTTAGGGATGCAGATGACGCTGTCTATGGAAGGAATGGATATGGATATGGAGACTCTAAGCTGCGTGTAGAGTATCCTCGATCCTCTGGTGCTAAATTTGGTGCGATGGGAGGAGGAGGAGGTGGTGGTGGTGGTGGTGGTGGTGGTGGAGGAGGAGGAGGAGGAGCGGGAGGAGGAGGAGGAGGAGGACCCAGAGGAAGGTTTGGACCCCCAACCAGGAGATCTGAGTTCCGGGTCACTGTGACTGGTAGGTGGAAGTCGTGACTCATAGCCAGTTATTACTTTACTCTCTCTTATGGCATCCTGGAGGTCGAGAGGATTTGTAGGATGGTGGATGTAAGGGTCGTAGGCAAATGTGTTTCTTTCTCTCTCATGGCGGACTGGAGATCATAGGCAGATAAATTCTCCCTCTCTCGCATGGCTGACCTAAGGAAAATTGGACTATAAAAAGGCCACATAAGTAATAAGTAGATATTTTTCTTTCTCATGGAGGACAAGGGGACAAGTAAAAAAACAACATGAGTGGAAGACAGAGATGTATTTCATGCTGGACTGGAGGACAAGAGGACTAGTATGGGTCAAAATAGTTGTAGGCAGATATCTTTCTTTCTCTCATGGCGGACTGGAGGACAAGTAAAAGGACTGGTAGAAGAACACATGAGTCAAAGGCATATATTTCGCATGACTGACTGGAGGTCAAGGAGAGTAGTAACGGATGTCACAGGTCATAGGCAGCTATATTTATCACTCAAGCCAGACTGGAGGACAAAAACACTGATAGAGCATATCAGGAGGCATAGGCAGTTCTGATCTCTCTTTCTTGGTGGACAAGAGGACTAGGATAATGTCAAAAGTCGTAGGAAAATGAATTCCTATCTCCCATGGCCAATTGGACATCAAGAGGACTTATTAAAGATATCATGGGTCATAGACAGGTCCAGTTATCTATCATGTCTGACTGGAGGACAAGGAGACAAAAAAAATCCCACGTCAAAGGCATCTGTATTTCTCCTAGTGGACTGGAGGACAAAGGGACTAGTAGAAGATGTTAAAAACCGAAACATGTAGTTATTTTTTGGGGTCTCAACCTGAGATACTCACCTCTTAAGTCAGATGGAGTACAAGAAGAATAGTTGAGAAAGTTAAAAGTTGGAGGCAGATATGGTTAGTTGGAGAAAGAGAGGGCTAGTGCAAAACATCAAGAGTAATATAATAGGCAGATATGGTTCTCGCACTCCCGGCAGAGAAGAGGACAAGAGGACCTCTAAATGAAGATGTGTTTCTCTTTCTCATGGCGGACTGGCCTTTGTTGCTCATAGGCTGGTGTATTTCTCTTTCAAGCAAAACTGGAGAACAGAAATCCTAGCAACAGACCACAGTCACAGGCAAATATACGTATGTATTTTCTTTCTCTCATGGCGGACTGGAGGACAGGGGACTTGTAGAGTACATCATGAAACATAGGCAGATATGTTTCTTTCTCTCATGGCTCAGTGGAGGACAAGAGGACTAGTAAAGGACCACACAAGTCAAAGGCATATATATCTGATGGTGAACACAAGGACAAGGGAACTAGTAAAGGACGCTTTAAGTCATAGGCAGAAATGTTTCTATCTTTCATGACTGACTGGAGGACAATGGGACAAATTGGATGAGGTCAAGTCAGCTCCTTTACTCAGGACAATAAACTAAACACTAAAACCAGTCGTATTGGCTACAAAATCTCACACATCAACTCTAGTGACAGGTAGGTGTAATTTTGTTCTCGCTTATCATATCTGATTTGTCTCGTGCTACATTTTTTTAGCATCTCTCTACTAGCATGCTTGTACTTTATTCTAAGCCCCACCCCTTTTTATAGGGGTGGGGCTTTATAGAGTTGCCTGACTTGACCTGTTTTCTAGAGTTTAGCAATGACTAACTTTAATAATCTAAGAAAGTCAATGATTGCAGAAGTAAGTAAACTACAAATTCCAAAGAGCATTGCAAAAAAAAAAAATGCCAGTCATATTATGCTGTAAAAAAACAATATATAGTCATTACACGACTCATACAATTTAAGGACACCTATGTTATGCAGCTGTATAGCAGCTCATAGATGTAGTATGTTATCCCATTTCTTTATCTGTTTTCATATATCTTTTAAATGTCATGAATTCCAAGCTCAGAATTCATAATGCTATTAATTCATTAATAAAACTTTTTTCTAAAATTAGCTACACAAAAAATCCTGTCCCTGCATTTATCAAGGTTTTAAAGCTAGAAAGAAGCTTTTGACCCCTTCACATTTTTCTTTAAAGGGTTACCACCGACTGGAAGCTGGCAGGACTTGAAGGATCATATGCGCGAGGCAGGAGACGTTTGTTTTGCAGATGTTCAGCGCGACGGAGAGGGCGTAGTGGAATTTCTCCGTAGGGAAGACATGGACTACGCGTTACGCAGATTGGATCGGACTGAGTTTCATTCACATCAAGTGAGTTCCACTTCTGATGAGACCTGTTAATCGTCACATCTTTCTAATTCCTAGAGGACTAAATGTCTTAACTTTTCCTCTTGTAGGGTGAGACTGCCTACATCCGTGTCTTTGAGGAGAGGGGTAACGCCAGCTGGGACCGGTCGCGTTCCCGTTCTAGATCAAGAGGTCGCTATTCACCTCCTCCTTACCATAACAGAGGATCTCCCCCTCCCCGCTACCAGTCACCTCCACGCCATGCAATGTCACGTCATAGCCCACCACCAAGGAGGCACCCGCCGCAGCACAGCCCACCACCTCGTCATTACCGGTAGGACGGCCAATCATTTATAAAGGAATCGAAAGAAAAGTTTTGTAATTCAACTTTTTATTTTATGCATTTTTTTAAAATCCCAGGCCTCTTCATTAGCGTACATGATTGTTATTTCTTGCTACGTACATTCCATGTTCAGGTTCGCCTGAACATCCTGTTCCTCCCCACAGCCTTAAAGTCGTCTGTCTCTTTTGAACACCCAAATGTTTGAATTAAAAGTGATGTCTTGTGTTCTTCCTAAGCATAATGAAATACCTTCTGCCGTTGTGTAACATATTGGAGGTTTCTTTTATAAAGAAAACCTGGGTTATGATGTCATTTCTTGTCAGGAAGCAGCAAACACATGTGATGTGATACTGTCTAAAACTAATGACACCTTCCTGCAGTGATCACGCTGAAGGTCTCAATATAATTTCCTTTACATAATTTACCTTTATGTGTGTCACATTTCTGTAGCTTAAATTGTGAAGTTTTTGCCAATCTAAGAACCTGTGAAGCATATCAATACCCTCCACTGATTCACAATGTGTAGAATTAGCCAGCCTTTTAGAGTAGTGACACCTAATGACTGTGAGCTGCACATGCCAGATGATTTTCTTTCATTGTGTAACATTGATCATGTTGGCCTGTTGGCGGATTATAATTTGTATGCATCTGTAATGTTTTTTGTTTACTCATTACCAATAAAATGCAAAAGTTTTACTGTGACTCTTTTTATTTTTTTTTTTACTAAAAATTTCTTTGAACTTTTTCCAATGTAAAACAAAGGTATTCACGTGGCGTGTGAACTCAAATGTGTCCCTCTACATCCTGGTATAACGCCTTACATTATACCAAACTATGCTTTAAAGACAAAACTTTGCCTACTTTTCAATTACTGGATGATTATAATCCAGCTACATTAAATACAAAAACAAGTGTTTTCACAGCCAAAATTTAGACTCAGGTAAAAAAAAATGTGTTTTTCTAATTTTAGCCTCAATCTCTCTTCCCTCAGAAACAGTCTGAAACCCTGCCTTTAATTGTGCCCTACTAACTCTATTGTGTGTTGACATCACATCTCTGTACTCTTGTGTTGAACTTCTGCAGTCTATAACTTTGAGTAAGTATCAAGTTTGGAAGCACACATGAGGCACATGGGATGCAAAATATAATATTTTTAATACACCATAAATTAATTCTACCAGGTGACAATTTGAGAAGACAGAAAAAAATAAAATATATTTATTTCCAATGGCGTTTTTTTTTTTTTAAACTCTCTTCATTATAATCAGATTAAGCCCATATACAGACATCGTATTGCATTTAATAATAAATATGTACTAGCTTAGTTATACAGTAAGTCAATCTCTTAGAACACATTTTACAGAATATCTTCTGACCACAGACACAGCAATACACGAACAGCAATACTCAGGCATGTTTCTGAAGATGGAGACACACAAGTGGTGATCGCAAAACTCAACAAGTTTAAGCCACAGTGAATCAAACATGGGTGAGTTTTGGCTCATACGAAACTGAGAGTCTCCACTATAAAAGACACTTTCTGACAATGTTCTGGTTTATAGCCGGGTAGATCGTTTTTGATTTTTTTGCTGAGGGTTTAGGATACAAATATATTATATTATATTATATATTTCTGTCAAACAGAAAGTGATTTCTCGGCTCAAATTTGAAATTGTTCTGTTAAATGTTCAGTTTTCTGCTCAACAAATGACATCCCATCAGTGTCCACTATATTGGGTTAACAGCAGAACATCCAGCTCTATGCTTCTTAAAACTCATGGACTTCAAAATGAAACATCTGCATGGATGCACACCACTGACCAGCTACCACAGAACCAAACCCCCAGAAATGGAATAGTTTACCATGTGGTACTAAGTAGACTAAAATCCTGATGAGGGCTTTAAAGATCGCCTTAGAAAAAATGTACAATCTTAAGTGACTCCATGAATGTGATACTGACTTTAGGCTCACATGAGGGGTTCAGTTTAACAGGTATGAACTATAGTCTATGGAATGAACACAGAAATCTTGAGGTAATAATGAAGACAAATGCACTGTTACACTCTGGGAAATATAAACATTTCTGTTATAGGTTGGGTATATAAAAAAACATCACTAGAGCGTGGTGATAACAAGGCAACCAAGATTGGCTTTGCAGACTGATCTGGTGGAAAGAGAGGGCGTTTAATGCAGACTAGAGGAAGTGTGCTACCTTTACTTGAAACCACTTCAGTTCAAGTGAACCATCAAAACAGTTTTCACAATGCTGCAACGGAGCAGCATGTGACCGCACTGTACTGTGTGCTGAAGCTGCGTTCGTCAGCCTGGGCTGCATTGTGTTATTTTAGAAGAATGAATGTAGTTGTCTACATGAACTGTTCATAGATTCCATAAAGAAGCATTGGTCTGCACAGAAGTAAAAGCCAGAACAAGGTACTAGGGATGATTTAACACAGGCTAAATCTTAAACAATGCATAGTGGAGGCCGGAGACAGAAGGAGAGCTATGTGCAATCATGAACATATTTTGTCCACAGAGTTTACAGGATCGATCGAGATACTCTGCAAGCTTGTGTGCAAAAACAAGGAGGTGACCACAAGGCCTCAAGAAGCCAGTCACTGGTCCTCAAAATGGATATGAAAGAGAAGACCATACATGCTACTTTTGACCGAGCAGGGCTTTGTCAGTTACGAACGTACCTCTGATGTTTACGTGACCAAATCCTCTTACAATGACAGATATCATTGAAAATATATTCAAGTGCATCACAAGATGTTCAATCATCATAGCTACAATTTCAGCAAAATAACAATCACACTGAAAATATACTTAAGATGTACGGTAGGTAGAACTGAACAAAATATACCATGGTTAATATAATACAGAGATTCATTTGGTTGCTGTGTCCCTGAAAAATAGCAAATTTAAGGCAAATAAAACCACATCCCCAAGCAGTTTTCAACAAGGGTACATTCACTGGGTGAACAACAACACTTTTCAAAGTAAACGAACCAGCAATAGTTGCATCTCCTGCACATAGACAGGCACAACTGGAAAAGGGTTGTTAATCAACTATTGTTGAATAATAAGCAGCTTTAATTACCAGTTGGCTTTTCAGTACTGTACCGCTCACTGCATTTCATTTTCATCAGTTTCCTCTGTGACTATTGACAGTAAGTGTTAGTGTCAGTATTCTTAAACAATATAGCACAAAGAAAAAGTGGGAGCAGCAGCAGCAGAGGAGCAGCAACAACCTGCATCACTTGTTTTCTATGAGTGTTTGCACTTTGTTGACCAACTCTCGAGCCATCAACAGGACCTGCGGGACGTTGTGTCGCTCTGCCATTTCTGAGAAGAGAAGTTCAGAGTTATTGAGACTTTGAGAAAGTCATTTTCTGGTTTATTTTCCCTAAATAATGACGTCACTGTTATATACTGTTAAGAACTTTTATAAGCAGGACCATACTTGTATACTGAATGCATTTTACATAATCCTGGCTAAAAACTGAACGCAATCTTCTGGCTTAATCAGTCTGTTGTAAACATGATGGTGCTTAGCAATTGCTTAGCCACACTTTTTGTGGCATATTCTTACATCTGTATTTCTCTTCTTCTCTCTCTTCTTACCATTAAAGAACTTGATGATGTCTGTGAAGTCCATGTTGTTTTCCAGGATTATGTCTCGATACATCTCCACAAGAGCCAGAGCGATGAAGAGCCCAAAGTGCTCTGAGGACGTATACTTGGCTGCCCAGATTGTTTCCCACACAGAGTACACATCATCATACACCATTTCTGTTAAGAAACAAAGAATACAACAAGAAATGAGATTCCATCAGGTGTCAGTTCGTCTTTAACTCCTCTTTAATTCCAACCTGCCCACGACCAAATTTCAATTCTCTATGTGTACTGCATCTGTCCTCAATAAATAAACCAAAAGAAAGATAATATCATGATTTTTGTGGTTCCCATAACCTCTTTTGAAGTCAAGTAGAAACCAGCGATAGCAGAAGTAGAAGTGAGTGTAGTCTCCATTCTGTTGCATCAGTTCAAACAGCTCAGAGTCCAGGATCTTATAAATAGAAAAACAAATGTCAACATTTCACCAAAAAGATTTCTTACAGGTATAGGTATTTTTTGTTCACATTCTGTACCTACACACCTGGATGAGAGAGCGCATATTTGCGAAGTGAGAGTCCATGGCACCTCCATGAGGAAAGTTCTGGTTCATCCTCTTCATCAGCTCAGTGAAGCAGCTGAATGCCATGACCTCTGGGAAGCACAACACACAGAAAAGTTCAAAAGTTTCTTATTCTGTCATTATTGAACATTTAGGGAATATAGTTCCTCCAAAACTTACCATCATCCAGGATAACCAGCAGGGGAGCCAGAAGATCACACATGCCCTGGACGTATCCTGTATCCAGATGCTTCCAGACGTAGCTGGAAAACAACAGGATTATCTTTTACAGATGGAAACCGAAGAGTATGTGAGTAGACCTATGCCAGCCTTTGGTTCTGGAAAGTGAAGCCAACGCACAAGTGTCTTTAACATGCATTTCCTCAAATGACCAGCAGGGGGGCGGTTATACTGGTTGCAAAAGTCATCCAGTTATAGAGAAGTCTGAGATTTCCCAACACTTTCTGGGTTGGGCTGCATGTGTTGTTTGGCTACCTTTGGATTAACAGGTTGCTACTCTGGAAACAAGGTTGCTACTCTGGCAACCTGTCAGTCCTGATGGTGAAACAATAATCATTATAGAGAAACAAGGGGGCAAATTATCAATGGTAGACGTCACACACGTAAATTACATTTTGCATGTTGGCTCTTTACCTGCACATGATGTTACGCAGCTTGTCCAGGTTCTCAGGAGTGAAGTACCAATATGCTCTGTCACAGCGTCTGACGTCTTTGTCAATGCGATGTAAATTGATCAGGTACATGTCGAGTATTTCTTGCTAAAAAAAAATCACAGTGATCTTAGTCATTATCAGCTGTAGGATAAAACAGAAGGACTAAATGCATGTCAAACGTAATGCTTACAGAATAGGTCTGTTCTTCTGAGGATTCGTCATGCTTGGTGTCTCCTCCCGCCTCTGCAGACTCTGCTTCAGGGAGCACATTTTCCATCTCCGGCTCCTCTTCAGACAGGCCGAGGTCAGTGCCCTCAGGACTCGTGTCCAGCTGGTGATCCAGAACAGAATCCACTGAAGCCATTTTCTCCCTTCGTGCCAGGCAGACAGGGGGTGCAGCCAGTCCTGCCAAAGGCCTGGCTTTAATATCCTCAGAGTTCACACATGTTATCCCTGCAATGTCCTCCATTTCCAGGGCAGAAGGTGAGTCATCTGAATCGGCTGTGTCCGGAGACTGCCGGGATGATAATGAAAGGCTCCCCCTTGACGCTGACTGAAGAGCGTTCAGAACCTGTCTGACGGGTGAATTTGAACCAGGTTTCTCAAATGGGATTTCTGCCGCTTTTTTGATTTCAGCCAAGTCACACACTGTTGCCTCAGCATCCTTTCTCTCTGATTCCCCGGTGCAGGCCTTTGACATTGGGGATTTTTCCAGAGATGTTCAGGTCTTTTAAGAATCTCTGGCTCTACTTCACTTGTTGGTTCTGTATCTTTTGCTGCAATACTCGGACATAACGGCTCCACTTGCTGATCTTTTTGTGCTTGAAAAGTCAAGGTCTGCCCGAGGGGAGGTGCTTGAAAGTACTCGTTATGAATCTCTGTTTCTAGCTTTAGGACATTAGTGTTCTCTGGAGAACATCTTAAATTCGTATTTGTGTCCACGGCTTTTGAATCATCTGATTGCTCATTTTTTGTTTTATCTTCCTCGTCTGCAGGTTTCTCCGTAGATTCAGACGTCTCTCCTGTGTCCTTAACCACATCACCTTCTGAAGCTGTCTCCACTTTTGTCTCCAAAGCCTCGTCCTTTGCTGCTAGATCCATCACATCCTCTGTTGACACCTCTGCTCTAGCTTTCACTTTCTCATCCAAGACTTCTGGTGCTTCCTCTGGCTGCAGAGAGATTGCAGATCCAACAGCTGACTCCAGTTGGTTTTCTGAACCTGGATGCAGATTTGACAGATCTAAAGAGGAGGGGTTGCAGGAAGGAAGTTGTGGGGTGTCTGCAGATGTACTTGTGCCTTCTTTTGCTGGACTACTGTGCTGATCTTCTCCAACCTCAGACTTGGGTTCAGTCTCAATCTGATCTACTGCCTCGACTGATCCAAAAACCTGGTCACAAAAAGGAAAGTGGCGAACATGCAGATCATATTTTCAAGTAAAGGTCAACACACTTATTTATTACTGAAAATCTTCCATGTTCACAAAGTTTTCTTGCTGCTTCTTATTGAATTCAATGATGATCAAACATTTAAATGTCATCTCACAATCTTTTTTTTTTTTTTTTAACAGTTTCCAAGCATATGATTTTAATTGAGTGAAGGAAATACATCTTAAAGCCTTTTGTATGCTCTTTACTATTGCAGTAAACAATGAAGTTGAAGAAAATATGATAACACTTTTAATACGAAAGAGGTGAAGTCTACTACCTGTGCGCTGCTGCTGGAATCACTTTGTGAGTTTGCATTTTGTGGGTCTGAGCTGCTACATAGAGACGACTGCAGTCGTGGGGGGGGGGGGAGAGAAGAGAATGAAACCAGAACTTTAAACAGAATGCCCATCAAACACAAAACAGTTGCATTGATGATGGTTACATAATGCAGCACATTGCACACTAAGACAAAACATACTTACATCTGTGCTGATGGTGGAGTCCCGCTGCACTGGCGCTCTCTCCACACTGGCTCCAGACGAACATCTGGCGAGAGCCTCAGCGTGTTTCTCCCTCTCCCGCTGAAGGACGATGGCCTCGCAGCCCTGCCACTCCTTCATTGTCTGCTCATACATGGTCCGCATCTGCTCATCTATCTGAAACGCAAACCCTGCGTCAACAAAGACTGCATTGTGTTTATGCATACCTTACAATCCTGTAATCACGCTCTGGGACAGGACATAGTACCTCCAGCCTGCATTTCTCAGTCATGGTGAACTGGTAGTGTCCCAACAGGAAGGGCCAGACCTCTTTGCGTAGTGAAGGAGCCACACCGCCAAAATACACAAGCCGGTGTATCTCCTTTTCCTCAAAGGCCTGGACAAGAGCAAGTCTAGTTATTTATCAACACACACTGAAATCACACAGGGACCATTGAATCTGTCAGGAATTCAAACTGAAATGTGTAACCTAAGGCATTTAGTATATCTTACAGAAGTGTCTTTGAGGAACCTGGACCACACCTCTACAGAGAGGCCTTCTCTGGAAGCAGAGGGCACAACAGGGTCGACTATAGTGGTGTTAACTAGTGCGGAAAGGTGAGTGCGAACCGTGGACAGATGGCGGCAGTATGCAAGCCCTGGAGAGACAAGATGAAGCTTTCATATTGGCCCAGAACAATCAATTTAAAAAACAGATTCCTCAATGAATTGAAGTGAACTAAATGTTGTTTGTACTCACATCCATAGAAAGCACGGGAGATAATCTGATACTTCATGGTGTCACACAGGAGCTTCAAAGGAGCCCTTACAGGACATAATCATTTAAATTTAGAGAGTTTGATGGCGTGAGCTCGTTTTTAACATGTTCCTAGAGAATACTCACCTCTCCTGGTTGCAGCCGTTAGGCAGAGAGCCATCAGAGGAGCCGTTCTGTGAGCAGGACGAGCACGAGGACTTCCTGGGCGTTGGTTGCCACATGTTCACGCCCTGGTCCATCAGCTCCAGAGCCACTGTGCAGAATAAATGCTCTCATCAATACCGCTGTTAAAGTCATCGTCATGAACAAGCAAAAAAAACAATCTGACATCCGATTGATAAGCCATAAGGGAGCATGTTGGGAAAAAGGAAAAACTTTTCAAAAAACTATCATAGACACAAACCAAGAGAAAAGATAAAGATGAAGATGTGAAAGATACATTTATGTTTGACCATTGTGGATAGGACTATAATGTAAAAATGGATGCAAAGGTTACATCCAGGCTAGAAAAGATAAGCCATGTAGCAGTTTAACATTTAAGGGAAATTCTTTAGAATGAGGTACAATAATTATATGACTAGGGCAAACCGATTGATGCACGCTGAAACTGTAGATCTGTATTAAGAGAATAATGTAATCATAGATGTAATCTCTAATGATGCTTAATTGGATTAGCTCAGGGACGCATTACAGCAAGACTAAAGACACTTACTGAACTCCATCTGATTGCCGGGAAAGAGGATCCGAAAGACGTAATCTGTCGCTTCGTCATCCTCCTTATCTGATACAGAATCACAGGAGCCGTGTGGACTTCTTTTCCGCAGTTTGGGGAAAACCTTTCCCTGTGAAATGAAATGTACTCATCTATGTGGCATCGCTGAAATGAGACACAATGATAAAAGTTATCGTTTTGCGCTTGCTTACCTTTCCTCTCTGGTTCCACAGCGGAGGGTCCAGCTGTCCGTGAGGCAGCAGGCCGGTCTCCAGGCAGGTGAGGAACTGCAGGAGGTGGCCACCTTTCGGGAAATGTAAGGGAGGTCTCTGGATCCCATCCTGGCTCACCAAAACGACGGTCCCCCCACTGTTCACTGAAGAAATAACAGTCGAAGAGTTTAAAAAAAAACAGGGAACCCACTCGTACAATGCATACTTTGCATGAATCCTAAAAGGATACTTGTACCTTGCTGATGACAGTGGAGATACACAATCTCATCCAAACGAATTGTCATGGCATAATCCCAATACACACTGAAGGAAAGATGAGAGAATAAGAGCTCTTTAATGAACGCTTTACCAACAGAATTGTAACATTATTTGTATCAGATTGTGCTATAACCTTTTTTCAGAATCAAGCTCTCCCACGCTGCCATTCATCAGCTGATTGGGCGTCCATTTCAGCGTCATGAGGTCAGCAGTTTGGTGTAGAGAGAGGTAGCCTGGGATGGCCTCCATGTCATCTCTCTGCACACACAAGCAAGAGCTTTTGAATCCCTCTTTTAAAGCTCTGTGAAGAATTTTCCCTTTGTGGCGATTTTGGCGCCCCCTGAAGACAAAGCTGTGCTTTTTATCTCTTGTCTTATTTTGTCCTGTAAACATGTAAGTAAGAAATCTCAACCTGCTTTCTCTTAACAGTCAGATTGTCTACCCTGCAGCAGAGGTCTCTGGCATCTACGATCAACAATATAGAAATAATCAATCACTCTCTGACTGTCTTGTTTGCTTCTGTCAGATATGTCAGTGTGTGTCGTCACCAGCTAAAACTCCTCACAGCAGCTTTTAAAGTGAGTATCATGATTATGTTATTATTCTTTAAAAAAAGGAAGGATATAATGAAAACGAGAAACTATGTACCGGCTGCACCAGGACGTTGTTCTTTCCAAACAGGAGTGTGGCTCTGGAGTTTTGGTGAAGGGATTCAACATAGTCCCTCACCCACATGAGAGGGCGGTCATCCATGCTGCCACTGGACTGTCTCTTCTGGATCTGATACAGATCAGTGACACATCTTACATACAGTAGTTTATAGCTGATTACTAGAATAAATAAATGACTCAGTCAATCAGAAGTCCTAACCAGCGCAGGCCGTCTGGAGGGAGAATCCTGCCGACAGTGGCCACTGTGGATGCGATGTCGCTGTACAAGCTCGTCAGCTGACGGGTCGGTCCAGAAATGGTCTGCAGTCTTAACTTTGGTGTACTCCAAAGCACAAGGGCCAACTGTAACAACAAGGTCAACCATTTTTAAGGGACATATACAAGATCTTAAAAATGATCATAAAAACTGTAAAAGGTACAACAGTCTGATTGGAAAGTTGTTAAATACCCAATAGAGATGCAAGAATTGGTCCATCTACAGGATCCATCAGCATGGCTTCCTTCTCATAGAAGGCACTGCAGATATAAACAATTAAAAGCTCCTTTTGCATGCAATAGAAGTGAGGAGAACTGTGAGCTAACCACATCATTTGGGATGTTTTGCATGAATCAAAAGGCTGAAATGTGTGTTGAAGCTGAACCGTGCAACATAAGAAACAGGAAGAGATCTGCATTAAAAATTAAATTGAATGCAGAAGAAACTATTCTGCAGCTAATAGCTTTTGTGCATTAAATGACAGTTTATACAGTACCTGCTGTTCTCCACCAAGTACAAGACAATCTTGTCCAGGAGCTTCTCCATCAGCGCGGTTCGGATCCACAAGTGTTTCAGGGCCTGAGGAGGGAGATTGGCCAACTTGGATTGCCGACTGCGATCATTACTTAGGGAAGCGTTCTGCTTGCTGAAACAACAATGGACCCAACAGATGAGAAGTCTGCATAGGTTGTTTACAAGCATTTAGGACACAACAAGGCACCGGGATGGGTTAGGGCACTGGAAAAGAAAGATTGCATGTAATGATTTTCTGTCCTGGGCCTCTTACAGGGAGTAGTAAACGTTTCACCTGTTTTCTATAAGCTGCTCCACCTCCTGGACTTTGTGGCAGAGCTCCTCGGCAGGGGAAAAGCTCTTTGCCACCTTCATGAAGAGCGCCGCAACCTTGTTGCTGCACAGCAGGCCTGCTATACGACGCTTCAGTCCATGAAGCATGCAGGCTTCCACTACGGCTACACAAACACACACACACACACACACACACACACAGAAACAAAGTGTAAGTCAATATTATTATTCTTTAATTCAAATTCATTCATGCTTTCTTTTCAATGAGCAAAACTGCCCTTGAGTTTTGTTTTTATTTCATATCACACAACATAATCTCCCCTTTTGTGAAAGCATACAGCCTGAATACTTGTAACAAGGGGGAAAAAAACCACAGGTGAAATAGACTCCAATCTGCTGAACACTGTCTACGGTTGCTAGGATATAAGGGATGTGAATCGCACACTCCTCACCCCTGGTTAGTAGCAACACCTTTGAGGGGTGTTAGTTGACTTCAAATCACGTCCTTCCATGTACCTTATTTCATGTAAAAAGATCATGTATAATCACATAATGAAAATAAATCCTTAGCATTTCTTAAACAGACTGTAAAGAACCGTTTTGCTCTGAGAGGATGAACTAGGAGGAAGTGAAACTGATGACGACCATCAGCCTGTGCAGTATATTTACATCTATCTAACCAGTACTGTGACTTATGTCAACAAAACATGCCTTCAGCTATTTCAGGCAAAAAAATACCAATTTTCTCTGAGGTCCACAGCAGGAAAATAAGACACAAATTACACTAATTTGTTCTTCTACTTTCTCTCTCTTTTCAGCCTTCTTTTGTGTAGCCTCAGAATGCAAATTGGAAGTTCATGTAAAATATTAAATCTAAAGGAAAAGCCTTGAATACCCTGGTTTAGTATGAAAAACATTTACCACAGAAAGAAATGATGTGGCTGCTGTCTGCATGTACAAATTTCCTTGTTACAGCCTCCTCCATAATTTGTTTCACCTAAGAGACAAAAGCACATGGTGAGACAAGATTAAATCCATCTGACACGGTGACAAAAAGTGACAAATTAAGAAAATGGGAGAATACAAGAAGTGATGATGAGCAGCAAACGAGCAGCAGTGTCCCAACACATCCGTGACAATGACATGACATAGCACCATTGTTGAACTCTGAACTATAACACATTCATACTCTAGCCATCCTTTTTGTCCTTTTTCCATTTTAACAATTCAAACTGACTATGGAAAGGCAAGTTCAGATATCCTGTGGCGTTCTTCAAATGTCAATTGTTGTATTTTCTAGACTTTTTCTAAATGTTTTCGAAGAATTTTTTTTTTTTGACAACTCTGACTGATCCATGGAAAGTGAGATACACAGGACTTGTGCAATCGGATAAAAACAAGTATTACTTCTTGAATCCTTGCAGGGTAGCTCAAGGCTCTTTTTTCAAAAGTACTTCCCTTTATGTTCAGGAGCTTGAAGAAAACAGGCAGAAGCGCTTCTTGTCAACAGGCAAGGCAAGCAACTGCTTGGGGCCCCAGGTCATTAGAGGGCTGACAAAATATAAACCAAAACAGTGCCACAAATTGTGCAAAGTTTGCAATGACAGTAGGAAACCTCCCTAAGGGGGCCCCATCTGGCAGCACTCACTCACTGTTGCTAAGTGTTGCAGCATCATTGCTCTGAAAACCTGCGTTTGTCAATGACAGACACAAAAGGAAAATTAAGGTTCTTAATGTTCTTAATATTTAAAGTTTGAAAATAATACTTATCACAACTTTGGAAATAAAAAAAAATGCTCACTTTTTTTATTTAAATGTTGATGGTGTCAGAATCTTTATGAGTTATGGCATTATGATTATGAATTCTAGTTGGAGGCTCCCCTGTGAATTTTTGCCTAGGGACTCAACAATCGCCACTGGAAATAGGTTTTCAAATATTGTCACAATTGAGGCAGGCGAGGCCAAAATATCCCAACTTGTATTCCTCCTACACTTCCCATAATACAACTCAGCAGTATCTCAGAGTAAGCTCCTCCTTCTCAGGTAAAAATCTATACCATGTTTATACCACCACATCGCCCCTCTTATCATCCTAATCCTAAAAATTCCCATTTTAAGAGCCTTTGCATTTTGTCATGATCCACAACTCATTTGGTTTGTCGAGCAGAACAAGATTTATTGTGAAATTGACTGAAATTAATGAGAAGTTATGTGCTGTGTATCTACAGAATGACAGAAGAGTGAACCAAAAGGGTCCTGTCATATCGAGATGAAAATCGTTTGCCCTTTTCAGGAGTTAATTGGAATTATATTAAAACGTGACCTGAATCCATCATTTGCAGATGACGTGAATGAAGGCTACAAAATTGTTAGAGTCTCTTTTCTTTATTAAAATCATTCAGTAAAAAATCTGCAAATAGTCCTTTTTTATTATTTTTTTTTTTTTTTACAGCAAACAGATTTCTGTATCAAGCTCAAATAAAAATTCAGATTCTACATTTGATTATGCTTTCAATGCTTTATTAATCTATATAAGATACATAAGCCCCTCCTTGCTGCAGGATCTGGATACACAGTCATGGATGTTTGAGAGGCAATGAGTCACAGGTGAGGGGGAGCACAGACGATATAAGCCTGGAGAAGTACCCAGCTTTCTCAGCAATGAATAAAACATCCTGTGTCTTCTCTCCCTGGGGAATCACTGAGCAGTTTGGAGGAGTCTGTGGGGGTGCCTGGTTCGATTTCTAGTCCGATTAAAATCACAATGGCTCAAAAAAAATGTGAGAGTTAATCAAGTGGAATGTTTTTTTTTTTTGTTACTTTTTTCTCCATATAGTTGATTAGTGGAGCAAAAACTAAACAGATGCAAGGTCACAGCTTTATGTTTTGGATAATAAGATGTCAGTCAGTTTAATCATGATTTCTCCAGAAAAAAACAAAACAAAGATAATCCCAGGAGATGGAAACATGGGCTTTTTGCACACACTGCCTGTTATGTGTGTGTTTTTCTTATCTTTAATAAAAAACCATCACCAGTTTCCCTAACAGTATCATCATCACCAACATCACTATCATCGTCATCATCTCCATATAACAACAGCATGAAGCACACCAGTGTAAAAATGTCACAGCCAGCCTTAATCGATCGACTCTTGTTTTCCGAAATAAATGATCATGTTCATGAAACAGGCCTGTGGCGTTGTCGTGGCTCAAACCGAAGAAACCACGTCCACACATAAACACAGGCATACACACACACACACACACACACACACACACACACACACACACATATGCACACACACACACACACACATGCACACAGAGATTGTCAAAGCCCAAAGCGACAGTAAACACAAACAGTGATGTGCAGGAGAGAAACATGGAGAAAAAAAAAACACGCAACAAACCTCTTTCTTTACATTGCGCAGTAATTTTTGGCGCGTCTCGGCCTCTGTCACAGGAGAAAACATGCCGATTATGCTGATCAGATGCTGTATCTTAAATAAATGATGCTGACGCTCACGACAGGAAAAATAATAACGGCGTTTGTACCTCCCATCGCTCCGGGTGTGGGGTGGTGCTGATGCTGCGCACAGCCTTTGTGGAGAAAGTGTGAAAAGGCAATGTCGACAAGAGTGGAGGAGGAAAAGACGAAGAAGAGGCTCCGGAATACGCGATGTGTTCTTAGGGACTAAATTAAACCTGTCTGTTAGGCTACTTCTCAGCCAACCAACACCCCTTTAAAGCCACAGTATCCTTTACATTGAGCAGCAGGCTACAACGACAACACCCACACACACACGCACACACACACTTGTTCTACTATTGCTAAAAACACATTTCTAAAAGGCACACACTGAAACATGATTCTCACTATTTGTTCATTTATTTACCTACAAATGTTGACCTTTTAATGTTCCTGAGCAGGGGCGTCACCAGGAATCATGGGGGGGGGCGCATGTCCATAGGATCCTGTTTCTGCATGTGTGTGTATATTTCAGCCTATGTGTGTGTTGCATGACTTACAGAGTGTAAAAACTTAAATTTCAATAATCCCTTGCGGGGATCAATAAAAAAAAGTAAAGTAAATCTTAAGTAACACGTACAAGAAACATTGCAAGTGCATTTTATACAGAGACAAAACGTTCAGTCAGCTGTTCCTTTTGTCCAAAGCAATGGCTTCAGGGGTATAGCGTCCCCTAAAGGTGAGCACTGAAGTCTAATGTCGGCACACACAGCCATGGCTAGCTGTCAATACTAAAAACAACAAAGGTTTAGCTCACAGCAGCCCTCTTGTGGCGGGTGTCTGCAACAAGGACAACACATATTGAGAGTCGGTCAGGACCCCTTAGCGTCAGTAATCGACACACGGGGTACCCCTTTGGCGTGCATTTTTGACGCAGAGGGTCGCCCCGTAGACTTCAATACGATTCCCAAAACGTCACATATGTACGCTATGTGACGGTGGCCAGGCCATCCAGCTCGTGGGATACCCCCTACGTCGATCAATGGCGCTAAGCGGTCCTGACCGATAAATATATGACAAGTTGAGTCTGAGCCTCCAACATCTTACATGTTATAACTAGGTCAAAAAACACCATAAAAAAACAAAATCAAGGGGTAGGACATACGTGTGGCTTCAAACTATGAAAATATTTTTTTCCAACACTTCCAACTGGCAAAAAACAACAACCTTAGCCTCTTGTAGTAGCTTCTTAATTGCTTGTCAAAGAACTTTCTAAAATATGAATCAAATCACATGTCAACACATAATGTATTTCCTAACCAAAAGCCCTGAAACAGGAGGAAATACAGACTACAATACAAAAAAATCAAAATGGAGCAGAAACAAATCACATACAGAAACTGGTGATCAAGATCTACTATAATTTTTAGGGTCACACTGGGTCACCAAAAAAACAACTGGATAAAATGCATGATACTGAATGGAGCCATATTCAAAGTCTGCTGAATGAGAAGCTCATTTCCTCATTCCACTCATATAAACACAGCATCAATGAGGCCACAGCAGACACTATCTAAATTTGCCATCAGCAGAGAAATGATAAGCCTTGTGTGAATGAAAGGTTTTCAGCTTGGTCTTTGGCTGGATACACTCTGGCTGTGGTCCAATGACACAGTGAAGAAAGAACAATCTCTGATTCATCTCTCTCCCTATAACTGCAGGATACATAGACAGCTGGAGGATTTGGAGAAAAAACGGCAGTACACTGTAAAAACAAAAAGTCATAACAACATAACATTTTACGTTAGTTTTACTTCAAGTCTATGAAAATGTTGTGTCAACTCAATATTATACGTTTATGTCACCTCAACTAATTGAAACTTTTCCAACTTTGAAAAGTGATTCATTTTAACTTACAAATGGCGAGCTCTGTCAAACCCTGCTTGCTCGCGGAGACATCTGTTGTTAGTGCAACAGAGGGCGCAGCTGTTATTTGTGCTTATCTGCACATGTGATGGAACATTGTCACAAGGCTTGAGCACTTTTTAAAATGTTCATGAAGCGTGGGTCCTCTACTACTTCATATGCGTGCATGTTGTTGCTGGTAGTGATGATGATGGTGACAATAATAATGATGATGTTGTGGAAGAAGATTATAATCATTGCTATAACCTGACATTACATATTCATTCATTTGTTAATATTATAATAATAATATAATAATATATATATATTTTTTTATTTTTTTGTGGTTTGTTTTTCCGTTCCTCTTTCTTCCCAGTCTGATTTTCCCTCAGAGTCTCCATAGCCTACACCAGAGAGCCTATTAAACACACAAGCAAGCACACTGCCGCTTACTCTGTTCTCTTAAAATGGGGTAAAAAAAAAAAAAGGGCGAGGTCTCCCAATGCCAACCTGACTAGAGCTTGCACGATTGTTTGTGTACATTGATTTTATGATCTCGTAAGGGTGATATCTATCTCTCTCTCTCTCTTTTATCACAGCTTCAAGTGAGAGCAGATAACTCACCTGCACTGTCAAGAGGAGACTGTCATGCAGGAGATTTTCCACTTCCACCATCTTCCTCACTCCTTTAAATCAAACATAGAAAAAGAAATTACTGAAAGTTTGGTAGTTTTGAGCAAGTTGTTTAAGTTATTTAAGAAAAAAAGAAAGGAGACAATACATTTGAGGAGAGCACAAGTTGGTTTAGCAGTAGTGTTGTTTCACCTTGATATAGCACAGCTTCAAGTGAGAGCAGATAACCTTTCTCAGATATACTGTTGAAGAAGCTCGTCGCAAAGCAGGATACTGCTCGCCACTGTGGTGGAGATCAGCTCTTTGTCCAGCATGAAGACAAACGTACACTTCCCGGTCAAAGTCAGAGTCATTTCAATCAGAATGGATTACAGCCAAAAACAGCTTGAAATGCAGTCAGAAAAACATCAGTGATAAACGTTTGAGACAGACGGCAGCAAGGATATATTCCAATACAGTTTAATTCATGGATACACCACCACAAAACTCACTCACAGTTCACAACACTGCCTCACTTCTTCGCTGTTTACGTTACTTGCTGCTATTTTATCATACCGAGTCACTTTAATCATCACTTGTCACTTTATCTTGTCATTCTCTGCAAATACTGTCTCAATTCTCAATTCCCCCCCAAGTTAACTTCATCATTCATTTTGTACTGTATATACCCCCTGTTTTTTAATTTATTTATTTATTGATCTTATCTATTCTGTTTAATGTGTATTTTGAGCTTTCTTGCCTGTGCTGCTGTAACGCCCGAATTTCCCCTCTGGGGATCAATAAAGTTTTATCCTATCCTATCCTAAATCAAACAAACTCGTGTCATGTTTTTGACCCCACCCCATTATTAAATCACTGGAACAGGTAAATACAAGAGACAAAATCAGCTAAATGATTTCCATACATATTGAAGCATATTATGAAGCATGATCCTGATTACTCATGCCTAAAAGTGCAGCATTTTCATATTGTAAAATAAGTCATTGTGCTTGAACTATAGCGTTGTTTATCAGTTTCATAAGAAGGGCCTACAGCCTAAAAAATTTCAATGTGAAGAGAAACTTAAAAACTCTTAAAAACAGAGTAGGAGCAGGAGAGAGACAGTAAAGGGTTTAGGGAGGAAGGAAGCATGCAAGGAGGCACTTAGGAGGCTGTGCAAGTATTGGAACCAGACCCGCTTTGTTCAACAGTAGGGGAGGGCAGACGAGCCCGAATCGTTCATTTCAGTCTTCAAGAGCGGACTCTCCTGTCTTATCTTTTGTCTGTGTGTAACGTGTCTTTTAAACATTTGTCTTTGGTGGATTCTATCGAGGGATGTCAAAGCGAGTGCGAAGCAGAGAGGTCTGCGCTGACTGCAGTGCTCCGGGTACGATGTCAAAAGACGCTAGCTTTAGCTGCGGAGCTAACAGCTAGCCCTGACTACAACCAGCTAACCTAGTTTACGTTGACAAATGCTCATGTAAAAACCTGTAATTAGCAACATCTTCGGTGTCTAAATGATACGGTTCTAGATGTGCTTGTTGGAAAAAAAGTTGTCCGGAAATGTAGCATTTGCGTTTTTTAGTCGTGTGTTGTTGACATTGATTTGTCTTAATCCTGAAACTCTTTTTGCTTGAATTGTCAAAACGTAAACAGATGAATTTATTGAACTATGCAACTTATTAACTAATAATGTTAACATTATTATTATTATTATTATTATTATTATTATGACTAACTTAACTAACATACTGATAAGGATATCTGATGTTGACCCCACGCCTTGTTGCATCTGAGGTTGTGTTTTCGGATGTGTTGAAGAAATTGACCTGTGTTGTTTCTGCTGAATATCCTGATATCACTAAAATCGATTAATAACTATAAAAGGCGTGAGTGAGTGTTAAGTTATTAGTCCTAATTATTTAAAGACTTTTCGGCTAAGTAGGATTTCTGTCTTCTTGTGTTTCTGCTTATAATATGTCTACACTCATGCACTTTAACTTATGTCATACTGTCCATTTACAACTGTTTTTGCACATTTACATTTAATCTTCCATATTTACTTTTTAACCATCTACAACTCTGTTTTTGCACATTTACATTCAATCTTCCATATTTAATTTTTAACCATCTACGACTCTGTTTTTGCACATTTACATTCAATTTCCATATTTAATCTTCCTATTTAAGACTAGTAATGCTTAGTGAAATCCTGGTTGTATATATTCACATTCTTATTTTTTGATATCTTTTAGTACTTATTTACTTTTTAGTTAATATTATATTGTGTTTAGATTTGCTAACATTGTGTTTTTTACTTATATTGTGTGTTTGATAACCTGCTGCTGTAACGCCACAATTTCCCAGTTTGCGATCAGTAAAATAATTCTATTCTTTTCTATTCTTTTAGAGCCACGCTGGGCCTCTGTTAATAGGGGTGTTTTGATCTGTGATGAGTGCTGCAGCATCCACAGAGGTCTTGGGCGACACAGCTCTCAAGTCCGACATTTGACTCATTCGTCATGGCCATCTTCTCAGCTACAGGTGAACACAGCAAACACCCTAAACAGCCAGATGCAAGCTGTTTCATACATTGGTTGACATGTCATGTCATATCAAATATCCAGGTTACTGTCTTAACATGACATGTGTTGTGTTTTCATGTTACTAGATGGTCCAGACACTGTATGGCAATGGAGCTAATTCCATATGGGAGCACAGCCTTCTGGATCCTTCTTCCTCAACAACCGGGAAGCGCAAAGCCAACCCTCAGGACAGAGTACAGTGAGTGTCCTTTAGGGATGTGTCAGTGCTGATTATGATGTGCTTGTTTGCACTTTGAGATAAAGCTCTGTTGGTGACATGGATTTTTATAGTGAAGGTCAGTGAACGTGCATAATTGGGTTTCTGAACCATGAACATGACTCATGGCTTGTTGGTCTCGAATAACCTTTAGAAACTAATTGGATTGATCGTGTGAATTATAAAAAAAAGACAACAAAATGAATTCAGTGTACTAAAAAAAACTTTTTTTGAGATGATTAACTGAAGTATTGTGCATGTGAGTAACTTTCCCTTATAAGGTTTTTTTTTTTTTTTTTTTACAATCATTATGTACTATAACTTGTATAGCTGTGATGGAGTCACCCACATCCACTGTCTGGTATAAACACTGTGTCAGTCTCGTGTCTAACTGGCGGAGTAAGGATAAACATTAAGCCACGTATAAACACAAGCAGCGCTCACACTTTTAGCAAATGCACTTAATCACAAGACAACCTACAGAGACAGACAGAGAAAGTTGGTATGAAACCAAACAGGAGGCAGATTTCTGATTCCAGGATATGACATAATTGCTACCTTATTAGGTGTTTCCAACTGTTTTGTTCACAATGGACCACAGCTAAATTTAGTTCCTGTCTTCCAGGTATAATAAAAGCTCCTTCTTGGGATGGAGTGGGTGTGGGGAGTAGTGGTAAAGCACTTTCACGCTGTAATACTGTTGACTGCAGCTGTGTCAGCTTCCTCTTTTCACAAAACCAGGAAGTTTGCTTGTAATGACCAAAGGACATGGTGACAAAATTAGGCTTTGTTGCAGTAACCCCTCTAATGTAGGAGCTGTAACCTACATGTCTGGATACCATCAGAGAACAAGTGTTCATGTGACAGTGAGGGGGGCCGGGGCGGGGGGAGGGGGGGGGCGGGGCACTTGATCAAGAAAGAGTTTAAATGTGAATGTTGTCTCAGCTGTCTGCCTTATTTCATTCTACAATATCAATACATCCCTAGTTGAGATCTGTAAAAAAAAAAAACGTCGTTGTCGATCATGTGAAGTGATAGTCACTTAAAAAATGACGATGCTGGTAAAGGTTTTCAGTGTTGCTGGTTTTAGTTGGCTTTTTTCTTCTTCTTTTTTTAAGTCCCAACAAGACGGAGTTCATCAAGGGCAAATACCAGATGTTGGCATATGTCCATCGGATGCCTTGTCGGGAGGATGACAGTGTTACCGCAAAAGACCTCAGCAAGGTGAGAAATGTACTCTTAGTGTTTTTAGTGGATTTTAATTGTTTTGTTTTTAACTAATATGGCAGCGCGAGAGAGACAGGGAACGTGGAGAGAGAGAGAGAGAGCGAGAGAGGAGGACCTCTGATTAGAGGACTATAACCTCTGAGCACTAATCGACCAACTGAGCAAAACCAACCCCCCCCCCCCGAAAAATTGGTGGCTTTTTTGGTTGAGCCAATTAGATTCTGTGGTTGAAACCCAGCGTGCTGTGGAGAAATAAAGTAAAGCTCGTCTTCTCATTCCAACAAACTGAAGGACTTACATTGCCGAAGTTCAACCAGGTTTTTTTTTCTTATGTAACTTTTTTATCAGACCACTTCCTATATATTCCAGAAATGTCGTCTTGACCTATTTATGGACACAGATTTTGCATTCTGTCCCACTGCAACATACTGCCGCTCACATTTCCTGAACTGGACACGCTAGGACTTTGAATATCAAACTGTGTAAGCTGTCTGACCCAAACTCTGACATCCTCTACCTCTGTGTCATGCTTCTCTTGGATTTTTGCTTTGAATTCCGTGTTATTTCCCGTAGATAAATAAAGTACAAGCTGAATTATATGCATGTCAAACACAGACATTTCAAAAGCCATCAATGGCTGTCCAACGGCGAAGTCTTTATCGTTCAGAAAGTGAAGAGTGCATGAAGGGTAACGTACAGAATACATAAAAAATACACATACAAAAATTGTCTCTCCCTTGCAAGAATCCAATTTTATTTATGTTGATATTTATCAGGTCGATCAGTTCTTGGCAGGTGTATTCAGTGACGCAAATACTATCTGTTGGCACTTGAAAATCAGCTAAAAAAAAAAAAAACAACCCATTGATTTATCCTTTCCTTTCAGCAACTTCATTCCAGCGTTCGGACTGGAAACCTGGAGACCTGCCTCAGACTCTTATCTTTGGGAGCACAGGCCAACTTCTTCCATCCAGTACGTATAGTGGAAAAAGCAAGCAAACGTTAATGAGAGTTGACATAATACTGATGCTTCATTATTATGTTGTTTTCTTTGGGACAATAGGAGAAAGGAAACACCCCACTGCACATAACAGCAAAAGCAGGACAGATGTTACAGGCCGAACTGTTGGCAGTTTATGGAGCTGATCCCGGAGCTCTGGACTCGAGCGGGAAGACCCCCATTGATTATGCAAGGTAATGCAGGGTCAATGTTTTTGAGGACTGACTCATGACAGTGACTCCTTACTCCACCTCTGTCAACCACAAGTACTGGTTAGTTTGATTTGTCGAGCTGTTGGCTAAACAGATAATCAAACTCAACATCCAGCTGTTTCCCCCCCCCCCACTATTGCGGTTTGAATGATCAACGCATCGAGGGGCTGAGAGCACCAAAAAGCCCAGCTTACTGTCGACTGTAGTACAGGAAATGATTCCCATCCTCGTGTGATTTTAGCGTGCGCTCAGGAACAAACCCTTGTGTGAATTATATGAAGAGTTTTGTATGAGGAAATGTAAAACTTAAGAGGAAAGTAACAGAATCACTGGTTAGGAAAAGAGTTATTAACTTTGAAGAAATAGTCTCAAATGTTTAGCAATACAATGAACATTAGAAATAGACCCTTAGGGCGTTGGGTGGGTGTGACTAATTCAATAAGTGTTTCACTAACTGGGCCAAGATGGGAAGGAGAAACTTGGACTGAAGATGCAGAGACACAGAAACATTATTCAATGATTCGTCATGTTAATTAGAGGTGTGATTTTTTTGTGGTTATTGAAAGTATTTTAAAGAGAAACATAAATGATAAAGACATGCTAAGACAGATAGTAAAAGACAGATACAGAATCATGGGCTTGTTTTAAAAAAAAAATCCCCCCCAAAAAAAAAAAGATCCTAGAAAAAGATTAACCAAACCATATTTGTATACAGAATGAGAAATAAATGAATGCTTTTAAAAAAAAAAAAAAAGCATAAACAAAATGTGTGCTATTCGTAAATAGTATATTGATATGCTCACTGCACCTTAATCTGTATATTATAATCCTAAAAATACACTTATATTTATAGCATTTATTTATATTTATAGCATCCCATTAATCCAGCCATCCATATATACCTAATAATTCACTTTTTTTTAGTCTACATCTGTAAATTTTGTAATTACTGTACATAGCACAGACTCTTGCACTTTCCGCTTATTTGCACTTCTGGTGAGATGCCAAACCTCATTTCGTTACTCTATACTTGTATATGTGTAATGACAATAAAGTTGAATCTCATCTCATCTCATATCCTACCTCAGTCATGCTTAAGTCTTAGTGATTCTCCATAGTTCTCGAGCGTGACCTTTGATTCTGTTTTCTCTGTGCAGACAAGCTGGGCACCAGGAGCTGGCAGAGCGGCTGGTGGAGATCCAGTATGAGCTCACTGACCGATTAACATTTTACCTCTGTGGGAGAAGACCAGGTAAGCAGGAGGCATATTAGACCTCATTTCATCCACACATGACATTACAGAGCTGACGTCTTTCCACTTTTCTATGATAGTTTCTCTCTCATTATCTCCTCGTTGTTTTGTAGATCACAGAAACGGGCAACACTTCATCATTCCACAGATGGCAGACAGGTAAGAGCTCTTTTTCAGTCATTTCAGAAGTTGAAATGTCTTGCACCACACTACCAGTCTTTTTTTTTTTTTTTTTTTTAATGTCAGCTAGAACGTGCTGCATGTTTTACTGTTGCTATGGTATTTTCCCTGTGCTGCTTTGTTCTGATGGATAAGAAATGAGTAAGTATGACTTTCGTTCTGCTGTTTTCGCTGTCTTGTTTTCACGGAATTCTGTGAGCAAAAAAAAATCATCAATTTGACTTTCTTTTCCCGTCCAAAGCAGCCTGGATTTGTCAGAGTTTGCAAAAGCTGCAAAGAAGAAGCTCCAGTCGGTGAGACATGTAGTTTGAGGTTTACGATGTTTTGTGTTTTACATTCTCTTGTTGAAGTGTTTTTTTGAAATGAACCAAACGTTCTGTTTGTTTCAGCTAAGTAACCATCAGTTTGAAGAACTTGCTATGGATGTTTATGACGAAGTGGACAGAAGAGAAACGGATGCAGGTAATTAAAAAAAAAAAAAAAAGAACAAAATGTGATGCTGTTTATCTCTGCTTTTATAGACATTCAACTTCGATGTTGAATAAATCTTGTGCTTTTGATTATTACAGTGTGGTTGGCCACCCAGAACCACAGCACACTTGTAACAGACACCACAGTTGTGCCTTTCCTGCCTGTCAACCCCGAGTACTCGTCCACCAGAAACCAGGTAAGTGACTGCACTCAGTGTTTTTTTTTTTTCCTTTCGGATCTTCTATGTGATCGGGGAGAAGTGGATTTAACAGAGCTGCCATGTTTTTAACTTTTTTTATCTGTTTTGTCAGGGTCGTCAGAAACTGGCACGGTTTAGTGCTCATGAATTTGCCACACTGGTTATCGATATTCTAACTGATGCTAAACGGCGGCAGTGGGGTAATTCCTGTGACAGTCCCAAAGGTAGGAGAGGTCTTTTATTGTTTTTGTTTTTTTATATAGACCATGAATGTCTTTGTTTATGTCCTTTTGTTTCTGTTTATGTTGTTTTAATGCAGGAAAATTGTTAATTAGTTATTCACATAAGATTTTCATTTTTTAGTTAAGAAAGCTTAAATTGCTAAATAACTATTTACCATGTGGGCTCAGCTAAACAATCCACAATCAGAACATGAAGTCCTTTAGACCAGGGCTTCTCAACTGGTGGGTCGGGACCCTAAAGTGGGTCACAGAGCCATTTTCAGTGGGTCGCGATCCCGCAAATGTGGGCCTGGAAAAAAAAATGGTGTCAAAAAGTCAGAGGAGTGCTTTATAAACCTGTTTGTTTTGATCCATCTCTTTGTTCTGTCACATGTTTTCTACCATCTGACGCCCAAACTGCCCATTTTTCATTAAGTAAATTTGATAAGTAAAAAGAAAACTAAAATTTGGATCAAATTTCTCTTAAAGGCTTTATATGCGATTTTTTGATCCAGCAGATGTCGCCCTTGAGCACCAGCATGAAACCAAAACAACTCGCGCTGCATTGTTGTGTTAGCACGCTAATGCTAGCGATCTTTATTATGCTCGTATCTTCACACTGCATGTAAATTTACCCGAAATGACCGTGATCTAGAAACGCTTACGTGACATTCAATTAAGCAGTGAGTACAGTATGTTATTCTTCTTTTCTCTAGTCCCTCAATTAAACAACTTTTAATCGCGAGGGGATGAGCTGGCCGGCCGTCCGGGCGATGTAAACAAAGTGAAGATAGGACTCAGAAAACATCACAGACAGTGGGACTCAGGCGTTACACTCATTGTAAACAGTCATGACTCACAGAGTTATTTTCAGAGGATATACGCATATTAAGTCTTTAAAGCAGTTGGTGGTGGGTCCTGAGACTAGCTCAGTTGAGGAATGCTGCTTTAGACCGTATGTGCAGGTGTTCGTGCAGAAACTTTGCCCATCACATATTGTTCATTGTGGCTTTAACAATGAAAACCCCTGACTTCTATAAATCATAGCAAACCACACTAGAGCCTGTTTTCTCTCTCGAACAAACTCAAGAACATTCAGATTCAGGCCAGTATAGAAGAGTAAGCCCTGACTTTTGGATTCAGTAAACACAAATGTAACGCCTTCTTTAGTATTTGATTGATACAGCTGCCGGTTTGCAGCGAGGCTTGTTTGATATCTGATGCTTTGATTTAATGGTCTCTCTTCAGATAATGTGGAGCTGATCCTTCAGGGAATCAACAGCCACCATAACAGCGAGAGCCAAGACAACGACCAGCCGGATTACGACAGTGTGGCGTCAGATGAGGATCCGGTGCAAGAGGCAACCTGTGGGGACAGCTGCAATGATAGAAGGACCAAGGTGGATGTTGTTCTGAGATAATTCAACACGTCTTGCTTTACGTTTTTTTTTTTTTTTTTTTTAAATGGACAAACTGATGCTTAACTATGTGACATGTTCTCCTGCAGAGTTCAGAGTCATCTGACCTCTCTGATGGGCCAATCACAGTGCAGGAATTTTTGGAGGTAAAGACCGCCCTCACTGCGTCCGAAGCCAAAATACAACAGCTTCTAAAAGTCAACTGTCACCTGAGTGAAGAGCTGCGGATGATGCAGAGCAAGGTCAGTGAATTCACATGTGATTGATGAGTAGAGTGGGATTTTAAATCAGAGGTTTTTTTTTTTCACACTTCTGGTTTTTACAGTAAAGTGTTCAAACACAAAAAAACTTATAGTCTGATTTACAGCCCTTAAATGAGATGGTATCACACATTAAAAGTTAAAGACTAGAGCTCACTTTTCTCTGGCTTTATGTCATTCACATTCTCTCTCATACTTCTTATGTGGGAAGCCTTTCTTTCCTCTCGACTGTAAAACAGCCAGTGTTAAAAAAAAAAATGTTAGTTTGCCGTGCAAGACTTGATCATTCTCCGTGTTGTGAGAGACATTGAGCAATACGATTTCACCATCGGACATTACAAATGTATGGTCAGGTTTTGGGGCGGCAGGCTGCCCCCCTAATATAATGGTAGGGGAAACACTGCAGTTTAAATAAATGAATATACAATTGACCGTACAAACTCAGTCATGTCAGTTCACTCTGAGTTAACTAACTAATGAATCATAGAGATTGTTATATATGCTTCTGGATGTGGCAAAATTCCTGTGGTAATAATTAACAGCACACCAGACCTCCTCTGGTGTGCTGTTCAGTGGAAAACAGATCAGATGTCGTATTTCTGTGACATGGGACTCTGAATCCTCGCTCTGATGCAGACCACCAATGTCAGAACAGCTGAGTACGTTTATCAACAAATAGTGATTATGGAGGTCTCTATGATGCGTCATTGTAAGTTTACTCAATCACAATCAAAAAAACAGCTTAAAACTGCAGTGATGAGAGCTTTAAGTGTGAAAGATCATTGAAAAATAAAGATCACTACATGGAGCAAGCATAAGCGTCACACGATCAGGCTATATGTATTATTATTCTGGGCAAATCACAGCGCTCATTTCCTTATTTCTGAGAAGTACAAAAGTAGATTGTCCCACTTAGCCCCACTAGTACTTAGAAATGCATTTTTTTTTTTTTTTTTTACTTACTGTGAGGAAATCCTCCTCTGTTAATATTTCTACCACTTCAGTAAAAGTTTCCAGAACATCCTGGTTATACAGGCATATCAACAGAACCTGTAGTGGACTGTGTTCGCTATGATCACTCCTTTTTTTTGTTAGAATATATTTCTACCGAATTACCGCCTTTTCTACATTTGGCATTTGGATTTCAACTCGTCCTGATTGTTTTTTAAACACATTTACACTCAGATTCTATCCCATCCACCCATACTAGTCCCTCCTCAAAGACACGAGCAAATCAGCAGAAGCAATCTGTCGGTGATCGGATTTTCTAGCCTCAGCTCTAGACTACATTTGCTTGTTAAAGGAAGTTGGTGTGTTTAAAATAGACAATACAGATTGTCACTTAGAGACCCATATTAGGACATGGAAGTATTTAAAAAAGAGAACTGTCTGCAGCCCACTTTCTTCTTTTAATTTGCCTGAGAGACAGTTTGAACTCAATGTTCTGCCTCCTCCTGCTGGAAACATACAAGTAAAGTGGGCTGTGAATACGCCTCTTCTGATAATCATGTTAAATGTAGAGTCTCAGGCAGACGCTCAAGAAAAGGAAACTTGTTTTAGCCTGGTAGCACAGACCTCTATGTCCTTGAAGTCTCTGCCTTTGTGGCATTAGATTCTTTGTTATTCCTCTTATATGTCAATTTATTTGACTTTATACTAGAGAGTGACTTCTTTAAGATGTTGTAAATAAAGAAAGAAGAAGCCTGCTGTCCGTTGCATTTTACAATTTCAAACTGTATTTCATGTAAATAAGGGCAACCACTTGGGCAGCAGTTTCTCAAGGGGTCATTCTTCAGTAGTTGCTGTCAACACTCTTGTGTCAGCATGTTTTTTGTTTAAGAAACAAACCTTTTGTTGTGAGAAACACCGTTGAAGAGAAACCAAATACAAGAGGGAGTCGAAGATGAGCCCAGCATAAAGGTTTTGCTTTTCCCCCTGCAGGGCTGAGCTGTATTCCACTCTATTATTAATACCTGGCAGAGCCTTTGTAAGGAGATCATACCCCAGCTCCACTTGAACTGAAAGATGTTTTGTTCTTCTCAGCTGAGCTCCCTGCAGACTGAAAACACATCGCTGCGATGGCAGACCCCCAGTGGACAGCAGCAGCCCCAGGGGCCCTGTGGTCGACACCCACCCCGCGGAGGTCGCGCCATATCCATGTATGAGACGGGCTCCACTCCGAGACAGTTCCCCCACCGCGTCGACACGGCTCGGCATGAGGACGGAGTCATTTTACAACCTTTCCCGACTAATGTAAGCACACACAAGCACCAATGTTCCTGCTGGTTTGTCGTCAAAAGACAAATCAATGATGCCTGGCTTGGGGCTGGTGTTGGTTTTTCATTCATTCATTCATTCAATCATCGTTCATTGCATCTCAATAGAGTATGCTCAACTTGGTTTGACCCCTTTCTAGATTGGGAGGGGTCCTTTGGGGACGGCTGCTTCCTCCCTCCCTACCTTCCCCTCTTCCCTGTCCTGGTCGTGGGATGAGAGATCTCGAAGGGTTAAGTACTGATGTACTGAAGACGGTGAAAACCCGTCCCGCTGCTTGACCCCACAGTCTTCTCTATCCTGACCTGTGTCTTTAAACTGCTTCTTTTTTTTTTTTTCATCGGTTATGGCCTGCCTGCCTGCTTGCATGCACCACAGTGCCTCTGCTTCAGTTCAGTCATCTGAACACCTTGTTCACCACTCAGCTTGTTATCCACACAAAACCTCAAAGGAGAAGAAGTGAGGACGAGATGTGGCCCCAGAGAAAGCTGTTTGATCAGTCAGGCTGCTGGGTTCAGTATCTATAAAAGATAGATAACATGGCTAATAACAATTAAGTCCTATCTGTTGTTCCACAGTTCACATCAGGATTTCTCTGCATTTACTAATAGCATCCACTGCAGTACACACCGTGTTACACAACATGACACGGTTGTATATCTCCTGTCTTTTTCTCTTCATCTACTCTAAAGCCAAATGTCTCCTACTGTGAGCTCGGTTTGAACTCAGAAATGCATGATTCTGATTTATTTGTGCCTACTGTTAGAAAATGTGTTAATCATACCGGAGATAATGTTGTCACTTGGTGGTAATTGAATGATGTCTCTATAGGGCTGTAGTCTGGAGGGACAGAATATCATGCTGGAGAATGACTACGACATGACGCCCAACCACTCTGAACTGGACGAACTGGGTAAGAACATTCGTGTTAAGTTTGTGCACCACAGCTCTTAATCACTTTTTTTTTTTTTTTTTTTTTTTACATTTTTGTTCTCCCTTTGTAGTTTGTAGCCAGAGACTATGACTTCACTTTGGCAGAAACAGAGTTTAAGTTTACTTGGAAGTGAGGGGGAGGCTGGACTAATAATTTGTCTGGACGAATGTTAGGACAGTTTTACCAGTCTGACTCCACAGGACAGAGATTCATATGAAAGGACTTGCATTTGTCTGACGAAAGCTACCAGTTGTAGAAAAATCCACATACGGACAAATATCAGCAAATGAATTAAATCCATAATTACATTTTTTTAAAACCTGAATTTTTCACCTCTTGAAACCCGTTTAACTAAATGTATTGAAATGAGTTCTTTATGAGATACACATTCATACAGCACTGTATTAGGATACAGAATGAGTTTTTCTTTTAATTTCTAGCAGCCCTCTGCCAGGGTCTGACGCAGGCGAGCCGGGGGAAGACGGTGAGCGAGATGCCACCCTGCCGTGCACAGAGGACGTCATCTGTAAGACGGAGCAGATCACTAAGAACATACAAGAGCTTCTGAGAGCTGCACAGGAGACCAAACATGAAAGGTAGTATAAGATCTTGAGATTATTATCCTGTCGTATAAAATAAGTCTCTTTTATATGAAGTGCTTTTTTTAATGTCATTTGAGCTTTAACGTTGTTAGGCTACATATGATCCATGACTGTATTTCTGACATTCTGCGTGTCCTTTTGGGGAAAAGAAAGGAAATGGTGTTTCAGCCTTCATCACAGCTGGTTCTATGTCAGTGGTTTCCAGTAGTCGTCCTCAGGGACCAGGGCGCTGCTGGTTTGAATCTTTCATAGTCAGCTAACAAAGACGGATTTTAACCCAGAGTTGCAGTGATTTGATAAACCAGCAGCACCCTTCTCCCAAAGAGCAGCATTCAGAACCCTCCTGAATTTTGGCCTCGCAGACGGGCCCATGTCCTTGTGTCTTAGAAACTGCAGCTGACAGGAAACAAACACCACATGACCACATACTCCCCAGTGACCTTTAAATCCACAGCGAGTCAGTGTAGATAATGAGGTGTCCTGCAGTCAGCCATGAACTAATTCTTTGTTTGTTTTTTTATAATTTTCCTCCATTCTCCAGCATTTTAATGATTTAAGATATAAATGTTTCACCTCGTGCCAGCTTAACCATTAAAAATACTTTAAAATCAACAGTGTTCATTATTCAGCAGTGTAATTCCTCAGAGTTTTAGCAGCTGACTTGGCTTGCTGTTAGTGCTGAAACTGATCAGGCTCTGTGTTGTGGTCCGTTCCGATCGCTCTCACCCGGTCTGCATCATGCAGGTAACAGCTGGTGGCTGTGTAGTGACAACTATCAGCGGCCTCCTGTTAGTAACGTTACAGCCTGCTGTAGTCTGTTACTGTAAACGTAGACAATGTGACGGAGATATAGCTCCTAAACGTGCATCGTTTGCAATGTGTGTGAAAAAAAGATCACATATAAAACTTAAAAAGATTTAAAAAGAAAAGTTCATCTGAGATTCACGGAGAAGCATTTTGATTTGCAGTGATGATGTGAAACAGCACAGTTTGAGTTGTTTAGCTGAGAAGTTGGAAAAAAATATTACAAACGTCTTTTTTCTTTTTGGGTCGATCCCGGAGAAACGATCCGATCTGTTAGAAAAAAAAAACATGATGTTATCTTAACAGTGGAGGTTGTGATCCGTGACACCACTACTTGACATACAAATTAGGTCATATTTTTCTCGTTGGGCCAAACAATACTGCTTTCAGTTGATGTTCCCTATTAAAAATAATAATAATAGAAATACTGATGTTGATGCCGGGTGTCTGTTTTTGTTTTGTTTTTTAAGTCCCAACAAACATGTCCGACAACCAAGAGTTATTTAATCTCACACTTGTTCTGATGTGACTCTTGCTTTTTTTGAAATTTCCACAAGTGTCGTCTTTTTTTTTCAACATACATGATCATAAACAGCAGATATAAAGTATGTTTTACATCTTAATAGTGTACGTGTGCAAACAGCAGCAGCAGTTGTAATTAGGTGCACTGGATAAACCAGTTTGATGATATGAAACGAGGCTTTACGAGGTTCTTTGTCTATGATTGTAAAACTCCTCTTATTGGAATGAAAAGTGTCCTGTCATTATAGATGAGTAGTCAATTGTTTGTAGGACAATAACATCATGTTTCCTTTCCCTTAGGCTTAATGATTAGGAATGTTTTTGGTGTCTGCTTTGCTTTGGTGCTCGTATATACGCCACAGGTCGATTCCCCCAGTCAGCCATTTGTCTCCCTTCCCACAGCTTCCTGCCTTGTTCAGAAAAAATCTGTGTGGCTGTGACTGAGATGGCCGCCCTTTTTCCCAAGGTAAGACGACTCCGACCAACATCCTCCCCCTCCCCCCCGAGCAGTTATAGGATTTGTACTTTGTTAGAAAACAGCCAAGGGGAATCGAAGCAGACTCGTTTGAAATGGGAAGGTCCAGTTAACCACATTACTTGTTTTATGTTCGCTATATATTGGGTTACTTTGTTTTATGTTGACTCTCACTCACACACATAGCCATCTGAGAGGGTTTTTATTTATGGAAGCTGTCAGTTCAGTTCCTTATCAAGTCTCCATCATCCCTCCATTCCCTCACAGAGGCCGTCGTCAGAGACCGTGCGCGGGTCTCTGTGTCTGCTCACATCGAGCGCCAGCCGGCTCCACGGAGAGTGCCAGAAGGCCGCGGATCACAGTCCCTGCCCGGCGGACATCCAGCTGGTCACTCAGCAGGTCATCCAGTGCGCCTATGACATTGCCAAAGCTGCCAAGCAACTTGTCACTGTGACAACCAAAGAAAACAACAACTAGTAACTGAACCCCAAAGACATTCCTGATAAACACCCCAAATACAGTTTAACGGTGTTGCTAATTTTCCAATTAATTAGTGTTAACACCATTTCCCCCCCCCTGAATTATCTATGTAAGGCTCACATACATTCCTTAAGTTGAGAAAACATTTAAAAAAAAAAAAAAAAAAAAAGCTTAACCATTCAAAGTTAACGATTAATAAAAACATTAGTTTTATTTAGTTGTCTTTGTATCAAGGTTATAGGTAGTGAACGTCATCTTTAAAAGTAGGACCGAATCTGATTCTACTCTTAACCTCACGATGTGAAAGTAGTTGAATCCACAAAATGTCCTCAAGTGCAATCCTGTGTGCGTACATCCAAAACAAATAGAACAAGTTATTGAGTCTCATACGTTGTACTTCTCCCCGTAGAGGTCATCAGTGTAGCTCCTCCAGGTCAGACCAATCTACAGTAGATGAACTATACTTAACACCGGTGACATTAGTCGTTTCCCTATAGCCGTTTTTAAGATGCAATGACAGTATTTTAATCTTGAATCATCATGACACCGCTCGCTTTGAGTTTCAAATGTTTGTTTCGTAAGCAAACTGTGATTTTTAGAAAACCGCTTCACAAGAATGAGCACCGTGTTGAGGCCAGCAGATCCAGGAGTGTGCCAACGATCAATCCATCCAGAAGCTCATGTCACAGTTCAGTCCCTCCTCTCTGGTTTAAGACGTGTTTTTAGGTGAAGCATCGATAGTTTTGGAGTTAAGATGTTACAGCCATACTTCTGATGTTGTGTGTATGTGAATGTGTGCTTGCAAGTGTGTGTGTGTGTGTGTGTGTGTGTGTGTGTGTGGGCAATACTGTCACAGAGAATGGCCCGAGGGCTCATGTGAAACCCAATTTTGAATCAATTTTAATAGCATTATGCAAATATATAAGATGTATGTATCCATGTAATTCTTTATCAGAATAACCCAAATGCTATTCTATTTATGAACTTGTATGTCATACCTCTAAGAAAATATCAATGTTTATTTTTTCATAAGCTTTTGTCTAACATGATGCTCCTCACAGACTAACTTGTGTTCTGAGGTTTGGGACAGCTCAGCCGGCAGTAAGTTAAAGGCACCTGGTGAAAAACGCTCTGTTTAATTGATGTGGCATGCTAACTCCAGTGTTTTAGATGCTACGTGGTCAAATATGTACAGCTGTGTTTTACAATCACTGATCACAGTTAATATCCTTTAGGAGTTAGAGTACTTGTTGTAAAACCTGGTGTCCTATGTGCCACTCGTTGTGAGGCAGGAACGTTTAAACCAGGGGTGGACAGAGAAAAGAAATCCCTGTTCATTCAATATTCCTCCAGTAGACCATCAGTTTTGTCTTCAGTTTAAAAAAAAAAAAAAGTGTAAGTAATAAACACGTTACATCTGGTCGACATGAAAGAATGCGACTGTAACAGTTTCAGTGTAAACGTTCAACCTCGTCCTCTTAAGAATCAAAAATTCTGGAGTAATTTCCAAAGTGGTGAAATTCTTTCAAAGCACATTTCAGAACAGGTTTTCATAGATGAATAAGTGAATGTCCACAAATTAATTGTTTATATCTTCTGTTTAAAACAAATGTCTTAAAAATGTGTGTTTTTTTTTTTTTTTTTAACTTTGCATTTACTTGATGACCCTGCAACTAAATTCCATGGCCTAAGAGTCTGCTTTTGTTGGTTGTTTACTTGTGTTTATAAATTATACATTTGTAAAAATATTTTTTATGGTGTATTTTTAATTCTGCCCTTTTCGTGAAAAAACAGTACGACTGGTTTATATTAGCTAGTATGGCCACAAGCTTATGAAAGTTTTTGGTCAAACTAGATCATGTGTTTTTTTGTTGTTTTTTGTTGTTTTGTTTTTACCCTTGAGTGTGAATTAAACAATGATGCCATTTTTGCTTAAGCTGTCAAACTTTAAACTTACAAGGGGAATAAAAGCTGACTTTACTTTTAAAAGTTAGATGGCTTTAAGTCTTTATTTAAAACCCAAGTATTGTAACAGAGCCATGGGAGCATTGGCTGAAATTGTGCTTATTAAACAACCTTAAAATTACCTCAGAGCTCCTACAAAATAAAGTTAAAATACAGATTTTCAAAGTAATGGCTCGCTTTCATGTAGGTAACTCTCCACTCCTGGTTTAACCCTGACATTTAATCCCCTGTAACTTTAAGCCTGCCGCTGCCTCTGTTGTTGAAACCATACCTACCTTAGGTATAATAAAGTATTATCCATACCTCAACTCGGTCTTTGTCGTGCTTTGTTTGGGGATACAGCGGTTTTCAACACGCCTATGTATATTCCCCCCCCACCACCACCACCTGTTGGATGAGGACGCGATAGGGGGCTGGTGTCGCTTCCCCACCCATCTGACAAAAAAAAAAAAAGAGTTCCGGGTTGTCTACAACCAAGAGCCGCTCGCCACAGCTGCCTGTTCAGACGGCGGGAACATGTCTCTTTTACTGGATAATCAATTCAAAGAGCTACCTCCAGACAAGTCGATAGACACAAAGTTGTTCCTGGAGACTGTCGCTCATCTGCCAACATTTTTCGGTGAGTGTGCCTCCATTTAAACTCGATAAAAACACACACACACACACACACCGAGAGTGTCTGAGGCGGTCGTTTCGTTTAAGGATATGGTTCATACTTGGCTGACTTCTTCCTCATGACATGTATTGCTAAATGACTTGTCACTTCTTCTCTGGCACCAGGTCGTGGTTATTTCACGCATACACAGCAGAAGAGCAGCACCATTGGTCGAGCTGTACCAGCTGTGTCGCCTGTATAGGGACAGTCTTTGTTTACTCATTGCACAGTGGCATACATTGAGCTCATTGTGCCTTTATCTTACTAGTGCATTCACTGCATGTTTAGCCCTTACTGTTCACATTTAAATGCTGACCTGCATTCATGGTTCCTTCTGAGCGAGGGACTTGTGTGATGAAGTCATTCATATTTAATTGATGTACTCTCAAATGTCTTGTCTTTCAGACTGCCTGGGTTCAAAGGTGTTTTCACCCATTAAATCAGATATCAGCGGCAATATAACGGTGAGATAAAAGATTGTTCTGTGCCAATTCATACAAGTGCTTATTCGTGCAACTTATGAGGTCTTCTATGGAGTTTAATGGAAATGCCCTTCATGCAAAACTTCTGCTCATTTTTCAGAAAATTAGAGGAATATATCTCAAGGATCCCACAAAGTATGTGACCCTGCAGAGTATCCTGGAGGCAGAGCGAGAGGCCCATGCAGCAGAATGGCCGAAAGTTGGAGCTACATTAGCTCTGATGTGGCTGAAAAGGTGAGCACTCTCTGGACTTCACGTTATGTCATGCTGTAGGTTGAACTTTAACTTTAAGCTGCTGAACTGAAGTAGACAGATAATTATTGTTGTGTTTTTTTTTTCACTATATGCTGCGTCTCTCCTGCAGGGGTCTCCGTTTCATACAGATCATGCTGCAGAGTTTGGCAGATGGAGAAAAGGATGAGAACAACCCCAACCTCATTAAGGTCAATGTGACCAAAGCCTACGAACAGGCGCTGAAGAAATACCACGGGTGGATGGTTCAAAAGCTTTTCAGTGTAAGGAAAATTGTTTCAATTTCCAGTTTTTTTTTTTTTAATGAGCCCTCTTGCGTTAACGGACTGTATCTAAAGAGGTTTCTGTTTTTGTATGAGGTTTGTTGAGTGCCCCCTCACCCTGACATCTCTCCATTAATGCATGTCCATAGGATCTTGTGTATTTCCGCCTTTTGTGTGTGTAGCATGTCTCAATAACAGTGTGAAATTGAATTTCCCCTCGCAGGATTAATAAAGTACATCTTCTTCTGAATTGTACATACCTGTTTTAATAACCTGTGCAGTTAATGGTTTAGATAAAGACTTTTTTTTCTCCCCCCCCTTCCATTACAGGCAGCGTTAAACGCAGCTCCCTACAGATCCAACTTCCTCAAGTCTCTGTCCAAAGGAGAGGAAGTCAAAGAGGACGTCTGTTTGGCGAATGTGCGTCAGTTCCTGGTGAACTACACCATCACTGTAGACGCGATCTACGAGATGTACACGGATATGAACGCAGAGTTGGACTACACAGTTTGATGCCACTGGACATCAACTTGACTGGATACGCAGCAGCGTCATGATGACAGACGAGTCCAGTTTTCCTGTGATTGTAAAAGGAGGGTTTCTGTTTTTCCTCAGTGTGCTATTTAATACTTCAATCATGCCTTAATACTATGTGGTCTTACAATTATGCTTTAATTTTAAACAAACGTAAGGAAAAAAAAGCACTTCTATGATATTTTAAGAAATAGTTGATTCATTACAGGAGTTGTGAAGCGCTCATTCTTATGCATCACTGTTATTATGTGGGATGCTGCTATCGTTATTATGACATACACACAGGTAGCTTTCACCTGTTCCACCAGGAGAGGACTGGAAAAACCATTCTTACACCAAACCCTTTCTGTTAATGCCTCACAATAAGAGGCTGTCTCTGCCTCCTGAGCCCGCGAGTCAGTTGTGCCCATTTCAGTTCTGCAGCAGCTACGCACCAGTGTGTGCCTTGTTGTCAAACACGCAATGTTTTTGTTTTCAAATGAAGCTCGGAATGTTTTTATTATAAATTCTGTTGGCCGTAAACCCTTCCCCCCCCCAGGGTTTAAGGTGTGTCTGTTGAGTAAGTAGGTGTGGTCTGGTTTTAGTGTGTGTTTGTATTGTTGTGTTATCTGTGTTTGTCCTATATCTCAACTGACACAACAACTTCAACACAATGTTTGTCATTTTGGCAGACAGCATATCCTGTACACAATTTTGAATACTTGTTTATATGATCTTAATATAGATGGGGAGTGTGTTTGATTCTCAATAAATTACTATAATTATTTTTTTTTTGCTTATCACAGGGTATTTATGTTTGAATTAAATAAAGAAGTTATGCAATTTGGATGAATCAGTCTAACCTCCAGTTACTTTTAAAGTTCTTTGTGATTCCTCTAGGGGGCGATATTAACTTATTTTTGTCCTACTGTTTTAAACGTGTGTTGTTTCAGTTACTAGAATGTTTTAAATAATGCTCAGTGATAAGAAACATTTTCTAAGTGCAATTGGACCAGTTCCAGTATTCCCAAACTAAGCTCTTAATCTAAAATAGTTTTGATTCATGTTTGTCATTTTGCAAGTATGCAACTGTGGACCAACATTTCATTTGCTCACAGCAAAGATACTTTTCATTCTGCTTGCTGGAGAAAATGTGAACAGTGGATTGAACACTGTTTTTTTCAAACATCAGCAATAAATTAGAGCAAATTTCCCCCTCCTCGTTATGTCCCCTAATCCCCCTCCCAGATCAAGCAGCCTGTTCCTCTGCCCAGTCTCACTTATCTGAAGTGTGTCCCAGAGGTTGGAGTGGCTCTGGTTCCTCTCCCGGAGGAGACGAGTCTGAGCTAATCGTCTCTGAGTGAGAGCTAGGCGAGCATGTCTGTAATCCTGAAGGTTTATCAGCACAGTTGCCTGGCCTGGCCTGGCCTGGCCTGACTGATAGATAGGATGGAGAAGCTTCAAGCAAAGCCGTGACACAAAGGGCTGAAGGCAGGAAATCATTTACAACAATGCCTCAATGACAAAGCCACTGACCTTTCACTCAGAAATATTTGTTATCTGCAATGAGGTAATCAATTGAAAATTGCAGTTCTATTCCCAAGAGTGCGTATAATGCCTTTAGTCACGCCATCTAGGTTATTTGTTTTGTAAAAGCCTTTTCAAAATGGGTGTGCATTTGACGTCTATGGCAACCTAAACCACATTACTGCTACAGCATCCAATTTAGGGAGGATAAATGAAGCAAAATAAGAGGTGCAGGCAGGCATGCATGCTGCAAGGCGTCTAGGATTAGCAATTCAATAGCTGGATAATGGCAGGCCCATTTCTACATGTGTGAACAGTAATATTCTTGTTGATTTATCTTCAAGACAAAATGTATTTTTCATGGACGAATGTATTATTAGCAAAGGCCTGCACATTTGTATTTACATATAAGTATTCTATGTCGTCTGCCTAAAGCATTGGCCATCCATCTAGTCTAATATAAGACTCTATGATAAAAAAAAAAAAAATTAGCACTTTTAAGCTGCATCATTTATGAACGAGCCTGTCCAATATATTTCAACACAGGACTGATTTGCATCATATTATAAAGCCTGCAATCCTCCAGCGAACAGATAGATCTGAATAAAATGGTTAAGCCTTAAATCCTTTTGCAATAAACCTGAAGACATTTCTCACATTTCCTGAAATAGTTTATCACTCATACATAGAATAAAAGCCGTCTTCTCTACTTGATGTAATAACAAATGATGCACAACGACTAAATATTTGCAGGGTTTAGAAAATTTCATTTACTTGACAATCCTTATTAAGAAGAGGCAAAGAGGGTGAAGGATTAGGGTCAGACATTGCAAAATGTAGTTATCTCAACAACATACTCCATGGAGAGCGCTCACATGTTCATAGATAATAATTGCACTTCATAATTATAGAGACAGTTTGCCATATAACTGAACAGGCCAACAGAAATAAATAATAATTACAGAACCAGTGCAGACACACAAAGAACATGTCATCATCATACATACATTTCCTTCCATCAGAGTATAGCCGTACTAAAAAAAAAAACATATTTTTAAAAGACTCAGGTGGCCTTCTTACCAGTGTCGCACTCCATTACACTCACGTTATTAATATGTCATAACCTTCAAGAGGAAAAACATTTCATTCAAGAAAAATGTCCACACAACCTTTTAAAATTTCAAAAAGCTTAAAAAAAAAGCTAAAAAAAAGAAAATACAACCACAGGGCACATCTATCTTGGCCTGAATTGCCACAGTGTTGATTTGGATAGGCAATAGTCCTAATACAATATGCTGAGCATGACTAAGTAAAATGCTAAATGGTGTTAAATTACATGACTTGTTTCTGGAGAACATATTCAGATAGTTAAAAATGATCAAAAATATTTCCAGTTGATGAAGGATTTGCATCACATTGCACAAGCTATGGGCACTGCGTGATGTATGTTACTGCAAGTAAGGGGGGAAAAAAACAGAATCTAAAACAAAGCAGAAGACGACCAGAAGTTCAGTTTATAGTAAAGGAAAGTTCCCTATTAAATAAATGGCTGTATAAAGTTAAAATATACAACATATTCACATAATCCGTTACTAGCACTCCTTCCAAGTTTGATGTGTGTTTTTTTTTTTTCAAGAAGAGTACTAAGATTATTTCAGTTCAGCAACTTTCCATGTTTAAAACATAACCAAAGGAATCATCTGCAAAGCTGTACAACTCATGTTAAAATGGAACGGGTCATTCTGATCAGTTACTCAGCATCAGTATGAAACGAGGAACAGCAGGCTTGTTTGATGGCCAGTTAAGATATAAAAATAAAACACAGAGTCCATAAGATAAACCTGTATCTTAAGTCATGATTATCATTTTACCAGTTTAGGCTTTCAACACAAAGCTTTCTACAAATACAGTACATGCACAAACTAAAAACGGCATGTCTTTTTCTCATAGACGCCTTGAGCTGACACACTTCCATTATCTAGAAGAGGTTTGTCTCTGCTGCGTCCCTGCGTCCTTATCTGTAGACGGGGAGCTGGATGTGGGCTTGCTGGTGGTGCTCCAGGAGCTGAGGCATCCCCACGGCTTCGTACCCGCGGCCCAGCATGCGCTCTTTGATGCAGGGAGGCTGGATCTCACTGATGAGGCACTCCAGAGACTGCAGGCTGCTGCTGAGCACCGCAGCATGGCACAGGCTATTACTCGGCAGCCCACAACAGAGGTTTTGGTCTGTGCTGTAGGCCTGGGAATGAAGAGGAAAAGGAGGGTGAAGCTGTGGCTGGTGGTAGTGTTGATGGCGGTTCGGGTGGAGGTGGGGGTGGGAAAGCCCCGGGTTTCTAGGCCTGGCTACACATGTACCCGTTGCCAGCACCTGAGAATTGTAACAGTCGCTATGAGGAGTAGCCAGAGCACCATCCCAAAGAGGAACGAAGAACTGTCCGACAGGGGGCTCCACCTGCATGGTGGAGCAGTTCAGAGAGGAGCTGATTGATCGCTCATGCCTCGTGCCCAAACTGCCAGGATGCAGCCTATACGACGCCAAAGGGAGGCAGCTTTCAGGAGACTGGCTGGTGTCTGCAGCTCTGTGCCCCTGAGCGCTATTCCTCATGCTGTAGATCCTCCCTGCTCCCTGCTGATACTGCTGCTGCTGCTGGATTGGATGTTTCTGCTGCCATATTGTGTACTCTCCGTTCTTCACATACCCTGCTTTGCCCCCATCCACACTCTGCGACGGTATCACTGCCCCCGTGAATGCCAGACTGCTCTGGGGTGGCACTCCAAGAATAAAGTCGGAGTCTGAATTCGCCACAGCAGCCACGGCCTGCAGTGAGGGGCTGGCTCGAGCCTCCCCCCCCAGCTGCAGGGCCTGGCTGTGAGGGACTCTGCTCATCTGCCTCATCATCATGCTTTGAACCTCTGCCAGCTCAGACTGGGGGGCCAGGCTCTGATCTCCGGAGGCCATCCCTGCGCTAGAACAAACCGCCTCAACAGGAACATCAGGGGGCTTACATGAGCTTATATGATAGGCCTTGTGCCCATGTCGAACGGTGTAGCTGTTATTCAGAGGATTATTGTACGGTGCCATGGGAGTTTGGCTGTTTGCATGTTTAGTCCTCCTACCCTCAGAGTTTTTCAGTACACCTTTGACCACCGCAGAGGCTTTGATGACGGCTAACAAACCCTGGTTTCCTCCTGAGTATGGATTTGAGTAAGGACTGTAGCGTTGTCCTGTGGTGTCCAAGCCGTTAACAGTTTTGTTCAGCTGTTTGTGCTGTGGCACCCGCACGTCAGTGGGAAAGATTTTGATGGACAGGGGGCTGTTGGCAGTCTTCTGGGCAAAAGCATCCAACTCTGCAGGAGAAGGGTACCGAGAGACCATGGAGGCCGGCTCGCCTGAGAAGGAAGCAGACAGAAATAAGAGATTAACCAACAAGCGGCAGAAAACTAGTAACTCAATCGTAATGCTTTTTTTTTTTTGTTTGGTGATCCTGACAGACATGAACAAACTCATTTTAAGGAGGGAAAGACCTTCATCGTTGTTTGACAGTGCTAAGTGAAATTAATTCACAGTTAGTTCAAGACAATATTAGTTCACTGTGGGAAATCAGAGTGTAAACAGAAGAAGGTAGGGGACTTAATTCCACTGAATCCACCCTGTGAGATTCACCGGATGACATTTAGCAGCTAAATATCAGAGACCAAGATAGAGCTGGTTGTTATGAAAGGAGAAAAATCTTAAAGTTGCTTTAAACTAATATTCTTGTAGCTGTCTACAAATAAAAATCAGATTGAAACCCACCTTAACATAAGTCAGTCATTTCTAACATAGCTGATAATTACCCTAGCAGTTAGCGTAGATGTTACTATTCCTCTGATGCATACCTCCTTTTTGGTCGTTTCTCATAAACCCTGCATTTTTTTCGAGCATCACCAGTTTCCTGCCTATGACATTTCGTTCTACTTCATGCTTTTATAAACCTGACTTGGTTCTACTGTAAAAGCTTGGAGCCTAAACTGAAAGAAAAGTCGAGCCAGATGGAGGAAGAAAAAGAGCAATCACCAAAAGCACTGAGGATTGAATTGTGTGCAGGAAAGCTGTCGGGACGGACATTGGATTTAAACACTATTATTCAGGCAATTTCATGGCTGCTTAACTCCCAGCGACAAAGGAAAGGTGGAAAAAAGGCGCCCCATTTAAAAAACAATAAATCACCTTGTAGAAATTACAGCCTGCATTTAGAGTGACACTTTTATAGAATTCCTGACATCAAAAGAAAAAAGGGACGGAAATGAACACAGATCTGGCTTTAGGTTGGTGGGGAATCTTGGCAGGCAAAAGAACAAGGCAGTAATCTGCACTAAAAGAAGTGAAAAATAAAAGCAAACCACTTCATTTCATTTTCAATAACAAATCCAATTCCAGCTATGCAGAGAGAGAGAGAGGAACAGAGCTCACTTGTTGTTCCCATTTGAAATTGATTTGGGAGTTCATTTCATTTCGGGCCTACAGTGAGCCTCCCGACTGTGAAAATGATTCAATCTACAAGATCCATCTCATGAAAGAAATAAATTGGGTGTTTAAAATGGAGGGAGGAAAAAAAAAAAAAAACGAGGGAAGGTGGAGTGTTCAATCCATCCAGCAATCTCCCAGCGGAGCAGAAGGAACGGCACCACAGTGCCAGGAGCATGCATGAATTCTACAGAGAAATACAACAAAGCAAAACACTGCTTATTATGTGTCGCAGTGTAGAGCTGCTATAGGAAAGCATAACATCTGCGACATTAGAGAGGTGTTTAAACTGTGAACAACATCAAGATAGAAGCTCTGGTTCCTAGAATCCTCGCTGCAATATCGATTTTTAACAGCGAAAAGACGGAGTACTAAGATAAGGAGAACAGGTTCATTAGACCTGAAAGGAGCTTTGGTTGACAAATCTGAAAAGAAAACATGTATTTTAATTGCCATGATGCGTTCCGCAATTACCAAAGCTGGAAAAGAAAACAAAAAAGGCTTTTATAAACCCATTTCTTGCCCAATAAAATGTCAGTGTCAAGCTCTGGCATGCTGCGATTGGCTCGCTGCTCCACAAACACTTCAAACACTTTGGATGCTAACACATCTTCACAGGGTGTCTGATATTGTTAGTCCAGAGATTACAGCCCTGTCAGAGCCGTGGAGACACAACACAGCTGCACTTCTTACTGCGGCTGCCTTAATGTGGCACTATGGAAACCTCATTAGCAAATAGGCCATCTCCACTCTGAATTCACAGATTCATCTTCTGACGGCCACTACTGTGTGACATGTGCATTAATAAGGGCTTATTTTAGCTGATTCTGACAGAAGGCCAACTGCTGGATGATGTGAAGTTAAAAAACGGAGATCAGAAACATAAATAAACGTTAAAAATAAAACTGGAAATTACAACCAGAGGCTTGTATCTCAATCCTGAGGACTTTAATACCAATCAATGGTGTTAAATGGTAGTAAACCCAGCCCAGCATGTTATATTTACTGGCTTTCCCATAGCATGTGGTAGTAGCAGTCATAAAAGTGCACCTTTAAGTCACTTATTGCAGTGTTTGCAGGCCTCCTTGCAAAAACATATCCAGAAAAAGAGAGGAAACTTTGCTTACTTTCTGCATGATGTATATCCTGTTCTTCTCTTTATACCTCTTCAGGTTTAATGAAATAAATCACAGTAGGAAAAGAACACTTCAGTCCCATGCCTGTCTTTATTAGGTGCCACTGTAGCCACACAACAAAAGATATTCAGCAGTGGAAATAAAGATGAGGAGTGAAAACAAATACGAGGCTGTTCACATGACAACGGGGGGAAATGGCAGCCGTGTGCTGTCAGGTAAGGAATGGCAGAGAGATAATTAGTAGTCTGACCTTAAGCACTTAATCACCCTGAACCTGCAAACTGCACGCTGTTTCACTCTGCAGCCCTGACAGAAAGCACAGGAGCCGAGACGGATGGAAAACAGCACAGAAAACCAGATACAAAAAAAAAAACAACCTTCACTGAGGGCGTCATGCAGCCCTTACAAATTTTAATTCTTTGACCCTTCACAACCTCCCCCCCCCCCCCTCCCAACCCACAACAGTGCTGATTGAAGCAGCTTATGTAAGATTTGAAAAGCTTTTTTTTGTGTGTATTTTTCTCCTTTTCTCAGAAATCTGCATAATGACACCAACGTGTGAAGCATCTGCAGCGCTGGATTGATAGATTTAATGGTCCCACTCGTCAGTGTTCCCATGTTTTCTCGGTTGGATAGGGCTCCACGCATTAAACATGCTGCTCAACTGTTGTGGCCCCATGCTGAGTGAAACTGGCACACTTTCACAGGGAACACCTAATCCCGATTTCCTCTTTCCTGCATGGAGCGAAACAGTAGGGGGTGGGGGGCCAATTATAGACTCTCAATCAGCACTGGGCTTAAATTGTTATGTTTGTGCATGTTGTTTGTGACTGAAAGGAAGAGATTTCATAAATAATAGCATGAAGGGATAAAACATTGGGTATTTACCATTCTGTGGTGTGTGTGTATATATATATATATGGTCTTGCACAATCCTGTTTCCACCCCCATAAAATCCCACTCAACGCTTTTCCTGCCACTTTAAACTGGCTAATCTTTTACCCGTGGTCACACTTGCAGCCATTAACCCCCAGATTAGAGCGGAGACCTCATTGTTTTAGAGCAGTTTGAGTTAATCATTCATTTATGGGCAAAACAAGCCCCAGAGGCAAGGCTGAAAACGGCATGACTGTGTTTCCAAAAACCACGGCTTCCAACCACTTCATACCCCAGAGGGCCAGCATAAGGCAACAATTAGAGTGACCACTGTGGATTATTCCCACAACATATTACGAAAAATTCATGAATAATTCCTTGTTAAATACGCATGCACGTTGGCTGAAGTGATAGCCAAATACCCCGCAGGTCTTTGATGTAATGCTGGAGACTAATCATGACCACTTTTGTCACATAACATGTTTACGAGCATCGCATCTACCACGCTGAGAACCCAACGGTTAACAGCAGAACAAGGCTTCTCAGCAGGCGCAGAAATGTTTACAACGCCTACAATCCTGATATTTCAAATACTCGGGACTACATTAACGAACAGGGGCTAAGCACACTCGCAACACATTTGAAAAAAAAAAAAAAACCTATGTCTACGTTGCCATGACAACCTCTTCAATGTACCCAGTTGGCCCAATAAGCTCAGTCATTAGAACCATGTAATTAATTGGCCCTGACCTCATTCATCTCTGTGAGACAAGCTGCTGCATTGGACTACGTGCTGGTTAGAAAAGGCAGAAACACCAAAACTAACTGCAGCTAGGTTCTCCGTTCTTTAATTCTGGCCACAAATTGAAAACAATTACATTGGGTTTTAATTTTGATATTATTGTACGTTTTTATGATATATATGGCTGTGATGGATAACTTCAGCTGTCAATCAACATCATTTTAAACAGCCTGTCAATACAAAGCTAATGTATACATTTTTGGTGATAAGCTGATACTTTACATAATAAAAGAGGACATGGACACATATATGTATTTAACTATGCTCCTAATTGCTGAATTTGCTTCTGCTCTGATCCTAATCTCTTTCTTCTTCTCCATAGCTGAGCAACTGAGGCTAATGGATTTGTAGTGTTTGATTAACCTGACAAAAATCTTACAAAAGAAGTAAAACTGGTGGCCCTAGCAAAATTTGATTGTATCATTATCCATGTTAGATATAGAGGGGAAAAGATACATTTGAAAAGGGGAAGAACAAGGACCAATCTAAAACTCCAAAGTAAAACTTCAGGAAAAAAGCTGCATACATAACATCCATAAGTCATAAGAATGGTCATGCAAGTTTGGTTTTTTTGACACCTAAAGAGTCTACAGTAAGTGCATTATATCCACTCCAACTTGAGCTCCGTTAAAGTCCAAACATACACTCCTAAAATAAATATCTAGGTCTTTATTAGCGTGTTAGTTTAGTTAAATTAATGTATGTTTGTTAGCTTTGTGAAGTTCAACATTACAAGCTATGGAGCCCAATGCTAATTATGTGTCTGTTGTTTGGTGCTGCGCAGGAAGAATGCAGTGGTTTCATCAGTATTATTTTCCTGAAAAACAGAACAGAGTTTCTCTGGTTGGTAACATGAACCATATTGGAAATATGTCTAAATGTGCAAAAGATGCTAAAGAAAGATCATAGTTAAAGGCTATTCATTGGTTTTTTGCTTATAGACCCTTTTCACATTGAAGTAACTGACTCATTGACTCAATGTAGATTCAAGTTATTGATTAATACAGAGTCAATAACTATTATTACTACGCTGTAGTGTCAGCAGCTTTTTTTGTAAGCAGACTGAGAGATACAGACAATAATACTGACCATTAAAGCACCTCGCCAGCTAATTTCTTTAACCTTACAACCAAGAGGATAAGAAGATACAGAATGACACTAGAACATATGTTTTGAAATTTCGCTCACTCTAACTCTTCATTCACGACCTTCTTTCACAAACACACACACACACACACACAAATACAGACACTCCATTTTCACATGCCTTCCTCACTCAGTGTCAGTGATCTCTACATGAAGGGTGCTCACTGAGAAGAGTAACCTCAGGGCTGAACACTTAGTTATGTGTGCTCGAGGAGGCTCTGTCGAACACTTCTTTGCACCAGTGTCACTCCTCATTTGTTTCTGTGCCGCTTGGCCCAGCTTGGGCAAAGTTTCCCCTTCTCAAAGCCGTCCCGACCCGAGCGCAGGCCAGCAGCGTGGGAAAAACCATTTCCAGCCCAGGCTTTGAAGCTTAGATAGCTGAGGAGAGAACAGCTCTCATTCACTCTCATCACATAAATCCTAACTCTGGTTTCTCAGAAATCTTTCACATGGGTATGTGCCGCTGAGCGCTTTCATGTCTCGAGCCTTCCATTTATTGATAGCTCGAAATGGAAATGGCTTTCAAAAGCGCGGCAGCGACTAAAGACTGTCCCTATTTAACTCTGTCCAACAACGCCTCATTTAACGAAGAAGCCGGGGCCACACAGACTGAGCTCCCCATCAGCAGCCTATTCCCTGCGGTGGTGCTGGAAATGTCAGAGTAGAGCTGAAAGGTGCTGCACTACGCACAGTCGCACTACATAAAACTCAAGAGGGGCAAAAAAAAAAAAGGCCTGCAGGTAAACAGGATGAGAAACGCAGCTCTGGTTCTGCCTGAGGCAAAGTAGGCCCTTCTGTTCCAGCGTTTAGCAGACAAGTGCCGCATTGATTCCCAATTAATATTTAATAACAAAAAAGACAAGGAGGGAATTTAGATGGTGGAAAAATGAAGGATGGAAGGGAAGAGTATTAAACATGGAAAATATAATTATAGTTAGAGAAAAACATATTTTTTTAAGATTGTTTGGGGAATTATGCGTTGCACTGGGCTAACATCTCTATAACTTTTCTGTAAGTATTATATGCACCTGCTATATCAAGAAACCCTTCATCTTTCTTTTCTTTTTTAGAGGTTTAGTGCCCTTTAAAACGGCAAGCATGGTTCCACCTCACTTCAGCCACAGAAAAGGTCTAATTAGATCGCTTGAGTGAAAACACCTGTGTGTATGTGCAGGTGTCACTGAAATCTGAGAACTACAGGCTAATAAAACCTGGAAATCTATACTTCATACAACCCACAAATGCACATACTATGTTGTACATACTCAATGAAGGGTTAGAGTCTGCAGTGTCATATTTCATGATGGATGAACAATGAAGCTTTATGAGCATGCATGGGCTTATACAAATGAACATGCAACATGATAGACAGATAAGAGACTCCAGACCACTGCCCTCTGCACATCCATCACAAAAGCTTAGCTAACCTTGATAGTCAAACATGCCTCCGTCGAAGTCATATAATAGTCTACACAATATCACTGTTCAGTATTTGCATGCTCTGTTTTCCAAGAGGCCACAGTCTGAGAAGTACGTTTTAGCTTCTGCAGAGTGTTAGATGAGTCCAAATACAACTTATTTAATACGCAGGCACGGGGTAATAACAATACAACAGTCTGCAACAACTATGCCAAATAGAACAAGAGATCTTTAAGGACAAATAATGTAATACTTCATAGCTAAGTCCATTCAGAATAATGCAATACATATCCAGCTGAACCATTAAACTGTGAGTAGACCTGCAATATAGCTTCCAACCAGACCCAGCAAAAAAATGTAAGGCATCAGCAATTTTTCTTTTTAAAGCATTCATGAAATCCAAACCAGAGCCGAATAACTTTGTTTGTGGCTCTATGATCTCATTATGTGTATCTAGACTGCCCAGGATGAAAAAGACTATGTCATTTGGGAAGCACTGCACAAATGACATGGATGCAGAGGAACCAATAAAGGAAATGCAGTATTAGACCAAGAAGTAAATCTGCAAACATGTCGCATTCAATCAATGAATTGAACGAAATCTAATCACAAATGTCAGTGTGGGTTAGTCCCGAAGGCTTCCACTCAACCTTTCAATGACTGCAGTGTAATCAGTCAAGATGAAGGTCAAACAACACTGACAAGGACCACTTTCTCCACAAAACGGGAACATCATTAGTAACCCTGTACGAGAGAGCTGATTAACTGTGTAATTTCAGAGTCCACTTTGACCTGCGCACTTTTGCGCTGCAGGAGCACACTGATTAGTCGCCCAATTAAAAGGCATCATCATCATCAGGCAGCCCATTATTTTAATTTTAAAGGCTTTAGAGTTGCTCAGCACCCTGCTAAAAACATTCATGATCTTTGTGTGCAGCTGGAGGCAACAAGGTCAAGCTGAAGATGATGGATTGAAAATAACTCAGGGACATGACCAAGGTTTTACTAGTCACATTTCTTTTCTATTTCAAACTATCAGTGTGGAACTTTTAGACATTTTAACGTGTGTGATATTAACTCACCTTTACGGGTGCAGGCCTGCAGCGGTGGTACTGATAGCAGTAATGGCTGTGCTTGGACATCGAGGTTTTTGGGTTTACAGCCGAGATGCTGCGATGAGAGATTCTGCCGTCTCTGAATGCAGGCCAGCATGATAGTTCACAAGGGCTGAAACCAGCCTGGGTTAACCTGCTGGAATAGAGTAGAAACAGTTTATTTTTTTACATAGTATCACCGACCTTTAAACATAAACTCAGAAGAGTCCATACAAATGCTTAGCACTCAGTAAGGCTGTGCGTTTGATGGTACAAAAACAACTGGACAATCCCCTGCTCAAAAGTTTTTTTTAGAATTCTCTTAAAACTGCCTTCTTTCTAATGGCCAGTAGGAGGCAACACCATTGGTAGCAAAAGTGGAACTAGATGGAAAAATTACTTTTCTTCTCAGTTAGTATAACACTCCATGATAAACATTATCCTATTTAGAGTCAAAGTGTTGATAGTCCCCATCACCACAATACAAATGTGGAAATACATCTAAACCCTGTCATCGAACTGAGAACAAGCCACATGCCAAACTTGAGGCTTTAAACATTAGTCCACAAACCAGTGGGTGAGTTGTTGGGGATTCGTCCGCTTTGAAAAACACTCTGCAGGCTAATGGTTTCATGATGGGGGCATGGGAAGAAAATTCAACCTTATTTGCATGTTAGAGTCAGAGTATTTCAGGTATTTTGTCGTGAAAAATACATACAATTTTAATATAAATGTCGGTGCCATCATTTCAAGGCAAGCTATCGGGTAGTTATCGAAACATTTCAAAAACAGAAACAAAAGCCCAAACTTGCGCTGTTGCTGGGGGAGCAAGGGAGGGATCAGCCAAGTCCACTTCATTCTTTGGACACCATAAATGTCTCTACCAAATGTAAACTCCAATCAATCCAAAAGTTGTTGAACTATTCAATAACAGACAAAATGTTGGACAGAATTATAAACAAAGGTGTTTATCTATTAAGCAGTAGAGCTGAAGTGGCTTGAAATCCTCATCCTCACAAAAGGTTCACTTTTAATTTTTGGGATTGTAAAGGACACACGGTCTTGAAGATTACTGAAATTACAAACATCAATTTTGTAAAAACATCAAATTACAAGACTATAATATCTTGCATCCAAGACCAGTATGGTGTGAGAAGAAAACTGCAATCTGGCTCCCTGGAAACCCTACAGGAGACTCCTCTTACGAAACAGAATTTCCATGTTACTTCAGCAGTTTTATATCTAATGCTTCAATATAACCCTGCAACCATTATGTTCACTCGACATATTCATATTCAGGAGCTTGTCCTAAAAAAGCTGAGATTGTGCATCCAAAAAAGTAATATCATTAAAAGACAATTCCATCTCTGTTCTTCTCCTAAGTTGTTTTGATGGCTCTTCGCTGTTATCAACCTTGTCCTGTCAGTAGCAATTGCACGGATCATTAACAAAGGCATCCGCTAGCCTATAAGGCTGTATGTTTCAATTTGTACCTACCCCTGCAACCCGGCTTCATTGTTCAATACATTTATGGCTGTATTGGTCAGCAGAGAATGCCAAAAGCAGCCCCCTCCTTTAAATAAGCTGTGCTTTTTGAAGGGTTAAGTATTGTTATAGAAAATGATCAGTGTGTCTTTAAAAACCTGCCACCACAGCTTATAGTTGACGCAATCATTCTTCAGACAAGCTGTGATAATCCCATTTGAAATTCTCTTTGATTATCTGAGGAGTCGCCAGTTTTTTGGATGTTTTCACTGCAAAAAACGGAACTGAAGGCTTATTGTGAAAGACTTCTTACCTTACATGAATCAGGTACATTCAGACAGGCAAGTACAACGTCTGGGCCATAATCATACAGCAGCCATTTTCCTCAGAGATAGGCCTAATGCTCAGGGCAGAATATTATATCCTGCTGTGTTTGTATGACTATAGGAAGTAGGACAAACATTATAATTCCATTGAAGTGTTGCTGTATTGTATTGGGAACATATATTTAAAGACTACAGTGAATGTTAGCAATTAGCCACTTCCTAGCTAATTGAACCTTTAGCCAATAAGTGATTTCAAGTCATTACCTTTCTTAGTGTATTAATTTACATTTTTTTTTTACCTTAATACCTTACCTTAATATCTGTTTTTCAATTTCCCTCAATAGACAATAGTTTACAACCACAACCTTTCTATCAAGGCAATGTTCGCATTCAGCCACCTCCTAGCTAACAAGTATTAAAGCTGTTAGCTGAATACTAAAATTGGCTGTTTTCTGATGGTAGCTAATGTGTAAATTGAAATCTTTTCAGTTGCTTACTTACAACCTAAAACACAGACATAATAACATTTGAGCCTCCCTTCCTGAGTGACTTGTCAGAAGAAAACGGCCACCTTATAAAGCCAAAAACAAAAACGGAGTTATATATATGAAAGTAATTTTACTACAGCACAGTTGTCTCCAACAAAGCTAGTATAAGTCTTCAGCATATAGGTGTCAGAATGGCCCTTTTCTCGTCTGGTTTTGAGGTTCTTTTGAATTTTTGCTTTCATTTCTCCCTCAGGGTCCGGAGAGCAGCTAAAGTGGTCCAACCACAGACTAGAGCGTTCAGAGACGAGCTGCAGAAAAGTGATTACCTTATCCTCAAAAAGGAGAAGAGAGAGTGGCTTTCATTTTACTCAGGTGCCAGGAGCTAAAAAAAAAAAAAAAAAAAAAAAAAAAGATACCCTGGCTTTTCCTTTTACCTCATGCGTCTGCCCCCCTCCTCTGCTCAACATCTGTCCCTTGGTGACAAGCCCACTTCAAAATGCTCAGTGCAACCTGTCTCATCCAAGCACACACACACATTTGAGGAGCTAAAAGCCTCAGTATGTTCAGATTCCATTTAGAAAATAATGGCAATTTCACAACAACCCTTCCATTACCACGTTTTTGGGTTGAGATGGAGATGACGAAAACACAGGAGGAGTACAAGGGAGGAAAAGGCCTCTCCAGGGAAATCCCTTACCAGCAGAAAATGAGGCAGAAATTGGAATACCTTCCATTACTCCCATAATTTTCAGCTGTAATAAAACACATCAAGACAGACAGTATAATTCAAAGAAGGGCCAGCAGTGGCTTTAAGAAAAAAAGTTTCTCTGAAAGCAGGAAAGATGAGCTGGAAATGATGCAGAAAAGTGTGCGTAATGATGGTTTCTTTCATCCTGCCATCTGAATTTTAAATTTGAAGAGATTTGATGAAAACTTAAGCTTTAAATTGCCTTCTTGCTCATGAGTCGGGTTATAAATAAAAAGAAGGGAGAGATATGAGATCAAAGAGATCCGAGAATGCATGATTTTATCTGGCCGACTCATGCAGTGTATCAGTATCATTATCTCCAACTCCCACATAATATTTTGCCCGAAAAAATAAAGTTTTATATTTTGCACTTTTTTTACAATTTGATACCTCCCTTCAGAGATAGAGGCTAAAATATTAGGCTACAGATATAACGTACAGACGTTCTGCAAAGTAATTGTCGACCATCTTAAAAGCAGAGTGCAGTCTAGCTCAACCCCATCTTCAAAATAAAAGCCCAGATTTTAAGCCGTTAACATAAGGGTCAATGAAGTCAGCTTTCTTATGATAAAGAGTTATAAACGTGCTTCTTGTGTATCGTCTGAAGCCTTAATTCTTCTGCACTTTCCATGTATTACTAGTTCATATGTTCAAGAACTTCACCAACAGGCAAATTAAAGAAAAAGAGCACAAAGTATAAGCTGCAAGGACGTCTAATCCTGGCCACTCTCAGGCGACATCCATGCAGCTGATAAGCAGCGTGATGTGGTCCACCGAGGGGCCTGTCAGAGAGATAAAGACCTCGTGCTTCGAAGTCTATCTAACTGTCCCCCCAATGGTTTCCTGATAAGGATGCCTTGACAAATAAATCTATTTTTCAAGCCTCTATCTCTTATCATTGACAGGATGCAAAATGGCAATTTTTTTTTAAGGTGTCGCCTGTCCTCGAATCAGGAAAAGAAGATTGTACGGAGGAGATTATGTCAATTTAAGAGGCAGTGATGGAGTAACTTTTTGACTGGCTTTGAACTCATTTGTGGCAGAGTAGATCACATTTCTGGAGATAATAATGCATAACAACCCTGAAAAAGACATTAGTTTGTTCAAAAAAAAGATCTCAAAGTCTTGTTTTTTATGGCCCAAGCAGCAAAAGAACATCCATCAAAGCGTGGAAAGGCCCTAAATTATACAGAGACTCAGAAACGAGCATCTGCCTGACCTTCTGGAGTCTTTCATGACTTCATGCAGCATCAAGGGTCAGAGCGAAGATAGAAGCAAACTGCGAAAAAGAAAGCCTCCCCCTCAACAAACATGAAAGGCATAGAAAAAAAAAACAGATGCACACTCCTGCTTCTACGCACTAACACACATCCTCAATATGCCTCGGTCACACACACACACACACACACACACACACACCCCTCCCAACCCGAGCCATCTCAGCTCTTGTTAGCAGTTCTCTGAATTCTCAGTTAATAATTAGATGATAATGAAAAAGGTTTAAGACGAGCGCCCTTTTCACTCCCGGGATGGATTAGCATGTGAGTGCTATGCTAATGTTTCTGCTTCCTTCCCCTCAGAACCTTCAGATGAGGACAAGGGAAAGGAGCACAAAAGCAAAAAAAAAAAGCAAAAAAAAAGGTTAATTTAGGAAGAAATAAATGATTAACTGGGAGCAATTGGTCATTATAGAAGAGAAAAGGCAGCGTCTCTCTTTAAATGACATGCTCCATGAATATCAATCCACTTACTGTGTAATTAATTGTATATTATGTATGGCTTTTATATTATCTTTAAGGCAGGAACGACAGGATCCTGTCTAAGTAATGGAGAACAGACAAGTAGGCTGACATACAGGCTGAATTAGACAGCAGTGCTTCTGCAGCTGCTATATTCATCTCTATAAAACCATCCACACACACACACTGATCCCCCCCCCAACCCCCTCATACATTTTTAATAGAATCTATTACTTCTGGATTAGCCGATAAGAGCTGGCCTGGTTAAATTCTATAATAGTTTGCATAATTGGTATCAGAGCGGCATATAAGAGAGACCCAGATTTCCTCCTCCTCCTTCACTGTAGAGAAAGAAAAAGAGGCCACAAAGGTTCACATACAGGATAACCAAACAACCCGGAGCCACTCCGCTCCACGCTGCAAGAACACTTAAGGCCCCAGGCTGATAACAATGAGCCTCATTTCCATTGAGATTAGCTCCTGTAAAAAAAAAAAAAGAATTACAACAGCGTTAAGGAGCTTTTCCTTCACAATTCATGCACAAGCATAGATTTTATGTAAATACCATCACTGGGCAATGGTTGGATAGATGTCCAGAGAATTTAGATGGATGGAAATCACACAGTGTTAATGACTGGGTGTCTGGTAGAAAACACAGAGACTGTACTGTGTCTGCCATATAGTCACTCTGAGCACAGACGTCTAAAGAATGCTAAATATCACAATAAATCAAATCAAGCTTCAAGATGGTTAAAACAGACTGCTTGAGAAGTCTCTAGTCTCGACTATCTCTTACATATTTCCTCACTACTGCACAATTGGGCAATGAAACTCTTCTTAGTTGTGCTATGTCCAAAGGGGCTTTCCATTTGAATTCACCATTAAATAATCAATCGGCTCCTTATGAAACTTTCCAATTTGTTAATCCAAAAAAAAAAGAAGGTCTATAGGAGTCAAACGCTCTCATAACAGGTCTCTAACTTCTAAATTGATAGCTACTACCTTTTTAGAGAAATATCAGAGTTTTCGTTACAGCTACTTAATCAATTATTTGCACTTTTTATGTCGCTGGGCTTTTCTACTTTGCTAGAAAATAAAATCGGCTACAAACGAACTGAGAAAAAGCTGGACTGAAGAAGAGAAATTAAGATTTCTGTAGCTATGCTGTGCAAAGAAATCCACACCGTCACATTTCGAGATTGTTATCCTGTTGGTGACCACCAGTGACGCAGGGAGACACCTTCATTAATACTTCTGCAAACTTTTTTTTGTGGCTAAAGATTATTTTTTGGGGCTTTTGCCTTGGTTCCCGACAGGACAACTGAAGATAGACAGGAAATGTGGAGAGAGAGAGAGAGAGAGAGAGAGAGAGAGAGAGAGAGTTGGGGATGAAATACACCAAATAGCTTCAGAATTGGGAGGTGAACCTGCAACCAGTGTGACAAGGACCGTAGCCTCCATTCATGAGGAATTCAACATGCAACACTGGAGCAACAAATAATATAAACTGAATCACAGTCTAACTTCTTGGAATCAGAGCTTGCACCATCCCCTTCAGAAGCTAATGTCTAAGCTAAAGTTTTGCAAATCCCATTAACCATTGAATTAGTACTTAAAATCATCCATTCCTGTGATCACGTCTGGAGACAAAATGAACAATGAGTAGTATATCACACCAAAATCAATAAAAACCTTCAGGGAGTTTTGCTGAGCTTTCATTCAGCAAATAGATTTGTAATACCAAGAGGGAACTTGTCCAATTTGTCCAGTTTATCCCCACAACTTCATACTTTAGGGAATAAAAGAAAAGTAAGAAACACAGAATCATACTAGTTTTTTTTTGTTGATAGTGATTCAGACATTGTAAGTTGTTGAGAATAATTGTAGCCATAAATCCAAGGCTGCACAATTACATCTCATCTTTTTGCAAAACCTTTGGTGGACTGACCCAAATCTGCACTTGCCCACAGACAGTGCCAAGGTAAAAGAAACACACTGTATGGGGTAAAGTCTGGCCAAAGCCAAGGTAGCATCAGAAGGTAAACAGAGCTTTATCTCATCCTTAACCCCATATGCACACTGACACACTGTCAGTGAACTGTGCAGGTGCTGTCCAGCCTTTACAAAACCTTGACTTCAAAGATAACAGATGGTGAAAGATGGAGCTCAAGGTTCTGTGCAAAGATAAGTGATCTTTCAAAGGAATCAAACTCAAGGTAATCAACCCAGGCTCATCTCCCATTCGCACCAATTTTTCTTTTAACTTTGGAAAACAAAGAAAATACAGAAAAAAAAAAAAAAGACTATATTACAGAAACTTGACAGTCCCAACCCCCTTAAAGCCTTGTCCTCTGGATGTTCAGGGCCGCTGCTTCATTCCAGTCATTTAAATCCTCAAGCAAACATAAAACTAATTAGAAACCGTAGAGAAAATTCTGCCTCTAATGTGGAAGATAACCTAATGATGCGCTCTGTACCATAAAAAAACAAAATGCTCTCGGGAAAAGAGGCCCTTTGATCTCTGGACCGACTAAAAAATGTCATCATCTCACTGCGTTTTCTATTTGGGGCAAACGATGATGCATCAATTTCAATTTGGCGGCCGTAATCATTAATTTGAAGTAATGACTGACTGAGAGCCATCGTGTAGGCAAAATAAAGCTTACTGGAGCTCCTGGCAGTCCAGTCCCTGCCCCCCTCTCCTCCCTGTTGACCTCGGAGGCGCAGTCCTTAACCTTTCACCCTTAACCCCCTGTCTCCCTTCCCCTTCATCCTATTAGAATGAAAAGACCAATTAGACAGATTTCAGAAGATAGCCGGCTGCCTGTAATTACACATGACGTCTCTTAGCAGATAAAAAGTTGATTAAAGAGGGTGCATGAGAGAAATGGCGAAGCAACCAAGACATTGACGTTTTATATTTATATTTTCAGAATCTCTCTCTACGAGGAGTCCCACTCTACATGTGAAAAGCCTTAAATGTGAAGCTAAGGATGACATGGCAGAAAAAGACATGACCTTAATCAGCCCTCTTTCTGGCCTCGGTAAAAAGACATCCAAGAAAAGGTCACTCTTGTGGTCGAGCCGTTTCCTGCGTTCAGTAACTCGGTAGGCATGGAGATTGAGTGAGCCGGGGGAAACTTCACAATAAATCAGAGCTCAGCTTCACTCCTGAGAAAGCAAAGGGAAGCAGGCAGCCAAAATGACAAATCCCCTCTCTTCACAGAGCTGGAATTACTGCTGGGGTGTGATGGGAGATCAGAGGGAAACCCCCATGGGACACCTGAATATTGACTGCTTCATAGTGGGATGCAATTTACAGGCTGTGCAGACAAGTTCAGGCCATTCGAAACAATCAACCACATCTGAAAATGCCATTAAGATAAGTAAAGTTTAATAGTCTGGTCACTATGGGCGGATTGCAACAAACATTAAACATTTACTCATTAAGTAAAAGCTTAGACTGCGAAACTAAAGTATAGATTTTACCCTGAATCAAGCAAGACAACATACTGTATGAGGAAAGGGGCATGAGGAACTACAAGTTTTATAATAATGTAAATCAAAGGTCATGAGTTTTATTGATTTGGAGGAAATCGAAAGAAAGACATTTTCTAGATTGGGCCAAATTAAGATGCAGCAATTCATTAAAAAAAAAAAAGAACATTCATTGCTAAGTAGTTGGGTAATCAATCTTTTCGGGCTAAAAATGTAAGTTACTAAAAAAAGGATTTGCTGATTTTTCAATTTGTAAAGAAAAAGTTTCTTGGTTTGACGAAAAGAAACAGTTTCAAGACATTCATTTGGACTCTGGGAAGTCTAAATTAGCAGTTTTCACAACTTTCTGACATCTGATAGACAAACTGAGGACTTTGGAGAATCGTTTACATGATTGGTATTAACCAATAAGGAAAATAATCGTTTGTTGTTACCCAAGTCACAAGCTTTATGATATGATCAAAGCGATAAGGTATTTTTCCTCTTTTGGTCAGAAAGCCGCCTGAAGCAAAAAAAAAAAAAAAAAAAAGGAGGAGGACAATAAAACACCAAATTGTAGACTTTCCTCCTCTGCCTCTGGTGGGAAGCTGTGACATCCCATCTCTCTGGGTAATAAAGGATCTGGCACAAGCAAGAAAAAAAAAAAAAAGCACACAGGGTAGAATTTCACACCTGGGCAATAATCTATAGTCCCCTCTGCTGCGGCTATAACCTTCAACCTCGGCTGCCACCGGTGCAGTGAGGTGCGATGATCCCACCTCCGGCTTCCAGACAATGGAAATGGAAACCTTCAGGCAGCCCTCAATGACCGGTAATATACTTCAAAGCACTTCCTGTGTAGGCTATCCTCTGACATATAAAGCGACTTTCAAAGCAATTGACCATCACAATGATATCACAAGAGTAGAGGGAAAACAGATGCTTGAAATGCAAATCTGAACCCTAACTCGTGTAAATATAAATTCCTGGCTTACAATAACCAGTAGCCCGGACAATAATTTAACACTTCATTTTATTTGGGAAAAAAAAATTCTGCAAACAATAAATGACTCTAGCCTCGGTATCGTAACTAGGAGGCTCATAGTTGAATTCGGCCCATATGAATAGAAATGAGCAATAGCTGGGCACTAATATACAGTAGGGGCGAGACGCTCCTCGATTCGTGCGCACAGGACATCTTTCACCACTTAGGTTAAACCATGCCATTAGTGCAGGGACAATCCTGACTCGTTGAACAGACACCTCTTTAAATCACCATTGTAAAGTAGGCTATATCAACTGTAATTGTCAAGTAATAACACGACTACCATAAAAAAAAAAAATCGATTCGGCAAGCATCAAAACAATTTCCAGCGGCCACACTGTCCCGCAAATAACATCGGGATGTAAATGAGTAAAAAATATATATATATGGATTACTTACAGAGTTTTGTGTGATCATAAGGCTTGTTTATCTTTGGTTCGCCACGGCTGATTGGCTGTTCCCCTGCTCGGAAGGCGTATTTCCTCTGCAAAAGCAATCTCGCCTCTGATTTCAGACTGCGCACTGGAAACCTCCGGAGATAAATCCATTGATGAAGCTGGCTCCATTAACGGAACTCCCTCGACATAGTCACCATTCGTGACAGAGATTATTTCAGCGATTATGTTTTCCGAGCAGCTGCTTGTATGTCATCCCGGCAGACCGACCAAACAGAGTGCGCTTCAGAGAGAGTGATGTCGGAATGGAAATGTGTCTCTCCTGCTTCGTTGAAACCGGCTCTGAGCCAATCAATCAAAGCCGTATTTGAATATTCCCACGGCTCGGCCAATCGTCAGGAAGGGAAGGCGGTCGCTGTCGGGATGCCAAACCCGTCAAAGTAAGCGCGTTGCTGTTTCGCGGAAAATTTTAAAGGAGAAGAATATCTTTAATAGCCTATATCTTCAACCCTGTCTCATGTGTGTGTACACATTTAGATATGATTCGAAATCTCAGCTAAAAATGCTTCAATAATAATTAATCTGAACAGATCTTAAGTAGCCTAGAAGAGCTGGAAGTAAAATATTCTCAATTTTCACCCTTTCAAAAATGTTTAAGTAGACTAGGATAGGCCTAACATGCAGGACTACTTTTTGGCCACTACTAATTTCTTGACTCCACTTAGTCACTGCCCCTAGACAAAAACAGCCCAGTATAACAGCCAACAAACCCAAAACATTTGTTTGTTTTTACTCTTTAGTTTTAATAAGAGATAAATACAAAAAGAAAAATAGTCTACCGGGAATCAATTCTTGCTGCCAATTTCTGTTTCCAGACTTTATAGACTAGGCTACTTAGCCAAGCGAAGAGGATTTGAGTCATTTAAAAAAAAAAAAAGTTTTGTTCTGACTTTTTTTTTCTCAGAATTCTGGCTCCGAGAAAAAAAAGTCAGAATTCTGAGATTAAAATCAGAATTAAAAAAAAAAAAAAGTCAGAACCAAACTTTAGCTTCACTTTTTTCAGAGCAATATGAGAGTGGAACCCATAGGGCCATAGGCCTATCGAACTTTTTTGAAACCAGTTAAAGATTATTCCAAATTAAAATATAGACTATAGCCAGAATTTTTCTTTTTTTAAACAACAACCGGAAAGCCACTGACACATTTAACATCCAACTCAGATCCTGAATTTGCCTACCCAAATCAAGAAACCCAACAATACCTTTCCCTTTCTTTTTTTCTTTCATTTCTTAGCATTTGTCTTTAAAATGTGCTCCAGCCTATAAAATCTTCCCAACATGCACAACATGTTTAGATAAATCAACCAACCCACTAAGAGTGGTGTTAGTCATTTTCCTGGAAAGACATCAGACTAGAGTAACATTCAAGAGCTATAGCCCACTCTGACCTTTTCTCTGTGTGAAAGATCGAATCGTTCTTTACAGCTTTGTCAGTGTCATTTTTCAGTATGAATGAGCATTGTAAAAGGCAAATGAGGTTGCCATGCCAACCAATGTCTCCTTATTGAAAATTGTAGCTGTGGATGATTTATTATTCTTAAATTTATAGCATGAGTCTTTTATGACTGTACAGTTAGGCTGAGTAAAATGATTTCTCTCTTGGGTTTGAGAATCATTGTGACACCAAACCTACAGAGATTGGGTGCAAACAGGTCAAACATCTAAAGTCTGTGAGTTAGGCCTACTTCTCCAGGTTGTGCTCTATAACTCACTTAGGCCTACTCAGCATATACATTCTTTCTGGTATGCTTTCATGAAAGACCAAATAACATTAAAAATAAGTAATTATATTGCTGGAAATGATTACTCAATTCCATTAATTGACAGAATCACAATAGCTAATAGAGATTCATGCATATCATTTTTCATAACACCTGATAGGTGTCGTTTTTTTTATCATAGAAAGATGAAAAAGTAATCTTTTGATTCAGAAGTAAACCAACCATTGCATCCTTTTCAAATCAACCTTTTTTTCTTTTACTTTTTCTTTATTTGTCTTTGCCATATATTTCACAGCTTTTATTTTCGGACAAATATAACTCAATGGTCTGATAGCCTACAGATAACTTGGGAATACAAATTTAAACATGACACTACTACAAATATTTTGAACATGGTATTGAAAAAGGTTCAAAGGGATGCAACTGCATTCCCTGGATCCAGGACATTTCCCCAAAACAATATGCTCATAAACAAGTCAAATTAATTATTATATTGATGTTTAAAAAAAAAAAAAAAAAAGACTAACAATCTGTTCACAAAAAAATGGGTTACAGTTTGTTTTGAATAAACAAGGTATTTCTAAACCTGTTGGTGTCCTCCCTTCTCCTGCTTATATGTTTTGGCCCTGTCAACATGTCCTTATATGATGTCAAGCACTGCCTCTTAAGACGGTCCTCATCAGAGCAGAATGAAGCTGGCACTGACAGTAATAAAGAGCTCCATCTGTGCCTGGCAGGCAGAGGCAAATGAACCAATTAAGGTCTAGTGAAGTCGCCCGCTTTAACCTATTGGCAATGGCTGCCGTCATCTCCATCATTTTGAAAAGGAGAGTGTGCAAGGGTAATTAAACACTAGCAGGAGCCGCAGGGCAAATCTAATAACTCTCAGTAACAAGCCTAATAAGAGAGCTTAATGCTTAACAGTTAACACAACCCAAAGCATGCTCTGTTTGAGGAAGACCACTTACACTCACAGAGTGTCTGATAGTTATAGGTCTGCATATCTCATAGAAATTGACCTTGGGGGAATAAAATCTGCAATATGTCAGCACAAAAAGCCTCCTATCTCCTTGTTTATCGTCCATAGCCTATAGTGATCTCTTCTGGTGATATCAGACCTGGCTTATGCTCCACTGTTCTGCAGCTGGACATAATGACTTATCTGTTGTAGTGTTGCCATCTGCTGGCAAAAGTATGCGAGTGCTGCTTGTGCTAGAAACCAACCAACTTTAGTTCTTCAACCTTTAATAGCAGATCAGATCAAATAGCACATCTAAACATTTATAAAAGCTTTTACCGAAAATACTGTGCTGGCTTGTTGGTAAAAACCATTTCCACACAAGAATGTGCAAAAAAAAAAACAGTTGTCTTTCTTTTGCTGCATTTACCTCCCAGTTTTACGAAGACGTAAAGTAATAATAAGAATAATTTAAAAAAAAATTCCCCTGTCGGGGACTAAAGTCCATCACCTTTTCTCGTAACGTATACTTACTACTTACTTAATATTTACAGTCTATGCTACTTACAGACGTCCCCTACATCTACGTAGCAACGTCGTTCCCACGGCAACGCTTTGAAGCTTCCTCCAAGAGGATCATGGGAAACAATTCTGATAACTGTAGCGGAGGGACTTTCGAAATGCTTCATGTTTAGCTGACGTGAAACATGTATTACAACACGTTTAATATCACTTTAGCAGCTAAATGATGTGAGCGTTGGACGAGTCTAGCTAATTCAGTCGAAGCCCTCAGGTTTCGTCATATTTCGGGACTACTGCGCCGCGGAGAAAGAAATGGCTAAAAAAAATAGCTAACATAGCTAACACCAGTTAACGGTATGTTCACTCTTGTTGTTTCTTGTTTATGGACGATATTACCTTCTAACAAATTTGCTTTAACACTTTAAGAATACGCATATGTTCACTACGAACCTATAACAACATCATATATTTGCTTCAGTTACACCCACTTGGTGATTGTCTACTGACTTTATGATTCATGTCGTCTCGTTTTTTTTTTTTAGAGTTCTTCAATCTCTTTGAACCCTTCCTGTATATCAGGGGTGGGCAACTGGCGGCACAGGGGCCACATGCGGCCCCCATCGACCCTTAAAGTGGCCCTCAGGTCAATTTTAACATGAAGAAAACATGATGAAATCTGCCATGAAATCATGAAAACCAGAAATATGTCCATAATAATATTTGATCACTGGTATATGTTGAGTTAAATTTGAGACATAATTGACTGTAATTGTTTTTGTATCCTCCATTTTTGGCCCCTCTGGCAGTGAGAATTAAATGATTGTGGCCCCTTGCTGTGACCAAAGTTGCCCTTCCTCTGTGTATATCAAGACAAAGAACTCATGTTGTCTGTTAAATATGGAGCTCAAGTTGGAGGTTGTGGTGTCATCCAGCATCAAACGGAAGAAACCGTGGCCGCGATTCTGTTGGCTTGGCAGGGTGAGGACAGTAAACAAGTCATTTCAGCCAGTTTCTTCATCTGAAGAACATGATTGTGAAAACTGCCATGTGATTCCGCAGGAGAAGGAGTCTGTTTTCCTGTTAGATGACAAACGAATCAGTGAGATCAACATGGTGTCTGGACGAACCAAAAAGAAGACTCCCAAACTCCATCCTTTGCTAAATAGTGTGGTGAGAATGGCTTCATCCCACAACGGTGAGTTTAATGTGTAAACACAGCTCAATCCTTATCAGCTTTCTTCTCTGAGCATGCATTTCATTTGTCCCATTTTTTTCCCCCAGGCATGTGGCTCTGTGGACTTTTGGTGTCAGGAGAGCTGTTTCTGTGGAACCGGGATAAAGACTTGTTGAAGACTTCTGCAGCCATACCAGAAGTAGTTCAAATGATTACAGGTATATGTCATGTTAAGTTTTATACTAGCATTCTTCATAATGGCTGGGTCATCATTCAAAAACTGAAGAGAAATGTAACTTAAGTAAAAAGGATCCAGGTCTGCTTATTTAACATATGATCAGTTTGGATAATTTTGACCAAGTGTGGAGATTCACTGCATGTATCTACACATGTATTCTTTATATGGCACTGTAATATACTGTTGTACATATATACTGAAACCTTTATATATATTTTATCCTGCATATAACAATGAAAGCATATTCATATTTATGTTTTTTTTAACTTTAGCTGCACAAAGAGTATCCTTATTAATTTTCTTAACTTGAAATATATATAAAAAAATCTTCATCCCATGGATTTTTGTCCTTATTTTTTTTCAAAGGGAATACCACACGACTGTCACTGCAGGTTTCGGGGGATGGGATGCGTGTTCTTCTGATAGCCGTAACAGGGCAAGTCTTCCTGTGGGAGTGCATGGATGTTAGGGATTTGATGGGAGTACGGGATGGCACAGTCAAGGGACAATGGACTCACATCCAGCCCCTTGAAGACTCTGTTATGCCTTCTGAACAAGACAAAGATGCATCCCAGCACACTATCTTCATCAAGACAGAGGTCTACAATTAGATTCCACAGATTCCACACATGTACAGA